GGTGTTAAGAAGTGCGTGGTTAAACAACACATCAAACACGCCAGATTCAAAGGAAGCCCTGTTCAAGACCGATACATTTAGGCATAAAATGAACACACTTAGAAGTGATGGCCATAGGATATACGGACTGACAATAAACAAGACGTCCCTGTAAGCCTATGGACACTAAACGTTGGATAGCTATTGATGGGATCAACACGTACGCGTACGGGCATGAAAAAATTGAACCAAGAACGGAACCAGAAAAAGTTTGAGGCTATTTACTACAGCCCGCATGGGTACTGGAAAGGAGCTAGCGCTGTAGATAAGCTGGCTAAAATGGCGCGAGTACCCCCGGAGGAGGCCAAAGCGTGGCTTGAAAAACAAGCCCTGCGGCAGATCTATTTACCCGCACCACGCTACGTGCCTAGGAGGAGGTTCGGTATTAACATGCCCAATAGCGTTCACCAGGCAGACCTACTGTTCCTACCCCACGACAAGAGGTACAAGTATGCCTTAACCGTAGTGGACGTGGCCAGTCGCTACAAGGAAGCCGAACCCTTGACCGCGAAAGATTCTGCCCAGGTAGCCAGAGGATTCGAACGCATATACAAACGCAGTCCGCTGACATGGCCAACAGAGCTGCAAGTTGACCCCGGCGGAGTTCATGGGTGGCGTGTCACAACTGCTAGCCAAACACGATACAAAGGTCAGGCGTTAGCGTAACGGCTGGAGCCCATCGCAGCCAAGCCATAGTTGAGAGATTTAATAGGACTTTGGCTGAGCGCTTATTCGGCCATCAGTATGCGAGGGAGATGGCAACCCCGGGAAAACGATCGACTGAATGGGTTTCACGGCTCCCTAAGGTGGTGTCGGCAATCAACCATAAAACCACCCGGCTCACTGATAAGAAACCGGCAGACGCTATCAAACTAAAATCAATAGTTGCAGAGTCGGCTGCTCCATTGCGTGGAAAAGAGAAACAGATACCAGATAGGGCCCTAGTGAGGTATCTATACCAGCCGGGGGAACACGAGGGTGATAGCCGTAAGCGAGCCACCGATCCTATATGGTCAGTCAAAACTTACAACATAGATAAAGTGGACATCAAAGCAGACGAGCCTAACTTGTACTACTTGAGGGATGGGCCAGGTAGGGGGTTTGTAAGAGCGGAATTATTGATCGTACTGTACGGCACCGTGTTACCTCCAGTCAACACGGCATAGCGGTGCCCCAGGATACCAACACACTCCAGCCATGTCCCCGGTGCGGCTAGGAGGTGCGTTCGCATCCCGCTATCGTCCCAAACTTTTTCATAGTAGGGGTAATGGTAGCAAGAGCTAAGGGTCCGACCAAAGCCTTACTTGTGAAATAAGGCTTTGCAGAGGCTTTGGTTGAAAGTGATCCAGAAGCCCCATTGTATATACTACTGAAAGTATATCTAGCTTATGTGGTAAATTTATTCAGTACATCATGCAAGTCCATACCAAAGATGTTTTGTCAGCAGAGATTTCCAAAGTGAAGGAAATCATTGTTTTGTTTTCATGAAAAACAACCCCACCATAAATAACAATGAACAGCATGCAGGCATGCATGCATGGAACTTGGACTGACTGACTGACTGAGTTTAGTTTTACGCCGCTTTTAGCAATATTCCAGCAATATCACGGCGGGGGACACCGGAAATGGGCTTAACACATTGTGCCCATGTGGGGAATCGAACCCGGGTCTTCGGCGTGACGAGCCAACGCTTGAACCACTAGGCTACCCCACCGCCCCCCCCCCATGGAACTTGGAACAGCATTCAAATGAAAGTGGAACAAAACCATTATTTAAATCTATATGTTGATGGTTCATATATTCCATGGTATTATTATCAATGTCATATTACCATTTCATAATATTCTTTAATGTTCAAACTTAAAGGTGTTTATTGTACATAGATTAGGAAGTTAAATCAGTGGGAAACATCATATAAATTTCAAGAAATTAAAACAAATTTAAGTTGAATGAATGCTAAAGATTAATAGTAATACGTTAGGATTTTAAATATATATATATATTTTTAAAATAACAACATACTAACATCAATTTCAAGTTTTTTGTTTCAAAAGATAAAGAAAAGAAGCTCCTTTAACATGCTTCAAAAGAGCTTGTAAATAAAACAAAACTCAAAACGTTATTTAAATAAAGGTACCATGTTATCTGCATGATATCTGATGGCTGTGGTCGTAAATAGTCTCTGAACAGCTGACACTCTATTGTTGTTTGAGTGGAGTATCATACCATAGATGGTAGCAATGGTAGAAATCTTAGAGGACATAGTTATCTTGTCACCTAGTGCAGAATGCAGAATGGAAAAGAGAAAAGGGGACACCCTCTGCAGTTCACACACTGCCTCCCGAAAATACATCACAGGTAGACAAATACTAAGGGGACTTTGAATAGAGAACGCTCTTTCCTGGTGCACACATCTGAGTCAGTGCTTGACACATATGTTCAATGTGTGAGGCCCATCCACCTGTATCTGGTTTGGTCTCAATAAGTCTTTCTGCAGACAACTTGTTTTGTCTGTCAGTTTGTTCTGAAGCAGATTGGACAGTACACTTTGCATACACATGTTCAAATTTCATAGGGTCATGTTGTGGCTGTGTTGTTGCTGCGTAGAGATGATCGTGCTTAGATATGTCAACACTCTGTGACGAATCATTTCTCTTGTCAGCAGAAGATGTTGTATCCTCCGAAAACAATGTTCTTCTGGATTCCTTTTGGTCTGATTTGTCTGACAGGGATGTGGACTCATCACTAATTCTTAGTTTCTCTACAGAAGAAATCAGTTGACTCGCAACGCTTAACCTTTTAGGTGTGCTTACCTTCGGTGTTCCAATTAGTCTTTTGGGCCGTTGTAGTTGCTCTAGTCCCGATTTGGCATTGCTTATTGCAGTCGCTTGGAAGACAGCAAAGCTTTCGACCTTATTGTGGCACGAACGGCAAATGTAAAGTAATTGAATGTCCGTGTCATTGATTTCTATCCGTATGAACTGCCTCAACCTGTCCCTAAATGCTAGATCCTGTGTTAATTTCTTTCCTTTTAAACTGAGTAATCTTTCGGTCTTCTTCCTGCAGGTTAAACAAATGATCTTGTTTTCTTGGAGTAGCCATGCTTGGAAATTTAGAGTTATCTTTCCTTGGAAATAGTCCGTGAATCTAGACTAGTTTCATCTCCGTGCCCGTTTGCGCTTAGACAAGGCCCAGTCGTAAACATGGCCACGAGAGGGGTCACACTCAGGCACAGCGATGACTTAACATAACATCACTGCCACAGGCTAATTTGCATATCACGTGACCCGGACTTTTCTCTTGTTTGTAATCAAACGCACATATTCATAATAAGAAGAGACTGGACTCACGAAAGCTTTTCGGCGCTCTCTTCATAATGCTTTTACATTGTTACATATATAGTCTTCCACAACTGCGACAGTAAGGTCTATGACAGTACATATTTAGGTATCAAACCGGCTGCATCGTTTGCTCTCCATCAGCTTCGATGACAGCACGTGGAGCCGTACAACCTATGTAAACCAAGGATCGCTACGCAAATCGAAATAGTGTTACATATTTTCTCAGTGAAACTAAACCATTCTATTAAAGATATTTAGTTAGATGTGTAGACTTGTCAAAAATAAAAGAGTAAAAGAAATCTGTACATTATATTGAATGGACATTGCAAGATGTGACGAATCGTCACATTTTTGTGGCCTGTGGCAGAGGTACTATGCTGGCTTGCCGCATGGAACTCTGGGTAGGAGAGTGGAGAGGGGTACGAGACGCCATCCGGCTTGCCGGAATGACCCCAGTAGTTACGATTGATCATTTGCTAGACTATGCAAAGGGAGATGACTCGTGCCTCGCATTCCTCTATCTCTCGCATACGAAAGAGTCTCGAGCTAAGCTTGGATCGGATCGTAAGATCGGCCTAAGATCGGGTAGTGGAAAGGGTGTAACTTTTAGCTAAGACTATTGTAAAATTGGCGTAACTTGCTAAGATTGATCTTAGGTAAGATCGGTTAGTGGAACGGCACCCAGAAGAGAAATCAGAATCTGACTTACATTGACCTATGGTCAAGGATGATGAAACAAGACATAGTTTACAAGAGGTACCAAAACATACTTGCCTTGGTTCAAATATCTCTTGTGATGGCAGTGTCATCTGCAGAATGTGAGAGATGGTTTTCAATGATGGGGAGAGTCAAAACGGACTGGAGATCTAGGCTGCAGCCAAGAACACTCTCCACTCTCATGACAGTTGCTCAGTGCAAAACAAAGCTTGCTGACTATAAGCCTGGAGGGGCCATAGGTAGATGGATGAGAGCCAGCAAATGTGGCAGACGATGGACCCCATCTTATGGTTCAAGAACAGATGACGCTTAAGAAAGCCTTCTTAAGCAGAAGACACATCGGTGATGACAGAAAAAATTAGATTTGTTGTTAACTAACATTAGATTTTAAAAGATCATCACCATTGTTAGTCTTTCATTCCAAAAATATGTGGGCACACTTGATTACTGAAAGGCACACCTAAAATGTTTGTCTGGTGCCCGAAGGCACACTTGGTGAAAAAAGTATTTCTATTACTGGAAAGGTTTCCTTTGTGCTCCGGAAACAAAGCCCACCCTCCTAGTCTAAGTCAAACACGTTTCCAGGGAAATCAAGAAAAATAAAAAATGACAAAACTCTATAAACAGCAAAAGGCACCACTTTAGGGTCTGATTGATATATCTACCAATTTTTGTTGAAACATAATTAACGTTTTTTGAGTTATGCTCCCGAAACAAAATGATTACAGACAGATGGACAAGGCGTTGACTAAGTAGAGAGTGAGAAAATAAAAGATACCCAGCATATGCTTAATCAAGGTTTACTATACACTTTCCCAAAAGATGAGGGCAATAAGGTTTCTTAACCACTCATGTGTTACAACAGATGGACAGCTTCATTCAAATTCATAAGAAAGTCAAATATAGTTTGCATCATTGTTTATTTACAAAATTTCAATATCAACATATCATACAACTTTGGACATTTTTTAAAATATGTACTTACACATGTCAACCTAAGGCTGAAAATGAATCTTTCACACTGACTGAATTGATGTACTCTTGAGATAAAAAATACAATTCCTTGATGTGACAAAACAAAACAATGCTTTGACATTACAAAACGTAACAACCAATTGTGAGCCATAGCATTTAACATGTAGATGTTTTGAGGTAGATGGCCCATCATGTTAAGAATCCGATGTACCTTTAAAATATCTACATGATTCCTCAAGATTGATGAAATGACTAGGTCTGAATTCTATTCTCAAGCAGTTGAACATAACCATAAACATCTTTTGAAAACAATTTCACTCGTAAGATTTTGACAAGTTTAAACTAAGTGAAACCTCAAACGCAATCTTAATATTTCTTTTCATTTACATAATTTACACTTAGTACATATTCTTATGTCAGTTCCATATCAGGCAACATTCAACTCAGCTATACCACATTTATACACATCTTTCACTCGAAATGGCAAATCACACAATGAATAAAGCCACCATGAAACAAATATTCACTGGATCACAAGTTTTTAGAACAAGGCTGTCGGCATTCGTGCATCTCCTTATCGTAAGTGACTTGTTGCTTTAGGTCAAATCTTTAGGTTCTGAAAATGAAGCACCTTCTTCTAGAATTAGTTCTAGTTTTGTGGTGGCATCAAAAGAACATGGACAATGTCAGCTATTTCCACATTCAAATTACAGACTTCCCATCAGTTTGAATGATCACATTGGTCAGGAAACACACTCAGAAGCGAGACACTTTCTTGTATTATTTCTGGAACAGCTCGCTCTGTGATATCCACCTGACAGTGCATACGGACACCATCCCACCAGCACATGGGAATACCTTGGTTTACTGACTTAAGCATTGATACAGTCCATCATGTCAGCACTTCAGTGTTTTTTATCTGGATTATTTTAATCCTTGACTTAGGTTTTCAACCAGACAGATCTTGTGCTTCAAACATGTCAGGATCATACTTCTCGGCTCTCACAATTCTCCCGCCAAAGAATCGTCCATTTAGGGACTGAATGGCCCGTTCTAGACCTGAAACAAACAATATTTCAGTGGCTGATTATCATCTAAGGCTCATAAATACATGTACTGGTGACTTTCCATAATTTGCATAGCTACCATTTTTCTAAATTCCATTGGTAATAGTTCTGTAAAAAGTTGGTGCACATGGGTTTACAGATAAATGTATAGGAAATTTATGCATTTCAAATTTGGCAACATTTGTCTGTGACAATTCAGTTCAGTTACAAATGTTTTACAATGAATCAGATTTATTTCATTAAAACCCTAATTCATAAAAATTTCTCACAGAAGTGGAGGGTTGACCCTCAATAGTCTACTACATTTACTCCATGGGGTTCCAACAGCGTAAATGAAATCTGTAGTGCATGTAACCGCACTGGATGGAAAAATCGATAGATCCTTAAGGGGCCAGCAGTTATTTCATTTAAAAAAAGTGTCTATTTTTCTTTTTCAATGTTTCTGTTTTATGACATTCCAAATAATCTGAATTCTTTTTACACTTCATTGAAAATCTTACCATCCTGAGCAGTGAATTCCACAAATATCTTGACAACAATCTCAGCATCCTCCTCTTCACTCTGTTTCTCCTGATAGATGATAACTCGGTTAACAACCCCAAACTTGCCACACTCCTCCGTCACTTCAGTCTCCAGCTCGTCATCAAGGTCTTCAGGGCCAACCATGTTCCTAAGCACCATCACACGTGCCTGCAAATACATAATTATTAGTAACACCATCAGTACAACTTGTACTCGTTCAACATAAGCCTTGAACCTTTTATTAATGCAACAGTACAAAATACTGCTAACTCCATGGGTCAAAGATAAACTGACTGACTGGGTTTGGTTTTACGCTGCTTTTAGCAATATTCCAGCAACATCACGGCGGTCAAAGATAAACCCCTTATAATCTTTCACTTTAGCTTACAAAACAAGAAGGTATTCTGAGCAAAGATTCTTTACCTGTTCTTCAAAACAACTAAAGAACGCTCATTGTGTTCGTTTCAATTTGCTTGAGAGAAGATACAAAGTTATTTTAACTACAGCCAGGATGACATGTAGGCGTACCTGAGGTGCCCTCATCAGTTTTTGCATGACCATATGCCTGGCGTTACTGCCACTGATCTTCATGTTCTCTTGCTGAGCAAGACTCTGACTCGATTCATCATCCAACTTATTCTGCTTTCCATCCTTCTTCCCATTCTTTGTATCCTTCCCATCCGGTGCCATTGCTGACAATGCTGACGCAACAGATGCTGCTGTAGCTGGAAAACAAAGGAAGATACCAATCATACACACTTCTCCCAAATGAAACCAAGAGCAGGTGTTTGCTGCACAAGGAATGCATCCGAGGCAGAGACCATCAACAACCTACTCTCCCCAACTTTATGATAACCTTTGTTGTTTAATGCCACACTCAGCAATATTCTTGTTGTATAATAAATGCTTGACCAGACAATCAAATGATCCATATACGCAATTGGAAAACATAATTAGTTGACTCTTTGTGTCAAATGGGTTGCTCAGGACTAATTCTAACCTGCATTTTTATAAGTTTTTCAGTGACTAGAATGAGACGAAACACTTTTCTCTGAAAGTCCCCACAATTTCAACAAATTCCATGCTATGTAGGTATGCAAGACTGGCCCATAGTGTGATCAAGGTACGACAACCAATCAGTTATTACATTTATAACCAATCCATTAATTTTCATAGTTGTGTGAGGTGAGGTGAAATTGGGTTTAACGTCGTGCTTGAGAATATTGCGCTCATATGACGACGTGCATGCGTGTGTATGTGTATGTGCGGCTGCTTGTACTAGCCCAGACTGAAGCTGGTTTTATAGTGCTAGCCCACTGAGATACCATGTCGCAGTGAAGCATGAATACCCCACTCAAACACATTATACTGACTCCCGAGCCGACCAGTCCTTTATGTACCCATTAATGCCGAGCGCCAGGGAGGGACCAACAAGTACCATATTTTAATGCCTTTCGTATGAAGCGGCCGGGGATCAAACCCGCAACCTTCCGCTCTCCGGGCGGACGCTCTAACCACTACACCAAAACCGTTTCATAGTTGGGCAATATTGTACAAGGCCTGTTTGTTGTATAATGCCACTTAGCAATTTTACAGTTTTATGACGGTGGCCAGTGAGTAATCGAGCTAACAAACACTCCAGTTGTCAACAACTTACCATGAGGATTACTTGGTGCTGGTGGTGGTGGAGCAGGAATACTAGCAACGGAGGGCATACTGATAACATTGGGTGCAGCAATTTGTGAGGGAGCAGACAAAACTGGAGCCTGTCCCAAAACAGTTGGCATGGCCAGTCCAGCTGGGGGTATCACACCACTTCTATTCACATCAGGTGACCCCACTCCATTACCTAGTGTTGTGGGCATGGCTAGACCTGGTGGAGCCTGGAAGACATGAGAAAGAAAAATTAAAACAGCTTAGTACTACCTTGACAAGCAGTGATCCTGTTTCATAATGATGCTACAATATATCATTAACAAGAAGACAAAGTCATCAATATCCCCCGCAATGGCAAAATACGCTTCATGATTATGTCTACGAGTTATGATTATGTCAAATATTTAGGTGTGTATATAGAAAGGTGGAAGGAGAGTATTGAAAGGTTTCTAAAGTTCTGCTCCAGAAAGCAGCACTATCACCAATTTCAGGCTAAGTCAAACTTGTTGCAATGGAAATGGCAAAAATATTTTATTCAGAATTCCAAAACTACCAAAAGGCACAAATACACCACCAGATCTATCTATGTGCCAAGTTTGGTGAAGAAATGGTGAGCAGTTTTAGAGTTCTGCTGCGGAAAAGAGCACAACCACCAATTTCAGTCTAAGTCAAACTTGTTGCCATGGAAACGCCAAAAATATTTTATTCAGAATTTCAAAACTACCAAAAGGCACCAGTTCACCACCAGATCTATCTTTGTGCCAAGTTTGGTGAAGAAACATTTAACGGTTTCAGAGTACTGCTCCGGAAAAGAGTCCTACCACCAATTTCAGGCTAAGTCAAACTTGTTGCCATGGAAACGCCAAAAATATTTTATTCAGAATTCCAAAACTACCAAAAGGCACCAGTTCACCACCAGATCTATCTATGTGCCAAGTTTGGTGAAGAAACATTGAACGGTTCTAGAGTTATGCTCCGGAAAAGACAAATGTGCACGGACGGAGTCCATTTTAATACCCCCCGCAAAACGCTTTGCGGGGGATAAAAATGCCAATACGTTCCTTGAAATAACTATTTAAAGCTCAACCATTATACCAAAACCTGTAAAGAGCAAAGTTCCCAGGAAAGCTGGCTTCAAAGACTAGACAAAGACAACTTACCAGGTTAACAGCAGCCTGCTGTGCATCTAATGCTGTGATCTTCGCTGTGACAGCTGCAGCTGCAACAGCAGCAGCAGTGGGCATGCTTCCTGGGCCTGACGGTGCCTGTAGTGCATCTGGGGGGAGTGATGGCCTGAACCAAACATAACACTTCTTTAAAATTTGACTCATCTTTCAAAACCAAAGACTCATCACTTAATAAAAATATCACAACACCATCAACTGTTTCTTTTAGAAACATTTAACAAGACTTAAAATTACATGTCTTACCCTGCCAACTCGGAGAAACTGGCCACCAAGATCAAATAAATTCATGGAGGAAACTGCATCTTGAGCTGCTTGGGGGGTGTCATACTCGATGAAGCCGTAACCTCTGACAAAGACAGAATTGAATAAATACAGGTTTCTGTGAAAATAGTGCAGTATGCAAGCATATCATTCAAGATTTCCATGTGATCTAATTTTTTTTGACTGTTTCAATACTTTAACAAACCATTTCTGCATACCAAGAAATGCTGCCTTCCAAAAAACAAAACTATTAGAGTAGTGTCATAAAAAGTGTGTATATGTTCTCCTCGCAACAAAATATTTCGCCTCCCAGAATAAAAATTTGATACTCACTTGTGTTTTCCTGGTTTGGATCCATCTAGGGCTAGTTTACATGATTGAATACGACCAAAAGCTTCAAATACACTGGAACACAAACAGGCAATTAAATCTTAACATTCTCTCATCTCATCTCTCATCAGCAATGTTGCAAGATTCCGTCAATTTTCTCACAGATCAAAAACAGACCATCTAGACAAGTGTCACTTTTAAAAAAAAACACAAAAAAAACATATGCGGAAAAAAATTTGGCAGGACAATTCAGTGAAACAAATTAGTTAAAATACTTCAGTCTGATGTAAAAAATTGGTAATTTTTTCTGACATGGAGAAAAGCATCATGCCATTGAATAGTGGGTGGGACCTACTTCAATAAAAGTTGATGGACATTGCTTTTATATAGTTTCTCACACTAAGTTATCATGTACGTTATTACACACAAAGTATTACACAGCAGCCATAACAATGAATATCCTTGATTCAACGTCTAAAATCTACAACCCATACAGCAAACTCCAGTTCTGAACCATAAGATTTCATAACTGCATCATACATAAAAGTTGAAAGTAAAACCTATCACCATGCAGCAATATAGGAGAAATTTATCAAACCTGCAATATCATCAGTGTTCTGCAAACAACCTACCTTTGGATGTCAGATTCGGATAAATCACTGTGTATTGATGCTACATATATCCTATTATAATTCTTGGCTTCTGCTGCTAACTGTTCAATGATTGGTTGAGCTTGTGGCATATTGCTGGGGCGTCCCACCTGAAACAATGTACACAAAATAACTATTAGCATCAAAGCATCCTTAACTGAAGGTACACACCTTCCAACAACAAAACAGTGTAATAAACAACTTATTAGTTAAGCATTTAAAATGGTTATGCATCATGACGGTGTGCAAACATCAAATGGACAAAGGCTAGGAGAGCATCCTACTGCAATACCAACTCTGTTGTAGAGAAAACATTTATGTTCATGATGAGTGACTGAATGAATGAAAACATGGTATTTCTGTCTTAACATCTGATACTGCAAAAATTAATTGTTTAATATACTTGCATTACTAAACTGAAACATGTACCAGGGTATCACTTAGAAAACCCTGAAGATAAATAATATTTTTCGGGAGGCTATATCAACACAAGTAATTAGTAAAAACAAGCTCTACAATGAACTAATTCTTGTTTTAAGTTGTCTTTTTTTGTTTTATAATAGAAAACCTGTATGTACAAATGTTTTTTGTCTGAAACACTACACCCAGGGCATTCCACCCACAAGTGTCAGCTGGCTAATACATAGAGTTACCTCCCTTCAGCCAAATCTCTTGGCGCTCTTCGGTCTTTGGACAGCTTCAGGTCTAATATTATCGCATGTAAAGATAATAAATTCGAGAGCATGGTTTATGGTAGATTAGCATACATTGTGATTATAGAACCAAAAATAGTCCTTCAAAATATTTCATTTTTCTATCATTTTACTTGTCAGAACTATGGGTAAGAAAACACAAAAGAACAGTCTAGTGAAGAATCAGCTGGATAGTGATATAACAAAATAATCATAATTGTTTGGTTGAATTATTCACCTTAAGAGGACATACCCAGAAAGGTGGCCTTCAAGACACGTTTTTTCTCTTATCAAAATTGAAAGAACATACAAAAGATGTGTATAAGAAACAGTGATCATTTGTCAAGTTCTTTGTAAATATTTCATCATTTTGATGGTCTTGAAAGCAGGTACAAAGATGCAGATTAATCAAACTATTCTAAAAATAATGACAAACCTTTATAAATAATGTCTGTGGGAATGCAGGATGTTTACATATGTATCAATATACTTACTCGATTTCCATTCTTCACAAAACCAAGCTTTATATTTGTAAACTCATAAGCGCCTCATAAATTCAAAAAGCAACAAAACTACATGTCAATGAATTTAGAAATCTGCTTCTTTGTGTGACTACATCATGTGTTTGCAAATCATTTCTCCAAAAGATAACTGAGCCTCAAGATAACAATCACAAGAGGTTAAAAATTACACTGGTCTACATTTGACTTCACTTAGTCCAGATCTGATGTGCAAACGCATGAAATGATTTCATCAAAGTGCCAAACTAAACCATAGGGTATGTCCTTCTAAGAGAATATAAAGTATCACGGTCAAATATCAAGCCACCTTGATGTTGCGGCCTCCAATCATAACGCCATTCATCTGCTCTAAGGCTAGTTGGGCCGCTTCTGGAACGTCGTATTCGATAAATGCGAATCCCTTGTGTTTGTTTGTGATAGGGTCCCATGACAGATTGACGCTTTTGATGGGGCCGAATGGAAGAAAAGCTTGCTTGATGGTGTCTTCTTTTATCTCGAAGTTAATGCTGCCAACGTAAATCCTGCAAAAAGATGATATATGTTAAGGCTTGTTCCAGTTTTACATGCATGACACAAATAAATCCCCTATCCTTGGTTGTGGCCTTAAATCTTTTTATCAAACAAAGCGAAAAAAGTGTATGGATTCAAAGTTTGGACTTCCGATGAAGGTGCAACTTCAAGAACTGGCTAGAATATTACCTACAAATATGAATATGAATCCTGAAAGACAAAATTAACACATCCTCACTTCAGAGTAAATGACTTTTTGTACTGTAGCAAACTTTGTACTGTAGTGGAGAAAAGTCATACCTGCACATAAGTGCTAAAGCTTGTTGTCTTTGAACAGTGTTCTGGAAATTCTGCATTTGCTGAAAACAAAATTGAACACAGTAAAAAAATTGAACATTGAAAGGTCATTAATATTGAACTATATTAAAATGACATACAGCAGCTTGCTATTACTCTTCATGTTTCAAAGCAACATTCCCTGGAAATGATAACTATTGTGTCAGAGCAGCCAAAAGCATGATCGAACAAAATCATTCATTCCACATGTCACGACTTCGATTGTTATGATAAACAACCATTGTCACTAAGGTGACATAATCCCTCAAACATATCAAATCAAACTTAATAAGTAACGAAAGTGAAGGTCGTAATTTAAGATGAAGTTAAATGTCAACAAAAACATGACCAGTCAACCTCTCTTGATATCTTGCTCTGTAGTTGTTCAAATGCACAAATATTTTCAAGACTCACTTTGACCTTGACATGAATGTCTTAGTGTACGAAATATGAAAAAAAAAATAGTATAGTAATAAAGAAATTGCTTATTGAAAAACATTCAAGGGAAGTCTTGAAAGTCTATGAAGAAATCCAGTGAACTGTTCTTGAGATATTTCGCTGACAATTAAACATGCAGAAATCTTCAAAGTGTTGCCGTGACCTTGAAAATTATGTGAAGGTCACCAAAGTTGACTGGGCCTTGCACCTTCCCCAGATGAAGCTTGGTGTCAAATATGAAGAAAGTCCAGTGAATGGTTCTTGAGATATCTCGCTGACAATCTTAACATGCTGAAATCTTCAAAGTGTTGCCGTGACCTTGAAAATTATGTGAAGGTCACTAAAATCGACTGGGCCCTGCACCTTCACTCGATGAAGCTTGATGTCAAATATGAAGAAAATCCAGTGAACGGTTCTTGGCTATCTCGCTGACAAGCTTAACATGCAGGTTAACATGTTGAAATCTTCAAAGTTTCGCCATGACCTTGAAAATTAGGTGAAGGTAACCAAAATCGACTGGGCCCTGCGCCTTCCTTAGAAAAAGCTCGGTGTTAAATATGAAGAAAATCCAGTGAACAGTTCTTGAGATATCTCGCTGACAAAGCTAAAACGTTAAAGTCCCCTTGTGACCTTGAAATGAAAGTCAAGGTCACCAAACCTGACTTGGGCCTTTCTTTTACTGTGATGAACCTAGGTACCAAATATGAAAAGAATCCAGTCAACGGTTCTTAAGATATTCCAATTTGTACGTACATACGGACGGACGGAGCCTAATACTATATCCCCCCCTTCGCGCTAAACGTGTGGCAGGGGATAACAATGCTGTTAATTAACACTGCAAAATTCAGGAATACTGCCTTTGTATGTATCGTCTGGACATCGATGAGCAACCATCCATGCAAATGTGAAAATATTGCATCGATTAATCCAAGTCAGCCAACCTGCACAAACATCCTGTCAGTCGCTTCTTATGAGGTAACTGGGGACTTATTCTTCCCTGACATCCTTCTGATGTATGAGATACAACTTGTTAGCTTTATTCCTGAACTCAAAACAAGAGCTAAAGGAAGCAGCTTCTTACCTGTTGTTGATGAGCTATTGTCTGTTTGACAAGAACACTCTTAATGCTTTGCTCCATTGCATACTTCTTGGCTCTTGCTATGGAATCTTGTTGTGTGGATCCTAATTTTGGCAGGGTGAATGGTTTCATCTCCCTCTTCGCACCCGGACCCTCCAGAACAGTACCTGTCTGGTCTGCTTGAGGAGCAAACAGCTCATCATCATCTGTGGCAATAAGTATACTAATAAGTCAAGGTCAACAACTTAAAGCCTATCTTTGTCTGTCTTACCAACAAACCTGGCTTCATATATTCCAGCAGAAATTTGAAACTCATCACGACTAATAATATCTTCATACTAAAACCAAATCTCACCCGATCCGCTACACCCAAATTCTCAAATCAAGTCCCGTTTCACAATTTGAAAGCCCATGAGCAGCAAAGTTGAATGCTATGTGTAAAGACAGACAAGATGGCTTCCTGACACAACCAAGGAATAAGAGGTAGACAAGGTTAAAACCCAGAAACAAGTGACAATTTGATGAAAAGGCTGTACTTCACATAAACATGTTTACCGCAGTTAACGTTGTGTATGTTAGGCCTCTGTTTTTGCCCTACTAGTGGGCTGAGGGACCTGCTCAGGGACAGAAGCTGTCATTAACCTGGCTCATAGGTGACGACACTTAGTGCTTCTAAACCAGTATGAAAAACATAGAAACAGAAGAGAAAGAAATCATTAGTAATTGGCAAATAGGAGTCTTCCAGCTGCATTGCACATCATCTGGAACTGAACGTCTCGCCTGGAACAGAAAACAAGAGTTTGGCATTCAAGGGCCTACAGCCCCAAAGGAACCAGCACAACTCGTGTAACACCTACAGATTCTCAACACACAGAGTAAAAACTCTGCCACTAACCTAACTTTGATACAAATCAGTGACAAAATTCAATCTGCCAATATTGTCACAAATGCTACCTGGGTCCTGACTTGAAACATTGTGTAGCTGCACCACTAATGCCACAACTACCACCAACTTTGAATTCCCTTTCTCATTACACAGCACTCACTATCATTAGCCTGAACATTTGCATTTTGCAGGGTGACCGCACCATGTACTAGAAACATGGATCACAAGGTTTTACATACTTAATGAGCATACACTTCAAGAATAAATGCAACTGAAATAAAAAATGGACCAGACTGATCTGAAATACTACTTGTGACAAGTGAATACCACAAAATCCTCAGACCAAAAGTTCCACAATAAATTTCTCCAGAATAACCCCTAAAGAAACAACAGCAAGCCTAGTTACCTAACTCCTATAGAATCAATAGAGACCTTGATCTTGCAGATAGTAAGATTGGAAAAACCTCCTACTGAATTGAAATGTCTTATGCCACAAAAACCATTATCACTTCAAGATAATACAAAATGTCATGCCTTTCCGTCCATGTGTATACACACAACAGTCAACATGCCAGCAGTAAACTAACATAGGTACACTCACAGAGCACTAAGAAACAAAGAAAATATTCTCAACAAGTTACTTAAGGTAGCAAGGTATATGTTAGGTGGCCTCATTGCATAACACCCATTTAAAAACGCTTGGGCAAGGATGAGAACACAGTTGGTAGTTGAGAAACTCATCTTTTATCTGTAAAATAAAATAATAATCGCTTCTACAAATACAAAATATCTAGTTGATTGCACATAGGATGAAGTCGTGTAGTCAACTCTCAATGAATAGTATCTGAAACTGAGAACATTTTAAGTGTGTGACAGACAAGCTAAAGGATTTTCACACGACTTAATATTACTGAATACAAATTGTGAGAACTTTCTTAAAATGTCCTCAATTACAGTATTATTTATTCAATATATTTAAGACTAAGGAAACCTGAAGATAATGTGCTTGCAAAACATTTTACTAGTTCAAGCAACCATATCAACAAACTTTGTTCGCAGTAATACTTGTACCCCATTTTTCAACATCAAGTATACACAGTAAACCATGAGGGTTTCCAATTGAGAACCTAACAATGACAACTTGTTATTGTACTTGATGTAACCGTTTCATAGCCAATCGGATGGCCTTGCAGCTCATCAGACATGTTTCACGCGGAGACAGCCTCTGTATAATGTCCACACGTTCCTGTTGAAAACACAGAGACAGAGAAAGGGACAGCATTAGATCACTGCCTACTTCGCAATTTCGGGCTGCCTAATAATATATGTCTACTGATCATTCATTTCTCATCATATTCAAGATTTCAAACATTTTTGGAACACAAAAACAACTTATTTGTTAATAACGCATCAGGTGATGTTAATTATGCATGTTTAGTTTTTAAAAACTTTTGACAAATTAGTGCAGAAATTTTGTAGGTTTGGTGACTAGATAACATAAAGAAGCTGTATGTTTAGTGAAAATGATGCTGATGGCCATCGACAGTAGATTCCGGCATGTAGTCGCTACTCAGTATGAGTCAGCAGTTATCATGTGGATGGAATTCTCAGGTCCCCCATTTTCTTACATCAATATTTCTGACGCTGAAAATACATGGAGAGAAAGAGGCATATGTCACGGGGACAACAATTCATAGTATTCAGTTGACAGAGAAGAAAGCAGTCTTTGACACATTTCAATATGTGAAAATGTGCCCAGCATTTTTTGGTTATTTTAAATACACACAAAGTATATTTATTAAGTCTGAAAAGCACCTTTGGGTTTCTGGAAATATATATATGCACAGAATTCCTAGAAACGTCAATACACCGTTGATATTCTTAACATGTGAAAACCGATACACAGCATGATCAGTAATGCTTCTCTGTCTATTGCAAGTTATCCTGGACGCAGGCAGAGTAGTCTCCCTTTGAGTACTTCTTGGCATCCTGAGGATCATATAAAACACAGGAAGAGCATGGAGTTTAGCTGTTGTCTCTCATGAAAACTGCACACCACACAAAATAAACTACATTCTAAAATACCATTACTGAACATTACGCATTTTTCAGCTCTGAAAGGTATTTGTCATGCAAGCAAATTTGTGATGGTATGAAATGTAACATAACAGTTACAGTTCATGATTCAATTTCTTTCGTTATCAGAAAACAAACCAATACCAAGTAGTCTCTTAGTTACCAAAAACAGAATGAACAACGGTATTGCCGCATGTGAATGAAACACTTATTCCGAATTGGTCATGCCAACAATTAATATTTTTAACAGGTGAAGTTCAGATGTTTCAATATTTCCTTATTGGTACAAACTCATGCAAGCACTTTCAGTAACAACTACTTTTGCAGTATTCTTTTTAAGTGTACTAAGACATCCTACAAGCTACACCTGGGAAACTTGTGACAATCTTGGAATCGGGTTAACTGAAAATATAGAAGATAAAGTACAGACAAAAGCATAGGTTCATCAACCTATACCACACTTTTGATCCATGAGTAATGATGCGTGATTTCAAAATGTCTTTCTCAACTGCTATACATTACATAATATTTTAGATTTTTTTTGCAAACAAGTGTGTTTACAAAGCAGATGTTTCTCTTCTTGTTGAAATATTTTTCAAGGACATATCATGCAACATACATATCAATAATTGACAAAATAAAGTTGCAGCTCTTGGATAAACTTTGCTACAGTGCAGACAGGATGACATTGTGAATTTCCCATAGTATTCCAACTGTAGCTCCATCTAACCAAAGCAGGCTACAGAAAAAAATACAATGTATACCTCTTTCAACCTTCATCTTCTTCAAAGCTGGTTCATCGTCTGAACCTCCCATTGCCGATATGGGAGCCTGCAAAAAAGTCAATAAGTTGGTCAGGTATTTTTTAACCTTTAAAAGATGCAAAAGTCATGGGCAGGGATTTACAGGACTCGAATTCCAGTGTCCTATACGCATAAAAATTGACAAAGGACGCAACAAAATTTATTAGTGCATCCACAGGGACGCAAAAAAAGTCCAATCAACTAACACAAAGTTATTAAACAGTCTGCTACCAGCAGGGTTATGGTATCATTTGCAATTCGGAAAGAGTTCCTTCCGTTCCCCCAAACCCTAACTCCAGAGGCCCAGATAAGCTGCGTATCCGGGTAAAATACGCATAGAATTACGCATTGAAAAATAATTGTTGCGTACCAATTACGCATTTAAAATGTTAGATACGCAGAAAGTTTAAAACAAATGCGTACGGAACATATTCATAAAAATCGCTTGCGTAATGAAAAAGACATCCATTGCTATCAAGTTGTACTGTCAGTATAGGAAAAGTGTTGTACTGTCAGTATAGGATGACTGATTTTTTATGAAATCATTTCCATTATATTTAAGTTGGTTTTGATTACCGCCTCGTTTTCCATTGACTGCTCGTTTACAGTAACATCGGTAAAAATGTGTGAATATAAATGGCTTCCGTATTTTACCCCATTCCATGTGCGTACAACTTCTGCTTACCACGTTCATGAGGGTCCGTATAACCTTAGTGTTGATTATATATATTTTACATAAAAATTGTAATTAAAATTACACAATGCTAGGCTATATTTCTTTGGGTTAAATAATAGTACTCTGTATTATATTTTACTGACGACTGTCAGAATTCGTCCCGTTATATTATTGTGCATGCTTGAACTTGTTCGCTGCTGATTGCTATTACCGGCTCAAATACACATGGTAATCTTAATCTTAATTAATTTATAGAGCAAAAACTGTAATTAAAATTACACAATGCTAGGCTATATTTCTTTGGGTTAAATAATAGTACTCTGTATTATATTTTACTGACAACTGTGTCAGAATTCGTCCCGTTATATTATTGTACATGTTTGAACTTGATCGCCGGGAAACGTGCACAGCTGATTGCTATTTCCGGATCAGATACACACGGTAAATCCCTGCAAATAATACAATGCCCAGCAAAAACAACTTAGAACTTAAAAGGTAAATAATCTTGTCTAGTGATGTTTAATTGCAAATTTGACGTCTCTCCTGACAAAGTCGTATTCTGTTGTTTATTCATGTGAAGTGATACGATGTTGTTTTCTTACCCCTGGAAAAAAGTTTGACAAAAACGTAACCCATGGATAAGACGACCCCCTTCTACAGACTGCTTTTTTGGTCCTCAAAATTCGGCTTAAAGACGGTAATATACGTAGGTATGACATAAGGCAGAACATACCTGCTTAGTAAACTTACTCAATGGCATATACTTAGGTGAGTAAAATGACTAATACGCACATATTTGAAAGCAGTGGGCAACAGAAAAAGAAATACCCACTCCAAAAGAATATAGTGGGTACAGTACCCACATGCGCTAAATCTTATCTGGAGCTCTGCTAACTCTAAAATAACCCTAACCCTAACTTAAATTTTGGACTTTTAGTCATTTTGTGAGTTCTCTAATAATTGTTGTGTTAATTGTTGAGTTTGTTAATAATTTTAGTATATTTATAAATATTACTTGGGATGGGGGAACGGGGGGAAGGAGGAGGAAAGAAAGACACCAGGAGTGGGCTTCAAACATTGTACCCATGTAGGGAATCAAATCTTCATTGTGACAAGCGGATGCTTAACTAGGTTACCCTACTGCCCCATTTCCCAAGTGACTAGGATGGTATATGTGGTAGCAACAAAATGGTGATCTATCTCTAAATAAAAGCCACTGACTAACTGCTACATCAAACAACAGTCACTTCAGCAACTTGGGCCTAATTAACACTTAGCTGAATGCCACTCAGGTGATGCACATTTGCTTGAGTGTCAAGAATAAAACCCCAATATTTGGCCCTTACCTTGTTTCTTACTATCAATTTGTCTAAGACACAAATATCAATAGACAAAATATGTTCATCTGTAGTGTGTTATCAATCAGGATACGTTCAGTACCCTTAAATAATATGTTCACAATTATATTCTCAAGTTCAACTTGAGAAAGCATATCACTGCATGCAAGTGTTGGGATTGAGTTTGAAGCCTTTTAGTGGAGTGAATCTATTTGAAATTGCTCAGATGTCAACATTTGACCCCAAGTTTCGAATTGCATGTTGCAAATAAAGCTAAAAACTCTTTCATAGGGAGTACTGCACTTTACCGGGCGCACTTTTTCAGATTAATTAGTGCTGCTGGGGTTCCCTAAACCTAACCCTAAGGATCGTAAAGGGTGCCTAACCCTAAACCTAAGGATCGTAAAGGGTGGCATACCCTAACCCTAAAGATCATAAAGGGAGCAGCGAGGGCTGCGCCCGGTAAAGTGCGTTCTAGCAGTGTAGGAAAGATGTAGAAAATCTAGCCTGTCCACAGGACTGGCAGGTCAATTTTTTTACCAGTCCTGCCAAAATCTAGCCTGTCCTCCAAATATAAACACCTTCGGCAGTAAATATTCAAAAAGGTTATAATCATTATATATATGTCATTGGTTTGCTAAAATTGACCCGACATGAGGACGGACTAGATATTTTTTTTAACCCATCCTCCACAAAATTCACCCGTCTCGGACGTTGGGACGGGCTATCTTTCCTACACTGGTTCTAGCCCTTTCATATTAACCTATATGTGTAGTTTAAACTGAAGTGATAGCTTCGTGAAGGCGGCTTGTATTTCACCGATTAAGTGACGACGTTATTGGGAATAAATAGGGTGATTTGGGCATCTTCCACAAATAACCTGACAGTATTTTCTTGTCCACTTTTACAATGTCAAAAGCGCCTAAAAAGGTTGGACACAAAAGGAAAGTTGTAAACCACGTTAAACCAGGTTGCTGGGAAGAGAAACTTGTACTCGTGGGAGACCAGAAGCAAAAACATTGATGTAGTCGAAACTGCGCATGTTCAAACTTGCAATATAGACCTACTTATGAGTTTTGTATTGACTGAAACGTGATGCGATAATTGCAGCGGCAATACGTGCTCAAATAACGTACAACCGCAACAGAGAACTGGCGACAGGTTTTATTCAAGGTTTTCTGACAATGTTTAAAAATACGCCCAACAGTGCCCTCCGAGTGGACGCGACGTACAATGAGCGAAGCATGTGCGCAGACAAACCAAAATGGCTGCCGTGAATTTTGAAAAACCACGCCGGCAAAATGATACCATTTAAGAAAAAACATTCGATTAAAGCACTTGATATTAGAATATTTTGATCCTTGAACATCTTAATATCAATGTTACAATACCTTATCGGCAACGTCGCCATTAACTGGCTCCGCCAACATATCAACTCCTGGAGCAGGAACGGCCATCCTGCCTTGATCGATCATCTGCGCGCATGGGTTAGTGCAAAGAACGAACTGTGAAGTGAAATCAGATTCACTTTTACGTCGCAGACGCACCGGAAATATGTGATCATAACAATTTCAGTATATATTGCAATGTAAACGTATGGAATTTATGACATGGAAACGTAATCATCAGTTTTGAAAATGAAAACATATTATAACAAAAATTCAAAGTGAAATGGTGGTTGACCTTGACGATTCGTTGGAATTCAACAGTTTCGCTCGCCCACCACAGACGTCAATTTGTAAGTAAGGCTCACAGTTAGTCTATAAGTGGAAAGTATAAGGAATTGTGTGTAAATTCCTTTTCAGTTATTGAATTACTCAAAATAAGTTCGTTGGGAATATGATACGCAAGATGTAATATTCCGACCAATGCGTAAACTTGTATAATAACTGGTCGTGACAGTGTTTACCCGGGCTATTGATGATTTACATATCGTGTTTGTGAATCTTGTGGGATAAACCTTTGAGTGGTCTACACTGAACCTCCCCCCACACCCCCTTACCCACCTCGACGCGTTATAAATGAAACAAATGGAAGCCCCACTTTTTAAAACCCTGCTACTTTGTCTGACAATGTTGAGGGGCCAGCTGGAAAATCAGGTGTTCAAGGTCGTGTTAAAGGTCATGTGCAACCAAAAAAAAACCACATAATTTAAACACAATTATCACTTATTCATGACATATAATATACATTGCTGATAATGAAAAATCAAATAAACAAAATTATAAGCGTAAAATCGCAAATCAAAAGTGCAATATTTTGTACTTGGGTTTACTTCCCTCGAAACGAAGCACCCGGGATACCGAACCCAGACGAAGGCTTTTATTGGCTGGTTCCTTTGCCGATACACTCAGGGCTCTTTCTGTGTTTATAGAGATATTGGGTTTTGTATATACATGCTCATGTTTTGTGTATAATATTTTGCAATCAACAGACATCATAACATGTCATGTGTACAAGAATCACACCTGCCTGTCTGTGTAATTACATAATGTGACAGAGACGGAACTCGGGTGCACGAGCCATAAATCAATGCGTTTTGTTTATGGTGTATAGCCTGATAGGTGTTAAGTTCAAATTGCATGTGGTCAGTGATCGAAGTTGTGTATTGCATATTGTCATTAGCAGACAGGCAGGCAGACACATAGGTGTCAATAAAACAGACATGGAGTTTTGTCTGTGACAGAGGCACATCTATATCACAGACATTCTGACAATGCTAAATAATGACGTTGCTTTTAAGTATCGAACTGAGAAAGTGACTCGGTAAGAAGAAAGTGTAGTGAGTAGAATGCTGTGACCACCTATAATATTGCTGTGTTAGGAATTTGTTGAAATCTCACAATTGATGATTGGTCCTTTACCAACGAGCAATCATCGAAAAGAATTGGTTAGCGTCATTTTTCAGATTTTTCTGTTCCCAGAGTCCTCAAGAAATATTCAGTCATGACTTTTCAGTAAGTGATGTGAGTTTTCTAAGAATTGAACACGTTTTCTAGCCCTGACAACATCTAAGATATGTTCCATTGTCAAGTGTTTCAAACACTAAAACAGTAGTTTCAAAATCATTTGTGTTCGATTATGAGAAAATGTGATGGATTGCTTGGCCGTCTAGTCGTTGTGACCAATCTTCGATTACTAGTATTTCAATTAATCGGATCACCACTACCACCTATTAGCTGATTGGCATGATGTGATCACCCACTGGGTGATGTAGAATGTTGTGATCACCCACTGGGTGATGTAGAATGATGTGATCACCCACTGGGTGATGTAGAATGTTGTGATCACCCACTGGGTGATGTAGAATGTTGTGATCACCCACTGGGTGATGTAGAATGTTGTGATCACCCACTGGGTGATGTAGAATGTTGTGATCACCCACTGGGTGATGTAGAATGTTGTGATCACCCACTGGGTGATGTAGAATGTTGTGATCACCCACTAGGTGATGTAGAATGTTGTGATCACCCACTGGGTGATGTAGAATGTTGTGATCACCCATTAGGTGATATGTCACGTTGTGATCACCCACCGAGTGAGGTAGCTTGTTGTGATCACCCACTAGGTAATGTGGCATGCTGTGATCACCCATTTAGTGAGGTAGCTTGTTGTGATCACCTATTAGCCGATTAGCCTGTTGTGATCACCCACTGACAGATTCACCCACATGTGGATTACCCCGGTGCGTTAACCCATAACTGATGCATTCTACTGGCTGATAAAGCCCACCGCGATATAGCGTGTGGTCACCCAGATCATATACGATATATTTTAATAACGGTGGGTAGTCTGTCTTAGTGTTGGGAATTGGTTAAAATCTAATAATTGATGATTGATCCATTACAACCGATCAATCATCGAAAATAATTGGTTAGCGTCAGTTATCAAATGTTCCTGTTATTTGTGTTAATACACACAAAAATAAAGAAAAAAACATGTAGTAATTTGTTTGTTTTTTCAAATTGCATAAAGTCCATTTGCAAATTTTGCATATTTAAATGATGATTAGTAGGTTAGGAACACATATTTCCTGGATTCTTTAAGATAAATTCAATCATGACTTGGAACGAGCTTGTACATGTAGTGCTTATGAACTGTAAATTTAATGACACAGACAAAACCAGCCTTGTGAAAAATATTGTTAATGCAAACAAGTGTTCAAAGATTGGTCGTGTTCGATTATGAGAAAACATGTTCGATTGCTTGGTCGTTTAGTCACTGCGACCAATCTTCGATTATTTCAATTAATCGGACCACCACTAGTCTGTCTCACAATCATTGAACCGCAGTATTTCCCTGCTGCCTAGCCCTTTCTGCAATGGTAAAGCCCTTAATGAATCAAGTATAGATTTCCTTAGGTTCTGGTTTAGTTTAAACATATTTTATACACAATGTGGAAAGGATCGGGGACAAGTTCTTTCAACTTATTAAACCCCTCTCCTCTCTCAGGTTCTGGTTCCATATATTCCAACTCACTGGGGCTCCTTTCCGGTGTTCGATTGCCCACATGGGTACAATGTGTGAAGCCCATTTCTGGTGTCCCCCGCCGTGATATTGCTAGATGATGTTGCTGAAAGCGGCGTAAAACCATACTCACTCACTTCTTTGTGGCGCTTCACCTCCGTGTTTGCTTAGACCAGCGCTGAGCCATAGACAATTTGAGTTTTAAAGATAAAACATTAAAATTATGTTTTTCAGTTTGTTGTATTATATCTGGTATTTATTTGTTTTGTGTTTTTTTTAACAAATTAACATTAAAAAATTACGAAATAAACAAAATCTAGTTAGAATCCGAATTCGTCGAGATAGATTCTTGTTTTAGTGAACCCCAGTGGTGAGTTTGGGCGAGTGAAACGCCATGTTAGAATAGTTTAATATGTTATTTTAATGTCCTGCAGTTATGCTACAAATGGCATGTTATTTATACGAAGACATACATTGGTAAAAGAAGACAATTTTGAATTTGTTGTATATTATTTCTGCGAGGCTTGTATTTACTGCTTTGTATGCAGGTCTACTTCCGGTTGAAAACACGTGGTTCGAAAACAAACACTCTTTGGCGTCTTACCAGATAACATAACATGGGCAAGGAGAAGAAAGAAAAGCGTAAGTCGGAGGGGGGCGAAGAAGAAGAGAGGGAAGATTCCTGGGATGAAAAGATCCGCTTCCTATGTCCGATAGCGGCTCCTCTGGCTTCACGAAAACTGACGAAGCGTTTGTACAAGACGGCAAAGAAAGGTGAAACAGAAATCGCTTCAGTCTCAGTGCTGAAAATCTAAAATATGATGTTTGTTACAAACTTGCCCCTTGTTATTGAGCTGCAACGCTGGCTTAAGTATTTTCACCTGTCATCTTACTTTAGATGACACCTCTTTGTGTACACAAACAATATTATATAGCATCTGTGCTGCTTGTACAGCGTTGGTCATCTTGGAAACTATCCAGATACATATAGACATGTATCATTTCCAATATAAGTATCATGCCATGCAATTTCAATATTCTTAAAAGTAAAAGTATCTTCTCCTTGGTCATCTCGATCATCTGCAAATGTTTCTACACCAGATTATTTCCTGCACACAGCTTTGACCAGCCTTTGGTATGTTTACTTGATAACATTACAGAACCATAACCTAAATTCGTGGATAACCTTGATTCGTGGATCGCGGAAATTATCATGCTAGCTCGTAAATTAAGTCTCGACTGACGTCACAAAGTTGTACTTTTGATGTACATACAATGCCATGCCTCGTTGACAAAAAAGTTCCGAATCTCTGCATTACATGCGAGTACACTGAATATACAAGCAAGTCCAGTAATTCCGCGCGTCCGGTAAATCTGCGCTGCTGCAATAGCCCACTTCCGTATCGAGGTAAACATCTGGTACCACATATATGCTTGAAATAGTGGCTTTTAATCACTAAAGGTAAGTAAATAACAGTAACTGACAGATAAATTGACAGTTTTATGAAAATTCGTTTTCTTCAGACTGTTAAACGTTTTTCTTCATTATTCATAATTGGATTTAATATGAAACACTAATACGCTTCAATACTTCGGATCTCCGGCCGGATGTTATGCGCAGCAGTTGCTGTGCCGATTTACCGGACAGCAAGCGATGTCGTCAGAATGCCGGTTAGGTCAACCATATGGCATAATGCAACGTTAGAATCTTATAGTCGTCAATAAAACTTATATTTCTAGGTAAATATGATGCATACCAGCATGTTTAGTCACGTAAACCACAAAAAATAGAGACGTTAGTTGTCGTGTTGCGATCGATGTGCTTAGGTGCACGGAATGACCAGACGGCATTATAATTGTCCAGCATTGAGATAAATAGCCCCAGATCACTAAAGCCACCATTACCAAATTTTATTTTTACAAAATGTCAGGTAAACAAGATACCGATAGCTCCAACCTTCGCACTTCTCGTTGTCTGCTTTCCTTGGTGTCTGGGTGGTGGGGTAGCCTAATGGTTAAAGCGTTGGCTCGTCACGCCGAAGACCCCGGGTTCAAATCCCCACATAGGCACAGTGGGTAAAGCCCATTTCTGGTGTCCCCTGCCGTGATGTTGCTGGAATATTGCTAAAAGCGGTGTAAAACCAAACTCAGTCAGTCAGTCCTTGGTGTCTTACTGCAGTGTTATGTGGTACATATTGGTATAAAGTAACCGACTACGTAATCCACGAAACAAGGTGACGTCACATTTTGTGGGCACACGAATGGTTGATGATTGCAAATGGCTTCCGTAAACAAACATTTCATTCACGAGTGGAATATTAGGCATTTTAAATTTGCTGAATCAATGAATAAAATAATCAGTGCGTATACAAAATGAAATCATGCATTTTTAAAATATGAATATCGCCGCACTTTCCTTATCTCCACGAATCAAGGTTAAGCGAGTGTACTTGTGGAGAACTAGCGTTCCATGATTTAGGAAACTGGCAGAGGGCATATAGCCAAGTTCTGCAAAATGTATATAGATCCCCTTTAAGTGGCACAGCTGGAACTTTTTGATGACAAACACAGTGGCATGCATTTAACAGACTCCTCACACTGACAAACATCTTGATTAAGCAAACCAAACGTAGAAGCATGAGATAAAGAATGTCTATATCTTGAAATTGCTAGTTCTAAAAGTACAATCGAGTGCTTCTATGTAAAATGTGTTGCCTGCATCCAAAATATATACCTGGAACTTATGCATCAGAGCTTGCAAATCTGATAGTAAAGAAAGCCACGGCGTATCGTGAGGCCTTTGGAAATACTCACTGTTGGGTACTCATAACTTGGTTGTCCAGGATACTATTATTATACATACTTTTGGCTGGCAGGCCCAAGGAACCTCAGGCTAAAAATATATCGGGGCCAAATAATTTGTTAACACTCCATCATGTTATGCATGATAATTTACGCACACTGTTTAATCAGAACAGCAGAATGTTGTTAAATGTAAATTGCCTTGATAACCCAACCGTTGTTGAAGTGAGTGTGCACCAAATTGTGCAAATGTAGTTTTGTAGCTGGCAAAATCACGCTCAGTGATATGTATGACCACATTATCAAACAGAACTTCCACAGGGCAGAAATTGGTAATCAACAGCTTTAGAGAATAATAATTCATGGTCATTTAGCATTTGTGTAAATCTGCAAGCGATATGGGTTAAGAACTTTGTCAAGACAAATAAGAATAGATGGAATCGCTTCAATTACTTGTGACATGCAGTGCTTGCACAGTGCACATGTCCCAGATCCTGTGAACTAATAGTATTGTGAAACACAAAAGTCACAGAAGCATATTCTTAAGTTAGAGATCTTATGTTACCGAGACAAAAACTGGACAACATTCAAATAAATGTGCAGGTAGGGCAACTCACATGCTTCAGTTACACATGCTTCAGTGTGGGGCAGAACATATCTGACATGGATCCTTGAACACACAAACAAATTACAAAATAGCAAAAGATGTTCAACACTTGAGTAAATAGTCACCAAAGGTTCACAATAAATAGTGAACATTTTATGAGTTCTTCAATATTCAGAGGCTATGTAGTCTGTTACTTGCAATGTTGTTCTGTTATGGCTAAGGCCCAGGTTTGATTCCCAGATGACCACCAAATATGAGATCCAGGTCAGAATTTGTCATCAGCAACCCCCTTTTTTGTCATAAGAGGCGACTAACAGGATCAGGTGGCAACGCTCACTGACTTGGTTGACACGTCATCGTATCCAAGTTACGTAGAACGATGCTCATGATGTTGATCACTGGATCATCTGGTCAAGACTCTTATTTACAGACCGCCGGCATATAGCTGGAATATTGCTGAGTGTGGTGTTAAACCCCAACCAACCAAGTATGAAGAACATTTGTGGTGCCCCACATTGCCCTAAAAGCTGCATAAAGTCCTCTTCAACTTCACATGGCATGGAAAGGGAGGAAGGTTTGTAACATGTCATATGCAGATAGGTGGGAAATTGCTTGTGTGTGTAAGGCAGTGTTAATTTATATTGTCATTCAAAGTGTAGCAGTCTGTTGCATACTTTGTTTCAGCATACAAGCAGCCCAAACATCTGGTACAGGGAGTCCGTGAAGTACAGAAGGCTATCCGCAAAGGGGAGAAAGGGTATGTATTCTTATATGCATATGTTTGTGTTTTGTTCTTTTTTCACTCTAGTGTAAGGCCAGACCAAGTTTTGTTTATTCTTGTTTTACAGATTTTTGACCTCAGAAAACCTAAAGGCACGAGGGAAAAATAAATAAATTAAAATCACCAGTCAAAGTAATATTCCTTCTAAATACTAAAAGTATTTTACGTTTTACACAATTTATGAAGTTTATATGGGGCAAAATACAATCTGAAAATAATTAAATAAGTTTACGTTTTTGGCCAATAAAAACATTAGGATTTATTTTTTGAACGAGGAAAATTCTTTTCTTTTCTTCTTATTCTTGAAAAAATACGACCAGCAGATCTGTAAAACAAGAAATAAAATTGGTCTGACCTAATGGGGGAAATACAATGATGGTTTGGGTGTCAGGGGAGATGAACTTCAAACAGGGTTAGGGAGTCAGGTGGTTGATACTTGAGGCTGTGGATGTCTCTAGTTGATAGTGTACCAGTGCACTTCCTGCATGTTTCTGTTTTGTTTCCAGCCTGGTGGTAATAGCTGGCAATGTGAGCCCAGTAGAGGTGATCTGTCATGTGCCGCTCATGTGCGAGGAAGCCAGTATTCCCTACTGTTACGTCCCTTCAAAGGAGGTAAGTACAGTTGACCAGTCCCTTATCAATACCACACTACCTGATTATTTCCAGACTGCTGTCACACAGTTGGAATGTTGCTGAGAGTGTCTTTAAACAACAAATAATCATGAAATGAACCAATTGTTTTCACTTTGCTTGTTGAGTATTTATATGTATTGTTGTCATGTACGCAGGACCTGGGTTCCGCCCTCAACTCTCACCGCCAGCTCTGCATGGTGCTGATCAAACCTCATGAGGACTACCAGGATACATACGATGAGTGCTTCGGAAGTGTGAAGGACCTACCAGCTCCCATGTGAAACATCTGACTGAAAATGTTCTTGACACACGTGTGGGAGAAATTGTCTTCCAAGACAGAACAGATGTGACGCATTGAATACAGTTATTGCTTGGTTGTATGGATGAATGCTATGGTAGTTGTTTGGTTTTGTAAGAATGGAGGTGGATGAATGTAAGGCTTGCCATTTAGAGATCATGACTCTTCAAGAGGCTATAGATTCAGATGTTGATCACAGCTTCTGTATCAGAAAACTCATAAATGGGCTTGTCATGTTGAGCCAATTTTTATCTCTTGGGTCAAACATTCTTTTATCACTTGCAGCACAGAATAATGCAGATGTGGTAAAATGATTAGTAATAGTGGACCCTGGCTCCTTCTTCGTGAGGTTAAAGGCAGCCAGGTAAATCTATCATCTGAGTAATAAGCAAGTTTTTCCTTCACACTCACAGTCCTAGACAAGGACTACTAACTGTTATAGCCCTAGACGAGGACTACTAACTGTTATAGCCCTAGACGAAGACTACTAAATGTTATAGCCCTAGACGAAGACTACTAACTGTTATAGCCCTAGACGAAGACTACTAAATGTTATAGCCCTAGACGAAGACTACTAACTGTTATAGCCCTAGACGAGGACTACTAAATGTTATAGCCCTAGACGAAGACTACTAAGTGTTATAGCCCTAGACGAAGACTACTAAATGTTATAGCCCTAGACGAAGACTACTAAGTGTTATAGCCCTAGACGAAGACTACTAAATGTTATAGCCCTAGACGAAGACTACTAAGTGTTATAGCCCTAGACGAAGACTACTAAGTGCATAAAATGATGGTAGTCCTCTTGTGCTGGTAGCTTTTGATGACTGTAATTCCGAACCAGTTTTAGAATCCTTCAGTTATACCACAAATTGGAACCAAACAAGACTCACAGAAATGTGAACATTTTTGTTTCATTCACAAACAAGCTTGAAACATTTTGGACTGGTGAAATGAGGTATACACTAGTCTTGAAATAAAAAGCTCCAAGAAATGTCCAAGTTTGTTTGCCTTGTGGTGCACAGCACAGCACAATATTCAGTCACCCAGTTTATGTTCATGTCCGTGTCTAACAAATATATCATCCTGTTTCTGCTAATGCAGGTTATGCTTTCTTATGGTCTGACATTTAGTCACAAAGACTGATATTTGAAGAATTGGTTAAATTTATCTTTGGGTAAGACTTGTGAGGACATTTTACTAACATTTCATAAATCATGACATTGTAACAAATATGAACTCATTTGATGAAGGTAATGCTGATATGTATGATTACATATTATTTTGTTTGTCATTAAAATGTCTTGTGTAACAGTTAATCGTTGTTATTGTGGTAAGTCAGTTCAGGTCAGACTGTTATGATTTGGGGCTAAGTGTTGTCCGAGTCGTGTTGAGATCCATGTAGTTTGATATATTGTGTTGGAAGAGTTGTGTTGTATTTACAACTTGCTGATTCCAGAAGAGTGAGTGAGTTTAGTTTTACGCTGCTTTTATCAATATTCCAGTAAAACCACAGCAGAAATTGGCTTCACACATTGTATGTAGGGAATCAAACCCGGGTCGTCAGCGTGATGAGTGAGCGCTTTAACCACTAGGCTACCCCACTGCCCCTGATTAAAGGAAAGAATGGACTTGTACTCCCAGCTTGTAAGATGACACGGGAGGCACATATGAATAAATGATTCATTGTACCATCATCCCCGGGTGGATTTCCTGTATGGAACTGACCCCCTTCTGCACCAATGCTGGTCATAAGACATTAAGGGATCAGGCATCAGACTGTGACTTGTTTGATGCACGGCATCATGTCACATTGGTGTAGATCATTGTTAACAGTGTTAATCACTGGATTGTTTGGTCCAGAGTGAATAATTTACAGATTGACATCATCCAGTGGCAGTGTTCGAAATAGCTACTGGCCCGCTAGCCAAGTGCTAGCTGATTGTGAATCGGGCCAGTAATATGCTATAAAGCTATCACGACTGGCTAGCTGAAAATCTCAGATGATTTGTTCTTTATTTAATGCACCTGAATATGATGATGCCAATTCTCCACAATGGAGAGCTGAACACAGAATGAATCGAATGTCGCCATTGTCATGTGGACTTCACAGTAGCAATGACAGCAGTTGAAGTGTACCCTGCAATGTTTATTGCCATAGTTGCTATGGCAACTTATTACAGACTTTCAGGCAGCAGAGGAATGCCTTCATTGAATAGTAATACTGCATCTATCCGGACACAGGCAAACATGCATATACGAAGACTGGTCATGTTCTCTTTGTTGCGCACCCCTATTTGCGCTACAGTTTGCCTGTGATCTGGAAGGTATTAGTTTTGTGATTTGAACACCTGTCACCTTGTACCAGAAGAGACATTAAAAGATGATACTTGTTACTCTGCTGCCTCATCATAAAGGGACAAAACAAGGTCTGGCACCTTAGAGTCCTCATGTGTTAAAGTGGGGTATGTATGTTATATATGGGGTTTGGGGCGGTGGGGGTAGCCTAGTGGTTAAAGCGTTTGCTCGTCACGCCGAAGACCCGAGTTCGATTCCCCCACATGGGTACAATGTGTGAAGCCGATTTCTGGTGTCAACCGCCGTGATATTGCCGGAATATTGCTAAAAGCGGTGTAAAACCCAACTCACTCACTCACTATATAAGGGGTTACTGCAGCTTGTAACTCACTGTGTTAGCACTGAAATACCAACATTAGTCAAGTGTTACAAGCTGACACATCACACCACACGTAAATCATGCAGTCTCTCGTCACTGTATCAGCCTAACACTGACTACAATGTTAAACCATGTTACACCTTCCTTCACCTGCACCATTCCCTATGGTTAAAGTTTGGTGTCTCCTAAATAATGTTGGTGTGACGTAAATACAGTTTCTGAAGTAATGACAAACACTAGAAGTTTACTTGTATTTTGAGTTTATTGTATATGAATTTGCTACTATTGCACAGTTCATAGATTCAGTCACAGCCTTGGGCTCATGTTCTACACGAGACAGCCAGCCGGTCTGAGATCATGCATCACAACATAGGTGGTGCACCTGAACACAACTGTTATGGAAGAACTATATGTGAAGAAGTTATGTTATACTGATCACTTGTTGGTCACACACTCCCACCCTTTTTTGTAAAATACGTTTTGACCTTTGTCGGAACAAATTATCATATTTACCTTAATATAACCTCACCCTTGCCCCAGACTGCGCAAAATTAACAGACGAAAAACAATTTTTATAATGTATCCCCTTCAATTCAGACCAATCATGTGACCAACAAGTATGTTATTTCCAATCAGGAAACGTCTGAAAATAATTCCATTTCTCGGAGACTTTAATGCAATTATTCCTTCATATTTTATGAAATCAACAAATATATCACCCAGATCTTCTGTTTACAGAAGGTTATTTGTGTGTTAAAACACAACGATTACTTTTGGATAATTTACTGAAAATCATTTTGAATTATTTTCTGAATTTGCCTTCATTTTAACTAATAAACAGCTTATTATGAACTTGCCAACATACTATACTCCAGGAATCTGTAGTTACATTAGTAACATTTTGAAGTAAAATCAGTTGTGGAAATGAGCCAAAATACTGAAAGCAGTTTGTATTGTCATAAATTTACAGCAATATATAGTTCATTAAGCGTGTTGAAGATTGAAACTGAAAAAAAATTTAGTATTTTCTAGTTTTGATCTATTAAAACAGCATAAATCTAATATAGTTCAACAGATAATTGAAAAAAAGATTGTATGCGAATGGCGTCAACTTCAACCCACTATTTTAGAAAAAGAACACACAATATGATAAAGAAAAAGAGAAAAAAGAATGTTCAAAACTCCACCTGTTAATATGTCTATATTTTACAGACTTGTACTGTCTCTTTTTGAAAACCACAAATATGGTAAATTGTTCTTGACAGAAGTTTACAAAGATGTCATGTTTGTAAATACTAAATGCAGGCTATTTAATTAATTGAAACTTCCCCCAAGTTATACAGTTATGATAATTTATGTCTATCTTGGTTGTTCGAAGACATTTCCGTCACATGAACTGACAGTGACAAAATCCTGGTATACCTTACTCAGGCAGTGTAGCTGGGCCACACTGAACATCTTACAGAGCCATAAATACATCACCACTGATGACTACACATCAAATAGTGCACACATGATAGAATACAGAGTCTCACCATGTTACAGTATGAACACTCAACTTGTCTCCTACCAAGTTTACAAATTTAGGAAAGCTAATGTAAACTAATAAATGGTTGCCATGGATATATTGCAGATGTTTGGTATGAATTTAACTGAAACTTGCCAATGTTCACTGAATACTACAGTTATCAGACTATTTATCTTACCTCACACATAAATGTCGCTTTCTGATTGGTTGAGCGCGCTCTTCTATTATTTTCAATGTACCCCGCTTACAAGCCAGTAACATTTCAATGTAGCCCGCTGTCAATGGCAACTCATTCTGTACTTCGTAGTAGTAATTCTTTATCTCGAATAACATTGAATCACGTATGATGTATGGAATTTACTGATGTTTTGCGAATGCAAATCGAAGGAAGGGAGAAAACTCTAAATGTTTTTCTTGTCAGCAAAAGCTAGCGATGGCTACAAAAAGATTTGTACCCGTGCTTCAAACAATTCCAAAGTAACATTAAGGTGTTCTGTAAGATAAATACATTGTTCACTGGTCCCTCGGGGCCCATGGGTTGATGTACCCTCTATGTTTTTTTAAACAAACATCGAGGGTACATCAACCCATGCCCCCCTCGTGACCAGTGAACAACTTATGATGCATATCTTGTGGTTTAACATTCATTTTCATGACATGAAATATAATTATGTCTAAAACAGTGACAAAACCCTGCAGTGACAGCCGCTGGCCACACTGAATATCTTCCATACAAGTACGTGTCTCAGCTTATGACAGCACACATCAGACAGTGCATACATCATAGAATATAGATACATTATATACAATATGCAAATATCAAGCCACTAGTTCTGTAAGCAAGCAAATACTGACTTAGATGAGCTATTTTTTTAAACTATCTAATTAATAAATACATTACATAATTCTGACCAAAATTGTCTGTACAGAAATGTAGTTTGATTATCCTCATTTCATTCTCATAATCGGCATCTAGTATAACTTAACTAGTATAATGCTAACTGCTGCAAGCGTGTAAAAGTGACACAACTTGACTCCTACCAAGTTTACAAATACAGAGCTACAGTAAACTAATTAATGGTTACCATGGATATGTTACAGATGTTTGGGTATGACAGTATGTACAATGATTGTTTCAGTATGTACAATGATTGTTTCAGTATTTACAATGATATATTTATTAATACACATTCACAGCCAAATATAACTTGTTCATACATAAGTCTTTGAAACTAGACATGTGTTTTTTTAAGCAATGTTGCCTACTAATGTCTAAGATAGGTGTGTATTCATTTGTGTACACAGCATCAAAGCATGTCAAACATACAGATACATTACATAAATAATAATAAAAATACAACACATTGTTATAGTGTACATACATAAGGAGATATATATGACATATTTACATTGTATTTACATTGCTTAATTAGGAGTACCAGTTAAACAATTCATGGCTAAACACAAAGGAAGGATGTGCATTGTTTTCACTATTGTTCTTCAACTGAATGAAACATAATCATAACAATTCTTAAATAAAAAAATCAATGTAAAGTTATATTCAATAATACTACATTGTACTAGCGAAAATATAGACTTGACATTAGGAGATATATTTAAGAGATGCAATACATGCCAAACAAATAGACTCGATACCAACCATGACGACAATTATTTACACGCCAACTTTTCAAAAACATTCAGGTTCTTCAAAGGAGTATTGCTAAATGATTAACAAGTTGAGGATAAAGATGTAAAGAAATTAATTTGAAACGAATTGAAGTGAAGACATGGTATAGCTGTGAAGACTACAACAACAGGAAAGTTTAAGTAGAAGACAGTGCAGCTAGTGTGGTGTGGTCACTTCACTGCCGCCATGTGAGGAGATGGACGTTGCCCAGTTGGTCACCACACATCAGGGGGACACACTCGGGGCACCTGCTGACCGTTCCGGCAAGTGTCATGCTGGTCACAGGTGCTGGACAGAAGAACTGACCAATCTGAGGAGAGAAAACAATGCTTTGCTTCACAAGACATTTCTGTAAGAAGTTCCCTCAGCAACCCATTGCCTTCAACCCTTGTAGAACCCAGGTCTTTAGCTGATCACCCTTCTGGCATTGCCCATTTGTTGAATAAGAAAATCTTAAACTGTCATTTTAAAAATATATAATTAAACACCCTCAGGTTATTAATATGGCAATTAAAAACCCCTTAAATTGGGATCTATACACGACAGCCATGAACAGATTGGTGAACTTACCTGAGTCAGATCTTCCGTCCACACTTTCACTGTGTGGTCAGCGGACGCTGTGAAGATACATCCAGCCACCGCCATGATGCTGGTGATGGCCTCCGCATGAATCTAGAACAAACATCCAATAATCAATAACAATGTCAATGGGCTTTACACATTTAGACAGCAACAACCTCAGCGACACTGACAAGCATTGGGATGGGCCTGGCACACCAATGCTAGTCAACAAATGTCTATTTAACATCCATGAATTTGGAAAATACTGCTTCAAACACCTTTTAATGTATTTGTTTTTCAGGACTCCCAGTATGTCCTGCATATTATCTTAAAATTAGACTGACCCTGAACCGGAACCCCAGTATAATCTAGAACAAATTGAAAATAAATAAATAAGCCCCCTGTAAAATCCAAAACAGCTAGTCCCTACATGGAGAAAATCTGGTATTTCAGTTTACCCTCGCCACTGAGAGAGCCTTAACTTGGCATTGCACATTCACACTCTCCCATCTCTCCCCACATCCGTCTTATAATAAGTGACCCTCGGACAAATGTCCCCCAAACCCTATTTTAAAAGAAAATAATGACATTTTTCAATACCTTTACTGTTTTCCATGTGTCAGGTGCTTGGTTTCTGTTTGCCACAGTTATCTGCCCCTTGGAGTCAACGCAGTACACAGTTGTCCCCCTTTGCATGACATCTAACACCCATGTCTTGGTACGTTTGTGAGGAGGAACATGTTTGTCTAGCTCGGAGCTATCCACAAGCACCATCATCAGTTTGGTCACTGGACTACTGTACTTAACCTGTGAACAAAGAGAAGAGTAAGTTGCCATGGCGATGACAAAACCTACTGAACAAAAGACCATCTGGTGCTAGTGAATACAATTCTGAATTTAAGGTAAGATATTGGGTGAGTGAGTTTAGTTTGAGACTGCTTTTAGCAATATTCCAGCAATATCACTGCAGGGGACACCAAATATGGTCTTCACACATAGTACCCATGTGGGGAATCAAACCCAGGTCTTCTGCGTGACGAGCGAACGCTTTAACCACTCGGCTACCCCCACCGCCCCAAGATATAGGTCAAATATGGTTACACCTGTTTGTTAAAGAGAGGTTACAATTAGTGGTGTAACGATTCATTGATAGTATCCATGTTTACATCGTCAACGACACACGATACAAGTGCATCGATACAAAACACATTTAGGCAATATATCAGGATATTTATATTGCAAGGGTCTATAATACATCGATGTATTGCCACAAGAGACGATATATCCCGATACAACTTAAATACTACTTAAAGTTGTAAGGAGTATTGTATTAGGAATAGGAAAGGAGTCACTTTGAAATTCTTCTGAATTTTAAAAACAAATTGAACTTTAAAGGAATTTGTTTGTGTCTGTTATCTCTGTTACATGAACAAAGGAGTTGGTGTATAAGTGAAAGAGTGTGAACATTTAACAAACTCTGTGAACTGAGAATAATTGTCTTCAGTTAATTGAAATATGCAGATATGTTTTAGTTGTTTGACAAGTAACACTATTTATTTACAACTATGAACAATGTCATAGCATTGTTAAGAAAGAGAACAAAGAGAAGATAAAATTTAGAAAGCAGACTTAAGTGATTCTGAGTGCTGATATAAATTACATTGAGTTGTTTGTGAAAGCATTGGTGTAGAAACACAACTTCTTAAGGGAATCTTCACTTTCAGATTTATATCTATCAGATCAAGGTATACTGAATATGTTTGACTTTCTTAAGCATTAAATGCTGAAACTTTATTAGATGAACAGCTTTTTAAGTGTGTGTGAATGGAACACAAGTTCTGCTGTATAACAAATAAAGTTTCAGTCATTTTATCTGTCATATCTGTTCTGTCATTAGAAATTGTAAAGTATCAGGATACGTATCATATCGCCGCCATTGTATTGTGATGATAATCGTCTCGCAGGTTCCTTGCCAATACTTTCATGATATATCGTCTCACCTCATTAAACTGGTATCGGGATATATCATCTCGCCACTTAGGTCACGATAAACAGCTCCAGTTACAATACTCAACATTAAACATGTTATATGAACACAGATGTACCCGTATGTCTCTGTGTGTGCATTTTAGTGTGTTTGTGCTTGTATTGTCCATATAAATGTTGGTTTACAGTACTAGCCAGATGAAATACCATGCTGCAGTTTAACATGAATGCCCATTCAAAGAGTCTTGCCCAATTCTCCCGATGCCCAACACGAGGCAGAGTAACAATCAGGACTATCTTTTAATATATTTCCTATGACACAGGAGGGAAGAGAACCAGCACCTGGGGACACCCTCTATCCACCAGACGATGGAGGCAGCATTGGCAAGAGTATCAGGAGAAGTATATGATCAAAAAGAAATACTGGGCTGATCATATAGGGAGATCCCTTTGTATATACTGCAGGAACCCATTGCAGGAACCAATTCTCCCTAAACTTTAACCATCTACATGATTCCAATTGCACAAAGTAATCCTGGCCCCAAATAATTCTTAACTCCCACATCTTAACATACAGTTCAGAAACATACAGTTCTGGTACAAATATCCTGTAAAGAACACTGAAGCTGAGAACTCACTTGCAGTACTGGTCTGACATCCAAGATGTCGACCTTGCTGTCCGTGCCTGCAGTCAGAAGCTCCTGGTCAGAGAAGGTCAGTCTGGTTGACCAACTGTTGTAGAAGCCACCTGTTGCTGGGTTCCTGGAGGTAACACCAAATTGTAAGACTTAGTCTCCTTGGGGAGGGCCTACAGCTTGGGATACTATCCATACTCTTCAGGGGCGGATACAGCTTTTTGAGAAAGGGGGGGGGGGGGTGCACACTATTGAGAAAAGGAGGGTGCACACTTCATTTTTACCCGAGTTTCAATGGTCATTTAACAAACTTTCAGCACAAAAGGGTGTGTGCGCACCCCCCCCTCCGGATCCGCCTATGCTCTTGAAGCACTACCTAACAACAGCATCCATCTGGTGTTGCATCAAATCTACAGTGAATACCAATCCTTTTACAAATAATCCTATATAGTGAGGGCTTTTTCACTGTGAAGAGAGAATTTCATTACTTATCAGAATTTGGGATACTTGTGGCTCAATTTATGACAGATTATTTTAGCAGGAAAATGTTACTTTACCTAATTGTATTGACAGGTTTGCCGTAGTCTGTGTTCCAAACGTTGATGGTGCCATCCCATTCCGCAGAGAAAAAGGTAAGTCCAGACTTGGATGGGTACTTGTCATTCCAGGCCAGGGCTGTCACAGGTGTCAGGACAGTGAACACCTTTCCTTTCCTGCAATTGGACAAGTGATAGATGCAAGTCTAATATCAAACAAACCCACATGAATTTGAAAATTCTGCTTTATTGCCAAGGCGACCACTACCAAAATCAAATAAAATTTTTTTTTATTGAAACCTTAGGCTAACAATCAATATCACTTTCCCTTTCACAAACAAAACTTGTCAAGTAAACACATGGTCAGTAAAATAGGATTAAAACTGATTTGATATTAATTAAAAGAAACATCCATTTTTGACTCTTATGTGACTTGAAGCAAAAATCACTTGTGTCAATTCTCACATGTCATATCTTTCTGTTTAGTTTGATAACCATAAGCATAGCTTACTTGACTAGGAAGGTATCTCTTCTCTTTATGATGTCCCATACGATGATAGTGGCATCATCAGAACCCGTGGCAAACTTGCTACTGTGTCGGTTCACAAAACAGGCAGCATTCACTGATTTTTCATGGGCCTGAAAAATTAGATGTCATTCTACACATTTGATAAAACATTTCAACCTATTCTTTCACACCCTATAAGGAAGATATGGCATGTATTGCACCACAGATGGCAATATTACATGATACTGGAGAATGTATAGTGACTGATATGACTGTGTGCTTCAGTCTGATTGGCTAAATAATGTGAATAAACAGGATTCGTGGTCCAGAAGTTTCCTTGTTTATTCACAGTCCATAAATAAGATCTGTTTTTAGTCAGTCTCAATTTTAGGTTTTACATATGCGTCCCACATTAATCAAATATAATATCAATATGTATTAGTTAAAAAATATGAAATCAAATAAGATTTATCTCCAAAATTCAGAATATAGTCCAATCAGGTCCCAGGCATATACTTAGGGGAGATAACACATCAGGGTGTCTTACCTTGAAGCTGTAGGAGCATGTTCTCTCATTGGTGACAGGGTCCAAGGTCCATATCTTCACGATACCATCCCTTGGTTAGAAAATAAATATGGTCACACAAATATGTATCACAGCCAGACTAGATTCTGTGTGAAATCTTCAATAAATACAACTGTCCATCAAACCTCAGATATAATTTGTAGGCAACAATACGTTTACACTGAATAAAGACCTAATCTTTAATCACATACCGGCTTCCTGTGAGAACAGTAGAGCTGTCTGGAGAGGCTACACAAAAGGTGACGTCAGCATTATGGCGCCCGATGACACGTTCCTCACTCAGCTGTGGGGTCCAAAGTCTCACTGATTTGTCTAATGAACAGCTGCAGACATTGCCAGACTTGTCTGTAGCCACTGACAACACACGGTCGGAGTGCCCAGTCAGAGATGCCAACTCATTTGCCTGGAAGAAACAATTTCATAATTACCAGAACCAACTTGATCTGTTGCGAATATAAAAACTATATCGGTGCTTTGAATGAAATGATTTGCTAGCTATAGAACATAAACAATCACTTATCAAATTTTTACACAAGGACGCATAATCACATCTCAAATAAATATATATACTGAACCAAAAAGATCTCACATCTCTTGTGAAAGATGGTGATGGAAAACTGTTTCGCCTTCCTTCTTTAAGATGTCACAATCTGACATCACTGAACTTCCTGTCAGCATATCACAAATATGATTAAAGAATATAACGCCAAATATAATAAGTAAGGCTTCTTTCCATAATAACCTGGTTTGGCAGTCTGGCCATGATTTTACTGCAATACTGTTCGTTCGTTCGTTCGTTCCTTCGTTCGTTCGTTTCGTTCGTTCATTCATTCATTCAACCCAATTCATGTATTAAGGAATTATAGACTGCCATCTTTTCAAAGAAGTCTGCAACACTGCTGTACTGACCTGCAGTGGTTTCCAGAGTCTCAGAAGACCATCGTCAGCACACGTGGCCACAATGACATCTTGCATCTTGATGTCCAATCTTCCAGACTTCTTGTCTGGAGAATCAATCTCTGGAGCTGACCAGTCCATTGTCTCCTCCTCATTGGCTGAAAGACAAATGGAGAGGTCACAAAAATAACACCTATAGGGGTCGCGCACAGTATGGCTGTGTGGCACAAATGGAGTGGTTTATTTTCTATGTTATCACAACAGAATTGGTTGGCCTAAACAAAATATATAACATAAGAAATCGCGATACAGTGTGTTTATTCAATCTGCTTTGGTGAATGGCAGTGTTTTTAACATTATTTTTTTAACTTACCAACATAGATTAACAACTTTGTTGTCCTACTTTGGGAATATTTACTGACATTAACTGCATGCTTGGGTTGTATATTGGCCTCTGAGGAGGTCTGGATAAATCCCTGGAATGGGCAGTGATGAACACAAACAGTCATTAACATCACATGATGAAGTTCAAGTCGGTGTAAAATACTTACCATCCTCCAAAGTTGACCCTTGTTTGACCTTCACCACGATGTCACAGCTGTTGACCCTCTGTATGTGTCCGAGCAGGGTGGTGATCTCTGTTCCCTTGTGTGACCAGACCTTCACATGACCGTCACTAGACGCTGACACGATACATCCGTACTGAAACACATGACACACGCACTCTAAAACACATGACACACACACTGGACACGATACACCATGACTGAAACACATGACACACCCACTGGACATGACACACCGCGCATAAAACACATGACACACCGCACTGGACACATGACACATGATACAACCGTACTGAAACACATGACACACGCACTCTAAAACACATGACACACACACTGGACACGATACACCATACTGAAACACATGACACACCCACTCTAAAACACATGACACACACACTGGACATGACACACCCATACTGAAACACATGACACACGCACTCTAAAACACATGACACACACACTGGACATGACACACCCCATACTGAAACACACTATGACACACACACTCTAAAACACATGACACACACACTGGACATGACACACCCGTGCTGAAACACATGACACACCCACTCTAAAACACATGACACACACACTGGACATGACACACATGCACTGAAACACATGATACACACCCATACTGAACACATGACACACCCACTCTAAAACACATCACACACACACATGACACACCCATAAAACACATGACACACCCACTCTAAAACACATGACACACACACTGGACATGATACACCCATACTGAAACACATGACACACCCACTCTAAAACACATGACACACACACTGGACATGACACACCCATACTGAAACACATGACACACCCACTCTAAAACACATGACACACACACTGGACATGACACACCCATACTGAAACACATGACACACCCACTCTAAAACACATGACACACGCACTGGACATGACACACCCATACTGAAACACATGACACACCCACTCTAAAACACATGACACACCCACTCTAAAACACATGACACACCCACTCTAAAACACATGAAACATGCACTGGACACAATACACCCATACTGAAACATATGACACACCCACTCTTAAACACATCACACACACACTGGACATGACACACCCATACTGAAACACATGACACACCCACTCTAAAACACATGACACACACACTGGACACGATACACCCATACTAAAACACATCACACACCCACTCTTAAACACATAACACACACACTGGACATGACACACCATACTGAAACACATGACACACCCACTCTAAAACACATGACACACCCACTGGACATGACACACCCATACTGAAACACATGACACACCCACTCTAAAACACATGACACACACACTGGACATGACACACCCGCACTGAACATGATTCATCTACTTATGCTTAATATTTTTTCTAGGTAGAAAAGTCTTGTACCTGGTATGCCACTGAATTGACTGCAGACATGTGACCAGTCATTTTCTTCTTCTCCGTTCCGGTGTTCACATCCCACACCTTCAGGTTGAAATCATTGGATCCTGTTACCTAGGGAACGAGAAAGTCATCAGAAAGTTGGATATGATGAAAGAGTTAAATACAGGTGTGTGCTTGGTTTTCCAAAACCACTGTGCAATATTTCACATGCATGAGTTCAACCTAAAACATGAACAGAAAGCAGGGCTCCATTTAAATACATGAAACCTACTTCACCCAGTGCAACATTATGTAATTACCTTGCTACACCAGACGAAAACTGGTGTTTAGAACATCATTATAACAAAGTAATTCTGGGTCTGATAAGATTGTCTTATTTCACTTCCTAAACTTTAATTACATGAACAGAAAAAGTCATTCCATCATGCGTAGTCATCAGTCACTGTTCCAAGCCACTTAGCAGACACATGTCATCGTATCCCAACTGTGTAGATCAATGCTCATGTATTTGATCACTGGATTGTCTGGACTAATCTCAATTATTTACAGACTGCCGCCTTAAAGCTGGAATACTGCTGAGTGCGGCGTTAAACAACAAACAAACAAAACACTGTTCCAAGCCAGTGAAATGTAAACAGACACAGACACATTTTTCCGTGACATGGAGGCCAAGAATGAATGGCAACACTAACTTCCTGTTTACATTAACATCTTATCAGCTTTGTAATGTTTTTTTAAAAGCATAACATAACCAGCATGATTATTTCTGGATAAATTAACAGACTTGATATCCTGAAAATATTGACATGCACTGAGTGCAAGTTGGTATAAATATGAGGTTGCATTTGGCAGTTTCAGGTTGCACCAGTGCAAGTTCTAAATGCTAAATTGGAGCAAATAGAGACTGTTATACCAGGAAGTCGCCGATGTTGGACCACCTGCAGGAGTTGATCCAGTCATTGTGGCAGGCATGAAGAGTCCTCTCTGCCGTGGCGTCAGGGTCCAGCAACACTTGGAACATGTCCCATATCATCACAGACTGAAGAGACAAACTCATATTGTTAGTTCTACATGTCGCAGACAAAGGTCTAACATTCCATCACGCTTATCATACCAACTTTCTTGAGCACATTTGTCATTGTCATTGTGCAAGGACACTAACACATTATAAATCAACCATTATCATTCTGTTAGTCAAAAACGTAAGCAGGAGGAAATATTTTTTAATTGTGCTGAAGGCCTTCCATAAAATGCATATTTCCTTCATCAGAAAGAATATTTAGTCCATGTCAAATTTGTTCAGAAACTGTCATCCGAAGTTGTGTCATCAAATTTTCGCTATGGCCCTTGCCTAACTCCCTCCCTCTTCTCTAATAAATGCCAGTTCTCTTAGCCTTGGAATACATCTGTCTGTATGTGTTATATTCACACATGGCTTGAAAGACATGACACAGACTTGAAGTGTCTACGAATGTTTCAGTTTTCAAACTATTGCTTCAGCTATTGCACTCATTCTGCTTGGTTGTCCAGTGGTAATGGCTGATATTTACAAAGATTAAAATACAAATGCCAAAATCTAATTCAACTGTGTCAATTTCAGTATAGAAATACCTCCTTGGCGTTAAGGCACTCGATGTCAGCTATGTGGTATCTCCAGTTCTGGAGGATAAAATAAGGTCCCTTTGAGTATTGACATGTTAGTACTCACTGCATCTCGACTGGCTGTAGCCAGTTTGGTCTGGTTTGAGTTGAAGGAGCAGCTGGTCACTGGGGCAGTGTGACCCTTCAGAGTGGCCATTGGGGACGGTCTGGAAACACACAGTCAATACACCATTACCTAATCTAGTCACAGTACATACATTTCTATGATTGGTTCGCTCCTGAGTTGCCTCGTCTGATATTCAGATGATAATTTGTAAAAACCAAGTGGATAATGAGGTCTGGTAGTAAAGGTTTTGGCTTGTCACATTGGAGCACAGGGTGCAGTTCCCCAGTTAGTGTGAAACCATTCTTAATGGCCGTCACAAAGAGCAGGACTAGATGTTCACTCTGTCCATAGCAAACCACTTATACAAGGAGTGAGTATAGTTTTATGTCACTTTTAGAAATATTCCAGCAATATGATGGCTGAAGACCCGGGTTCGATTCCCCACATGGGTACAATATGTGAAGCCCATTCCTGGTGTCCCCTGCCGTGATATTGCTGGAATATTGCTAAAAGCGGCGTAAAACCATACTCACTCACTCACTCACTCTTGTAAAGGACCTGCACTTTGACCTTCATCCTTACATGAAACCCCACTCAAAAATCAGGCCCTAAATCTGAAACAGATTTTCACAAGGTTTTACCAGTCTTCTGCAGATACCTTTAACTACATTTCATCAAATTATGTTCTGAATTAACTTGGTCAAGGCATGTCAGCAAAAAGTGAACCTGCTTACCTTAGAGCTTTCTTGCACTCCCGGGGAGAGGAAAAGATAAGACAGGTGAAGTCCTCTCCGCAGGTAGCCACGTACTTGGCAGTGACTGTCACACACAGGACCGGCATGGTGTGTCCCTCCAGAGATGCTGCTTTAGTGGCGGTGGTTCCATCCAGCATCTGAACATAGACAACATTGACACTATATACCATGGTTCTGTCCAACATCTGAACATAGACAACATTGACACTATATACCATGGTTCCGTCCACCATCTGAACATAGACAACATTGACACTATATACCATGGTTCCGTCCAACATCTGAACATAGACAACATTGACACTATATACCATGGTTCCGTCCACTATCTGAACATAGACAACATTGACACTATATACCATGGTTCTGTCCAACATCTGAACATAGACAACATTGACACTATATACCATGGTTCCGTCCAACATCTGAACATAGACAACATTGACACTATATACCATGGTTCCGTCCAACATCTGAACATAGACAACATTGACACTATATACCATGGTTCTGTCCAACATCTGAACATAGACAACATTGACACTATATACCATGGTTCTGTCCAACATCTGAACATAGACAACATCGACACTATATACCCTGGTTCCGTCCAACATCTGAACATAGACAACATCGACACCATATACCATGGTTCCGTCCACCATCTGAACATAGACAACATTGACACTATATACCATGGTTCCGTCCAACATTTGAACATAGACAACATTGACACTATATACCACGGCTCCGTCCAACATCTGAACATAGACAACATCGACACTATATACCATACCATGGTAGACGACACTATATACCAACATCTGAACATAGACAACATTGACACTATATACCATGGTTCCGTCCAACATCTGAACATAGACAACATTGACACTATATACCATGGTTCCGTCCAACATCTGAACATAGACAACATCGACACTATATACCATGGTTCCGTCCAACATCTGAACATAGACAACATTGACACTATATACCCTGGTTCCGTCCAACATCTGCACACAATATTACAACTATATATGAGACTATCAATTCTTAAGATGTTTGTTTTGTATTTATGACGCAACTGGGTCATGACCTTGATCACTGTAATACATCAATAGTTTATCCATTGTTACAGTATCGGAAACACATTGAGAATGACTGATCTAACTGGGCAACCAATACAATGAAACTCAATAAGTCTGAGGCTGACTTTCTTCAAGCTAAAACTGAAGGCACCCAAATTAGAGCAATATAGAACAAACTTTATGGATAACAGCTTCTTTTTATTCGTGAGTGCGACGTTTCGATACAGATTCTTGTACCGTTGTCAAGCATAATGGAACATGAAGAAGGGGGAAGTGTATATATACTGGATGTGTGAGTGCGACGTTTCGATACAGTGACAACGGTACAAGAATCTGTATCGAAACGTCGCACTCACGAATAAAAAGAAGCTGTTATCCATAAAGTTTGTTCTATATTGTACTTCCCAACTTCCAAAATGCCACTCAAAGAAGTCAAATTAGAGCAGTAATATGGCATCTGTAATATTCATCAAAACCAGAGGAAGCATGATACTAAACATGAGCTCATATATTGTTTTACAAAAGACCCGAGACTGAGATGAACCAAGATTCAACCTCGACTCCTACTCACCAGCACCATGTTGTCGTCAGCGCCTGTGAAGACATAGCGTCCGTCCCGACTGTAAGTTAGAGCTCTCACTGCTGCACTGTGATGCTTCACCTCCGCTAGCTGCATGCCTACAGAATAACGAACGTGGGTCAGGTTTACTTTCCATGTATTATATTTACAAAAATTTCCTGGTCATACAATCCAGTCTGTACATCACTCATCCCTCTTGTACATCCCTATCTGTTTGATTGCTCAATTCCTACCTGTGTTGACATCAAAGACTCGGGCATGGCCCTCGTGGTATCCTGCGTGTGTGGCAACCAGATCTCCTTGCGGAGAGAGTGCTACTGAAGTGACCGGTCCATTCTTCTCAGACCCAAGACAGTGTAGGGGAATTCCCAGGTGTCCTGACCACACCTGGAGGTAAATGAAGGTCAAGGTATTCACATAATGTAACAAACAGATATACGCACAAAGAGATTTGCACTTTGCAAAGTTCCCACTGCAGCCAAGTAAACTTTAGGAATGATAACCAGTATTGACATTTCCTTGTGGCGTACCAGTTTTACTATGATGCAGTAGGCATCTGAGTAGCAGGTAGTGTTAGCTAGCTAGTGAAAACAAAAACTGTAAGCAGCCTGTATATAATCCAGCCTGTCCTCTTACTGGAAGCTTGTGCATAAGAGTGAGTGAGTGAGTTTAGTTTTACACCGCACTCAGCAATGTTCCAGCCATATGGCAGCGGTCTGTAAATAATCAAATCTGGACCAGACAATCCAGTGATCAACAGCATGAGCATCGATCTGCGCAATTGGGAACCAATGACATGTGACAACCAAGTCAGCGAGCTTGACCACCAGATCCCATTAGTCGCCTCTTACGACAAGCATGGGTTACTCTAACCCTTCATGGGAAGCATAAGCGTGAACTTGGTCTCGTCGCTATAAGGCTGAAGTAAAGCTGATCTAAATCTGAACTCACTGACTGGTACTAGAAGATACAATGACAACCATACCACAATGTCAGGGCTTGATGACACTCATGTTTCTGTGTTCAGACCTATTCTCACGTTAACTCCACACGGAAACATACACTGATCAAGCAAGAATTTATGAAGTGGGGCAAACTGGCATACAAATCTTTGACTCAATCTTCCAAGGCCTTATATACAAGTTCATGACAAGTACAAATATCATCGAACTGACCTTGATCTTATGGTCATCACTGACAGTGACCAGTTCCTTCCCTGTAGGGGTGAAGGTCAGTTTGTTGATTGGCAGGGAATGACCACAAATGTTTCCGACCTAAAATAAAGCAAACAGAATTAGCATCAATATAAAAATAATTTATATCAATATATTTTTCATAATGTCACACGTACAGCTGTAGAGCTGAGGTTCTCACAGTCACAAACAGCTAGCTGTAAGCACAAAATACTTCATTTATACAATGTTATAAGGAGATCATGTGATAACAATATGTGAGTCTGGCCAGTTATTCTACTTACTTGAGAACCATTTGTAGCAGACCAGATCTTGACATCACCATCCAGCGCTGCTGAGGCAATATGTCTGCCGGACGGGGAGTAGGCCACGTCGCGCACAGATGAACTGTGACCTCGCAATACCTGTAACGTTCCATGTATATATAAACAACAGAAAATCCACTTGATCTGAACACACATGATAATCTTAAACAAGGACCTGAGGTCTATTAAAATGAATTTAATTCATGAATTTTTACAGTTAATTTTCAAATTTAGAAAGACTTTGATAGATATACCATAAATATTTGTTTAAAGAGAAATCCTGTAAAATATTCAAATGTTCTGTTCTTGTGTAGGTATAAGTTCTTATTTTTGAAATTCAGAGGTATTTAACATTGAATTTTAGCACTGCATTCAATGACATAATGTTAAAGATTGTCCTCTTCCTTATTCTGGCTATCAGAAGTCACCCCTACAAAGCCATACAATCTCAATAACAGCATGAATTGGGAAACATTTAATTCTGGCATAGGAATTTTTACTGACATTTGTTGCAGATTTGGGCTGAATTTTGGCCATAAGCCGGTGTAGGTAAATATCTGGAGTACTTACAGCCTTTCTCTGTTTATGAAAGACATCAAAGATCTTGAGTGTGGAGTCCCAGCCGCCAGCAACAATCAGCTGACCCTCGGGGTGGAAGTCCACACAGTTGACCGGGCTGCAAAAACACATTACTTGACATATGTAGGGACAGACGGGGTTAAGTGTGAGTTAGTCTTGAGTGGGAGAAGATTTTGAATAGGGCCTGTAAGTAGGTCACGGCACTTCGAGAGACCTTAGTACTTTGGTGACAAACAATGTTTCATACCTCTTCGAATGGTGTTATGGTTGTCAGTTGACAGTAAGAAACCAATAATCTTTGTAGGAATAACAAATTTCTGATCTAACCATCCCCAAATTAGTCAACTATTACGACTGTCAACAGCTCTGACAGCCAAGTATGGGTGTACACTTGGTCCGGTCCAGTAAAGTCATATTTGGTGGTCGCACAACTTGGAACCAGAACTGGTTCTTGAATATACGCTTGTTACCGGAAATCTGGTACTGGAAGTAAGCTGGGCCCCGTCTCACATATCGCAACTTGGTGTGCGCAAAGGGAGCCAGAAACCAGCTGAGTACTGGAAGTAATGCCTCACGGGACTTACAGGCCCTATAGAATGCTTAAAATGATGATGATTCATCCCACAGTAAGTAAGTAAGCTTGGTCTTATCATTGTGTTATAGATTAATGGAAGCAGAAAGTCCAGTGTGGAGCAGGTCATAGATAAAACTCACATGCCAGTTAGGGTGTTGATAGACCCAGATAAACTTACAAGGGTGATTTGGACCATTCACAGGTTTGACATGCAACTCTGCATAGTGAATTGCAGTGCTTCAAATGAACCTCCATCTATGCCTCCGGCAGTAGTGAGGGCATTGGTGGCCTGGTCATCAAAGGCACTGTCATATACTGTGCAGAGTTGCATCCCTTGGGCACACCAGGAACCTATTTTGTGTGTTCAAATCCTGGTTCACCCCAACTATGGTTTGTTAGCACCATCTCTGTGTTCACAGGTTCCATCAAGTGGTCAACATCTGAAACTTGCACCTCACTTCAGGCGTCCCTCCCACACCGAGGCACCATGACTGGAATACTGCCATAGTGGTGTCAAGCCCAGCTGACCTACTGTCTCACTACAGCGGTACTGCCATACACTACATCCTCTCACCTCTCTGCATTCAGGTGGCAGACGATCTCCGTGGTGCTGGTGTTCCACACCTTGATCTGACAGTCCCACCCGCCAGATGCTAGCAGTTTACCGGACTGGTCAGACGTGCACGAGTTGACCCGACGCTGGTGACTCTTCAGTACGGCAATTCTGAAAAACACATGTATTCAGGTTCTGAGATAAACCTTGTGTAACCCATATTTAGGCATCAGAACTTGCCGATATTCCTGTTTGACAAGATATAAAATGTTTGCTATGTGTATATTTTCTGTCTGTTTAATTCAGTTCTAGTTTGCAGCAAAACAGAAGCATTGAGAACTGGATCAGAATAACAGCCTCCAAATGCTACTAAACAAAAAAGCACTACCTCCACTGGTAAATGGCTACTCCTTAGCAACATTTTGTAGTCTTGAGCTTGAGTGTTAGCATTAATGTTTTAGGCTAATATTCCAGCTCTGATAATATGCTGTTGGTTCCAAATGTTCTGATCATTTCTTGGAAGTAAACAAACCCAGTGACAATGTGGAGAAACGCTAGCAGGCTTGTTATACACTAGTTCAACATGATTTGTAAACCAGAGCTCAAATCTAGTGAAATTATCACATGAAAACTCATTAAACAGCAGTCATATTTGTCTCCTTGAAAACAGTTAATCTTCTGTACTGTACCTGTGTCCATCTTCCACATGCCAGAGACACAAGGTGTTGTCAAGTGATGCACTGCACAGTACTCCTTTCCCTACGAAACACACGTCAGCAATGGCGTCAGCATGTCCTCGGAATGAGCGGATCTCCTGCGGATTAGTGAATTTAATGAATTTTCTTCAAATTTTGTAGAATTTCTAGTGCAATCGTAGTCTGAGGCTAACATTTGTAGCGACTACGATAAAATCGTAGAGGTTGGCATCTCTGGGCAATGGTGTAACGTATGGGGGCTTATGGGTCATGTTGACACAGTGTGTGAGCTCCATGACTGTCATAAGTCAAATACAATACATTGACTTCCGGCAGTCAAAGTGTAAAGATTGCTTTACACAGTTATAGCCAACTTCCTGGGTCAGTTGGTCCATGCATATTGACCATCCTTTGGCGCGCTGAGTATTTTACTCTTCGTCCCTTTTTTAATCTTGATGAGACATGGATGTTAAGGTAAACATTACTTTGTTAAACTTCAAGAACAGAATAAAACATTATTTTTACATTATTTAATCCTATCACTAAATAATACATCAACAAATGATCAAAAGAAAACACAATCAGTACAATATATAAACAAATAGATTACTAAGAAAAGAAATTATCAGTGTCCAAGATAAGTGTCCTGAGGTAACAAGAACTACCTTGCCAGTGTCCATGTTGTACAGCCTGACGAGGCAGTCCATCCCACCTGTAGCGAAGTACTCGCTGTCACTTGACACGGTCACACATGTTGAGGGCTGAAAGGCGAAACAGAAAATGGTGCAAAATACACATAGAGATGAAAAGCACATGTTCCTTATACAATGGTCATTACTTGATCAAGCCCATTTCTGGTGTCCCTCACCCTGATATTGCTTGAGAATTGCTAAAAGCCGCATAAAATCATACTAACTCGCTCATTACCTTTTTTTCTATTTTTTTTCCTTTTTTCCAAAAGAAACTTAAAAAGTAAAGCATTAGAATATAAAGCAGATGAACAAAGAAGGTTTCAGTGGAAAGCTCATTTTAAACCCAAACTATGATGGTAAAACATTTATAACATTCAAACATTGAAAATTAATTCTATCATTAATCGTATGTGTGTGATGTGTGTACCTGTGGCAGGTTGCTGATGTTGAGGTAGCAGGGGTCCGTCTGTGACGGCTTGTTGCTCCACTCCATGTAGCTGTTGTCCTCACTCAGGGTCTTGGCGTCAACACACACCTCCGATGTATCAGGTTCATTCACAGCCTGCTGCCAGGTCAAGGCTGGGTGACTGCAGTAATTAATGTACATTGTCTTATTATATCCACTTTAACTGCAATGCTAATACTAACTCTCACTGGCAGAATATCAAACGTTTTGAAAGGTTGCCAACGTAGTATCGCCAAGTGTCATGAACAATATTTTTCTGTATTTAAATCATCATTTTCATGGTGTTATGTAGTCATGATGCTCATTATTTAATCTACAAAATTTCACTTTATTTGTTTGCTGTTTAACAGTGCACTCCATATTCCCGCTATATAATGGAAGTCTGTAAATAATAAAGTCTGAATCAGAAAATCCAGTGATTGACATCATGAGCATCAAACTAAATAATTGGGATGTGATGACATCAACCTTGTCAGTGAACCTGACCACAACGTCCTGTTAGTAGAGGGTCTTCATTGGGGTAACATAATTATGACAAAACTCAAAGAGTAATGAATGAGGCAGAACCAGCGGTCCCCATGTTTCCAAACAAGCAAAGAGATGATTTGTCTATTCGCATCTTTTATCACTGACTGACACTGACAAATGTTATGACTACTGACTAAATAGTCTAAATTTATGGTTTATTGAAGTTAAGCCCCATTTGACCTCACTTTACTGATACCAATTTTAAGGGAATGACAGTTGAGACAATTACCTGGCCAGAATGTGTAGATTGCGTGACACGAATGATGCATACTGCTGAACTCTCGGCACCGCCTGGAAACGGGTTTGCTCCTTCTCCAAGGTCTTGTTGGTAGTGGACACTGTCAACACACATATGTCTGTGTTTATAATTTACATCATACCACTACAGACACAGAAGTAATGAAATTCTTCAAAGCACAAAGGTATCATCGAGGCTGAATGTATCTCTGATGAGTCTCCTGGGAACTGGTCCATCATAAGTTCTCAGCATTAAGTGATCAGATCACCCTTGCTTTAACATAGACTCAGTAGAGTGTTTGCCCTTAAACCAACATATCTAACATATCTCACAAATATGAATATCAATAACATTACAGAAAACTACCTTATATACTGAACAGAGAACCTTGTCCTTTGATGTCAGATATATCAATGTGTCAATAAACGTTTTTAGCTTTCACTGAAATGTTTGCTACACTTGATCAACACACATGAGGGGTGATCTATCATACCGCTTTCAGCTTGTAAACAGTAATAGCAAGTACCTTTTTTAACAGCTACCCAGAGTCAGTGTAATAGAAGTAAATGGCATCACTGATTAAGACATCATGGTATTTATGATGTGACCATGATCACTGTAGGGACACCTCAGTGGAAGACAGTTTTGGAATGATAAATTGTCGATATCAATTCAACTTTTTCAACAGATCTTGTTACCTTTTGCAACAAAGTCATCCATGAGCTGGGCAGCGAGGCCAAGTTTACACTTAGCATGGATGAAGTGAAGGTCACACAGTATCAGCTTCAGGTCAGTGAAGCTTCCACTTGCAGCCTGAAAGTAGGAGGAAAATGTGTCTACACTAAAGTCGAAGATAACTTTATTGTCAAACATCGAAAAAACAAAAACTCTAGCATATATTATCAGGCCCTTCACACACATGCTGTATTATACATGAATACAATAATTGATGCAGTTGCCAGAAATCTGATCTGTTGCTGGAATATTCCATTGAAGCTTTTAATAAACTGTTTGTTTCAGTCAAAATGTCCAAAATGGGGCAAAACTAGATTTACGAGAATTTGAAAAAGTCAAATACATGTTCATGCATTACAAGGACAGACAGACAACCAGACATGGAATAGCTTTCAGTTCAGATGAACAAAACCCCTCTTTTCAGGTGAAGTCAAATATAACTTCTTTGAGTGGCATTTTAGAAGTTGGGAAGTACAATATAGAACAAACTTTATGAATAACAAAAAAAATATAAAGAAGTTGTTATCCATAAAGTTTGTTCTATATTGTATAAAGTCAGATATAGACATGTTCATCTGTAAGTTCACAACGATGGACAACAGACATGGGATAACCATTAGTTCAGATGAGCTCGTGTAGCCCTTTCCAGGTGAGTTAAAGCCTTTAACTCTAAGAGTAAGACTGACCAGATGGTAGGGCAGCTCACTGAAGGCGCGCGTGTGTGCCCTGTCCAGGTTCCTGTTTTCTCAGGGTCAGCCTGGCGGAGGTAGTAGCCTGAAACACAGAACGGCAGCAAACATATAATGTTTGTGGACAACAGCATGACATCATCCTCACTGTAACGATTAATTAGGACATTCTTCCGAAAATCAGCCCCATAATTCATGAAAGGTAGTATTTTCATCTTAAAGTGTAATAAATCTACTGCAGATATCAGTATCCATGTTTGGTTATTCATTACCTGCAAGGAGTTTATGCAGGTTGAGTTCTTTGTCTGCAGCAACACCTCGTAGATAGCGGTGACGGACAGCATTCATTATCTCTGTATGGGCCAGTGACAGGCAGGTGCTCCTAAAAAAAAACACCTTGTTGTCATGGATATCAAAAGACAAAACAAAGAGGTAACCAAAACACAGATAGAACTTGAATCAGCAATGTGATGTGATGATGTATGACTCCATATGAGAAGTAAGACTGTGGCATTTTGGCCACACATATTTATTTTGATGTTTGGAAACTTTAGAGGTGTTAAGTGTCAGGAATTTGAAAAAATTGTCTCTTCTGATTGGTCAAACATAGTTTTTCAGTTGCAGTTAAAATCTACCTCTGATTGAAACAGCTTGCTGGCTGGCTGCCAACCAATAACCAGAATGCTTTAAATATATTCCAGACCTACCACAAACTCGAGTCAAAGAGTATGGTTTTATGTTGCTTTTAGTCCAGCAATATCATGGCAGAGAACACCAGAAATTGGCTAAACATACTGCGCACATGAGGGATTCAAACCTTAGTATTTGGAGTGACGAGCTGACACTTTAACAACTAGGCTACCCCAACCCTCCTACCATACTGAACTAAATATCATAAAATATGGCTGAAAAAGTAAAAAGTAGCAAATGGGTAAAAACAACCCAATGAATTAAAAATGTCTGGAGTGTCTCACCATGCTCCACTTGGGTTGAGGAAAGTCTGGATCGAGCGGCAGAGGTAGGAGAAGGAGGCCGGGGGCATGAGGTCCTCCATATCAACGTCAATGTTCATAAAGTCATTGACATCAAACTTCTTACTTCCCAGTATATTCCACCATGTGAGCAGTTCTCGAAGATCCTCTGCTGGTAGCCCTAAAATAGATGTAATACCATAAAAATTTGTCCCATTTAGAATATTTTGGCCCTGTTGCAATCAGGCTGTCAGTCAATATGGGACAGGTGGCAGGTTGACAAGTGTCTCCTGCAAGGAGAGGGAATGAAGAGACACCTCATGACATGAAGATTTGGTTGGTTGGTTGGTTTGTTGTTTAACACCGCACTCAGCAATAAACCAGCTATATGGAAGCGGTCTGTAAATAATCGAGTCTGGGCCAGACAATTCAGTGATCAACAGCATGAGCATCACACTCATGACGCCTCCGTGGTGTAGTAGTGGGATCACCGATGACCTGTGTCAACCAAGTCATCAAGCTTGACCACAAGGACTGGTGGAAACTCGAGTCAGTATAATCCCGTCAGTCACCTCATACAACAAACATGGGTTACTGAAGATCAATTCTAACCCAGATCTTCATGGGTACATGCCCAGATGAAGAAGAGTTATAATCCCGTTAATTCTATTGAAAACTTCAGCAATCAGAAATATGCAGTATTAGGTCGTACCGTCTCTGGAACAGACAAGTAGAGAGAGGGCAGTAGCCACAACAGCCTGGCCGTGGTCAGTCTCCAATCTGGCCAGCACCTCCTGCAGCAGCTGGGGGGTCGTGTGGGGCAGCGACTTCAACTTGGTGGATATCTGGAGGGAGGAACAGATTGGACAACTCAGTATTTCCATGATAAACAATACAAGTGATTTCATAATATTGATATCATTATTGTTGTTAACAAATACTGAATACAATTATACAACTGAATACAATTATTATGGTACAATTAATTAGTGTTCCTAATGTCATCTGTCCCCCTGCCACCAGTGCCTTGAAGTTCTTCGGTCAATGTTATGAAAGTGACCTTTGACAGACTTCTTTAGTAGGAAAATATTCCTTGGAGGGACTATTTTCTATGTGACACATTTCTATTTTGTTTTACTTTTACACAGCTAAACTATGAGGGATCATCAGTATTTCGGACATATCTTCATGATCATTCTCCACAAGAAAAATATCCCCCCAATATATTCATTATTCCACTTCATATTCAGTATAAATATACAATGATGTTGGATTTCAAATTGTGAAAAAATGAATCTGTGTTACCTGCTCAAAGACACCCAAAACTCTGAGTTCCTCACAGGCCAGTTTAAGGTAGAGGGGATTGCTGGCTTCCTTCTTCGATGTGATGAGTTTCAGCTGTAAGAACATCATATTACATTACTACCACAGCACCAGTATCAGGCTTCATTCACGTAAGATCATTCACGTAAGATCCATGAAGATCCGGGTTAGAGTTGGTCTTCAGTTACCAATGCTTGTCGTAAGAGGCAACTAACAGGATCAGGTGGTCAGGCTTGCCAACATGATTGACATTGTAACCCAGTTGCGTAGATCAATGTTCATGCTGTTGATCACTGGATTGTCTGGTACAGACTTGATTATTTACAGACTAGTGTTAGGAATTGGTTGAAATCTCACAATTGATGATTGGTCCTTTACCAACGAGCAATCATAAAAAAAAATTGGTTAGCATCATTTTTCAGGTATTTCTGTTCCCATAGTCCTCAAGAAATATTCAGTCATGACTTTTCAGTAAGTGATGTTAATTTTTTCTAAGATTTGAACACGTTTTCAAGCCCTGACAACATCTAAGGCATGTTCCATGTGTTTCAAACACTAAAACAGTAGTTACAAAATCATTTGTGTTCGATTATGAGAAAATGTGATCTATTGCTTTGCGGTTTGGCCATTGCGATCAATATTTGATTATTTCCATTAATCGTAACACCTCTGTTACAGACTGCCGCCATATAGTTGGAATATTGCTGACAGCGGCGTTAAACAACAATCAATCAATCAATCATTCACTTAAATCAGGGTGCGAGTCAATCTGCTTGCAGAGAACGTACAAATCATACAATCATGTCAGGGTATAATCCATCATGCTAGTATATTGTGTTTGGTGTTCAGTGCCACACTCAGCAACACAGGTATAGGTCCGTCTCCTATTCTCGCAGGTTTCCTATTCTCGCGGTAAATACGTTTTCTGCCGAAATCGCCGATGCGTGACACTTAGCGGTTGTTTACATCAGCGACTGGTAACTAAGAAGTGGACTAAGTCGGTGAATGATCAAAATCTTGCAGTGTCACGAATATTGGGGAGTTTATACCAACTTGGACATATCATTACTTTTTCTCGCCCTTTCCGGCAGGATTGCTTTTACATACACTCAATAACGTTAATTCCTGGTAATTCCGCGAGACTGGGAGAAGCCTCGTTTCAACAATGTCGGATGGCATTGTTTATCACCGGGCTCATGAGTGGTAATTCACCTGATGGATCTGGCAGCTGATAGATGCAGATGTTAGAGGAGAAGGACCTTCATTTAATAACAACAAGCATTCATACGATAAGAATTGTTTGTGTTATTTTTTCCGTAAGTACCGCGAGAATAGGAAACGCCTTCCTATATGACAGCAGTCTGTATATATAGAATCTGGACAAGACAATCCAGTGATTGACATCTGCAAAATTTGGATACAATGGCATGCATCAACCAATCAGCAGCCAGATTCCCTTAGTCGCCTCTTACGATAAGCATGTGTTGTTGAAGGCGGAAACTAAGCCAGACCTTCATGGGAATCAATATTTATGATTTATGATAAATACTAAGAGAATATAGGTATGTTCACCTGATTGTTGAATGGTGTCTCGCTGAGTGTCTTGCGATGTTCTAGCAGGGTGGATCGGACAACCTCAGCCTTATCAAACACATCAAGGGCACCGATGACGATCTCCTGCGTGTCGAGACGTTGCAGAGACTTGTGGCACTTTTCATTGTTCACCACAGACAGCACAAACACCACGTTCTGAAACACAAACAAGTATGGTTCTGAAGATAATGCTTCTATTCTTGTTTTTTGAGTTGGTAAGACAGATACATGATGACAGTGTGCATCAGACAAAGAGTGAGTAAGTGAGTTTAGTTTTACGCCGCTTTTCGCAATATTCCAGCAAATCACAGTGGGGACACCAGAAATGGGCTTCACACATTGTAATCATGTGGGGAATCTAACCCGGGTTTTCGGCGTGACGAGCGAACGCTTTAACCACTAGGCTACCCACCGCCCTGCATCAGACAAAAAAGTGAATGACTTCATGAACTATGTGACACAAGAGAGAGTGCATGTTGATGAACACCTGAGTCAGCAAAATTCCAGCTATATCACTGAGGTTTAGTAAAACCAAAAGTCTTTTTTGTTATGATGCCTGAACATCAGCCATGATTAATTACAGGCCATATAGCTGTGTCACAGCCTAACTTACCTCAGGCACTGGGTTGGGGAGCCACTCCATGTTGTATGGTTGGTGGACATTGTCCATCAGGTCCAGCCCATCCATCACCACCACCATGGTGGAGCCACACACCTTCCCTGCTTCCTTCAACAGCTCGCCAAACTTCACTGCCAGGTTCCTGGAACCATTAACAGGCTTATAGACTTCACCAATGACTTTTAATTGAAAAATACTCTTACGAACATCAACAAAAACGTCACCACCAGGTTCCTGGAACCATCAACAGGCTTATAGACCTCAGCAATGACTTTAAACTTATTACTCTGATGAATATCAACAAAAGCTTCACTCTCCGGTTCCTGGTAACAAAAAATACTCTCATGAACTTAACAATGATTTACTGGAATCAACATGAACATCAAGAAAAACTTCACTATCAAGTTCCTGGGAACAAACAACACTCTCAACAAATTTCCTGGAATCAACAATATTCTGACAGACTTCATGAATAATTTCCCCACCAGGATCGTTGTAACAAACAGTATTCTGATGAACTTCAACAATAACTTCACCACTATTGCACAAGACCCACTGTGTTTGAATCAAAACACGGAATGTTAAAAAAGGTGGATGTTTCGACAGCGTGTATTACTTCAGCAGTAAATGGTACTCACTTGAAGTCTTCTGGTATCTCAGCCTGCAGACCAAACAGTCGGTTGATCTCGTGACATAGCCTCTTGATGGTAGCCATGATATTCTGGGAACCAGGAGCAGCGCCAACCATGTGCACCAGAACAGTCGCAGCGCTGTCACAGAACTTGGACTCAAGGTAGGAGTGAATTAGGGAGGCCTGAAACAAGAATGTATCTACATTAATCACTCTAAATACAAGAACAAAAGCAAATGTTATTTTACCTGATGTGAGTTAAGTGAGTGAGTTTAGTTTTACAACGCCTTTAGCAATATTCCAGCAGGTGACACCAGAAATGGGTTTCACACATTGTACCCATGTGGAGAATAGAACCCCGGGTCTTTGATGTGATGAGCGAACGCTTTAACCACTTGGCTACCCCATCAGTTAAATTACAAGTTTGAAATATAGAAAAAAGCACATATTTCTTCAGAGAGGTACAGTAGCATACCACGAGTGACGTTTTCCCTGATCCAGGTTTTCCAGCCAGCGTGATGACACCCGACTGTATCTCCACGATCTTGTTGATGCACTCCTTGATCAGCGTCTTCCGACCAATGAACTGAGACTGGCGACTGTCCACAAATGCTCGGTGTAGCTTGGCAATGTGAGTGTCTTCATCCAGCATGGCTTCCTGGTAGATACAATCATAAACTGTTTTACTCTACTCAGTTTTGTATTAAACAAAATTCATAAAGATAAGAAAGAAATGTCATATTCAAGCCCGCACACAAAAACAGAATTGGATGCAATGTATATCATTCTGAGATGATACATTATCATCCAAAACTGGGAGATACCGATACAATGAAACTGCATCACAATGCTATGGACATTGTTACATAACTGGTTAACATGATGTCACAATCAAATGACATCACTATTGTCTCTGCCTCTGAAGCAAAGTAACTGTACATTTACACTCAAGACATTGGCTGTATCTGATTACAAACTGAAAACAGTTTTGGCTCATTTTTTATGATAAATGGAGTCTCACACATGTGTCAAAACAACATAATGTATCCACAAAGAATGATTCCCGAACCTTGCAGCAGCCACTTACCTCATCTGGATACTGGTTTTGAATGGCTGTCCACAAGTTGTTGAGAACTCGGATCCCAAAGTTGTTGAGTCCGCTGGTGATGGGCTTCTGGTCCACAGTACCACCCCAGGTGCAGGGATAGCTGTGGGAATACATTTACATCCAATCCTCAAACAGCTTTAGCAGTCACAATGCATTGATGGAGAAATAGACTAGGGCTGGATATTGCTCTGATTTTCATATTGCGATATATTGCAATAATTTAAGAGATATTGCAATACATATTGTGATATATTGACTGGAAGGTTTCTGCCCAAGTGCGTACATCATAAATTTATACAAACCTGTAGAGGTTATGAATTCTTTGAAGAAAGTCCTCCTTGGGGTACATATAAGCATTAAAATGTCCATTTTAAATCCTACGACAGTTGTAACTATATTTTTAATAAAATATTTACAAAACAAAAAACTCGTTTTGTCTTGTGAGACCACCCCTACAGGGCCCCACCGGACCAACACAGCCAAGAGCAGGTAACTCTCGCCGTCTACCTCGTACCTCACTTTTCATGCTGAACGTGTCAGACAGAATGAGGGGAGGCGGGTGGCCGTACCCCAAGGAGGACTTTCTTCAAAGAATTCATAACCTCTACAGGCTTGTATAATTCTTTTTCAGAAGAAGTCCCCCTTGGGGTACATATAAGCATATGACAGACTCCCAAAGATATTTGAGACGGGAGTGGCATTCTGTCTGGCAACAACTAAACCCGTGGTGGAGTGAAATCTACAACCGATACAGAAATAGAAAACACCGAGCCACCTGACCGCTGATGTCAATCAGACGAGTGAGGAACTAGAGAAATCAAGCTTATATGTCAATTGGCTCAATATCAATGACATAAAACCCTTCCCCAACCATCACAATGGAAGGAAAGTATGGGGACATGCCAGAAACAACTCCCAACCCTAATATAGCCCCAGCCAGACAAGCGTGGCGAGAGGTATAAGGGTAGGGAAAGCGTAAAAAATTTAAACGCTACAAAGCCAATAACCCAGGAGTCGAGCTAATAAGTACTGCAAATTAATGCTCGAATGCACCCCTGTTTGGAAGAGGGCTTGCCGGGACCTCGATAAAATCCCGATAAATTATTAGCCTCGCTAAAACTTTCAGAGGAAATCGAGCGAGTACAAGCGCCATGCACTGTATGCGGTGAAAACACCCCCACCAAACACTCTCGGCGAGGGAGGGTAAGTGTAGGCCACCATCCCACAAAGCTGCTTAACACAGACTCCCAAATACTGAAGGCTCGGGAAGAGGGATAACTGTAAAGCGTGCAAAAACCCTGAATAGCGAAAAGCGTAGCCGAACATGTGTTGGCTCACCATTACACTAACCTGGTCACGTGACATGCGGCTCGAGAGAGGCATACCAAACAGTGCCCGTGGGGTTCGTGCCCAATTCCGTCGCAAGGCGGGTTAATAACATATGACTGGTTAAAGCGTTCAAAACGGACCCCGCCCTCTTGAAGAGGACGTAAGGGACGTATGTACACCCAAACCCGACCCAACCCGAAAGGATGGTAAGGCTAATACGATGTAGTGATATGAAATATATCGACATTGAACACAGAACCGATACCAATGACCAGTTACTAACGTGGTCAGGGTGGCAGGGCACTCTCCACTGGAGAGAACCGAAAGACCGAACCAAGCACGATCCTTAGAATGCGTGTCGAGTTGGTAATGGCGAATGAAGGCGTTCTGCCGGCTCCAAAGAGCGACAGAACCGATCTCTTCATTGAGCAGTGCCGCTGTGTATTGACAACAAAGCGGCATCTGCCCTACCCAGTCTGCCTTCAACCTTCAAACCGAGGTAAACCTTATCATTGTAACCGAACAATTACGGAAACAAGCCAACGAGATAAAGTGCGCTTGTTAGCAGTCTTCCCTCCACCAAACAGCACACATGGGTACCCGTACGGATCCCTTTTGTTCGTTCGTTCGTGACAGGCACGGGTGAGCAATCGAAAGATTGGTCCCCGGTGCGGAAGGCTGGGTAAGGGGTGGAAGTGCGATATGAGCAGTCACGTGGAAAGCAATATCGCACTGAGAGTGGTAGGTATCTGGGAGTCAAATACGGACATGATCAGTATAAAATACTGTCAGTGTCGGGTCAGTGGGGATCGCATGGATGTACCCGACCCTTCTACCAGAGTTCACCACAACAAGTTAAGTCGTCTTCCACGTCAACAAGTGAAGTGAGAGAGACGATATACTTGAAAAATTAGGGCCAGACAGCCAATTGTGAATAAGTGGCAATTTTTAGGTGGGCTGGGTCGCTGACGAGGCGGTCGAACCCTGTTCATGCCAGCTACGACGCGATGTACGAGAGGATGCTGCCTAGGCAGAGCACCATCGAACGAGGTGTGAAACGTGGAAATAGCCATGGAGTACCCGGCAATGGTGGAGGTCAGAAGGCTCTCAACCAAAACGAGATTATAGTAACTCCAATATCCGAACTAAATCCGCAGAATAGGGATTATGAAGCTCAAAAGACTTCCGTATTCCTCGAAACGGTCCTGGGCGTATAGGCCCATAACCGCCCTCATCATTTGGCTGGCACAGCTACAATGCAGTCCCTAGCCAGATGAGAGTTGCCCCCGTCAGATGCCGCCCAGAGTCGCCGACGAAAAAATTCCACCGGCGCTTTCTCCCCTTTCCACCAGCTCCCTCAGCAGAGCTGAGAGATGTGCCGAGTGGAGCATACAGCGTTGAGCTGTGAAGGGGAAAGAACGGCAGACTGACGGTAGAGTGTGAGGCCTTGTCCCGGATGCCGTGCTGGAAGCAGGCTTCCCTCCGGGAGGCGAACTCCAACGGTTCGGGTATTCGAAGTGGACAACACCTGAGGCAACACAGCCGCGATTCTATCTCGCACTTGCCTCAGGGACGAACCTACTCAGTGGTAAGTTCAAAGTAGCGAAATGAGCCGAAGCTCAAATCGACTTGTCCACTGTACGAGTCTGAACCCCGAATCCGAGGCACATGTGAGAAGCCTGACAATCAAGGTTTCACAAGCACTCAGACAGACCTCGGAGCGTCGAGGTGACCGTCACACCCGGCACACTCGATGGCATCGTGGTCAAGACGTCGATAGACATCAGGCCGAGACCTGAACTACCGGAGCTGGGAATCTGCACCCTACCAGTGCCGAAGCCTGGGTCGGTGCTACCCACGGGGTTCAGAGAATCCGCAGAGCCAAAGCTCAGCTGTTCTAGACCGAACCCGATCCAGAGACATCGTAGGAGTAGCCTGATAAATCAGGATTTCCCCAAGTACTCTCCAAAAGCGCACTAAGCATATAGTCAAACATAGCCTATAACGCTATATAAATACCCATACATACACATGTATGTGTATATATATATACACAGATATATATATATATATATATATATATATATATATACGTAAGTGCTTGGGTCGGCGGTTCGAGTTCGAACCCCGATCCCAAAACACATGGGAGTAGCCTGACAATGCAGGGCTCCCCTGGTGTACACGGGTAGACCTCGGCGCGTCAAGGTGATCGGCAGCTCGTCACACTCAACGGCCTCTTGGCCAGGGCATCGATAGACATCAGGCCGAGACCTGAGCTAACAGCGCCGGGGATCTGCTCCGTACCGGGGCCGAAGCCCAGGTCGGTGCTAGTCCGATCTGCAGTCCCGAGACACAAGGGAGTAGCCTGGCAATGCAGGTTTCCCTGGTGGACACAGGTAGACCTATGGCGCCGAGATGATCGGCAGCTCAGTGGAACAGACCGAGCGCCGAGGAACCTGCCGATATACAGGTTTCCCGGGCAACCCCGACTGACCACTTGGCGCCGAGGTGTCCCCGAGCTGGTCGGCGCCTAGGCGACCGCCAGTCAGGGCACCAGGCGAAGACAGGGTGAAACCTGCATCGCCGGCGCCAGGCGCCCGTGACGAACCTGAGCCCGAAGCTAGGTCGCCACAAGGTGCAGAAGGCGCCGAAGTGTCCCCGAGCTGGTCTGCGCGGAGGCGACCGCCAGTCAGGGCACCAGGCGAAGACAGGGTGAAACCTGCATCGCCGGCGCCCGTGACGAACCTGAGCCCAAAGCTAGGTCGCCACAAGGTGCCGAAGGCGCCGAGGTGTCCCCGAGCTGGTAGCGCCTAGGCGACCGCCAGTCAGGACACCAGGCGAAGACCGGGTGAAACCTGCATCGCTGGCGCCAGGCGCCCGTGACTAACCTGAGCCCGAAGCTAGGTCGCCACAAGGTGCCGAAGTGTCCCCGAGCTGGTCGGCGCGGAGGCGACCGCCTGTCAGGGCACCAGGCGAAGACAGGGTGAAACCTGCATCGCCGGCGTCAGGCGCCCGTGACTAACCTGAGCCCGAAGCTAGGTCGCCACAAGGTGCCGAAGGCACACCATCACCTGAGCCGAAGCCAGGATCAAGCTGCCTGGGAGGAGGCTCGTTCTCCGAGCCAGAGCTCGGGCCGCAGCCAACCCCCCCAGATGCGTCCGATCCACCCCGGACGACCGACGACCTTCGAGATCAACACTTTGCGAGCCGAGCTCCTGACGGAGCCCGGACATCGCGCTATCAATCAGCTGCAATAGTGAAGCAAATTGAGTCATATTTAAGTCAGCAACATTGTTTGCGGGGGAACGATAAAGGGATTTCCTTAGAAACCTTTTATCAAATATTATCCCCCGCCTGAAGCAGATTAGTGAAAAACATAAAATCTGCGTGTCGGGAACCATGCGCGTGAGGCGCAGAAACCCAGACAAAAAACCACAACCTCGGCCTATGAGCCACGTTGTGTGTAAACGTATGAAATATGTATCATAATACAACATAATGTAACAGGAATATTGACGCAAGGGCGTTTATTATGAGCATCCTTGATCGTCGTGGAGCGCCCTCGGCTAAACACGGAGGCACACTTTATGACCATCCTGTGGCGGTAGTGTGCACGGCACAACGCACAGGGCTTAAACTGCAACAAACAGAACCACGCCAGTGTTACTAGCAGGAACTGTGAAGCAGCAAACACATAAACACAAGTAATAGCAAGAATAACCCGCACGGGCGATATATAAATGCTACAAGCTACAGCCATTTAAATACTAAACATACAATGCAAAGCAGAAAAAAGGCTAGCCACCCCTGCGTGTACATACTAGTGATAGAGTAAAGTTGGTGATACTGAAGCGAACACTATCAAAATTACTCAACAACGACTTACCACAAATTCGCTGAAAAGAAAGAGTATTTAGGCAAGCCTACCATATAATATGCAAACATAATATATGAACTCCCTATTACAAGCTACCAAGAACATATAGCAAGGAAACCACGATCGCTGGCGGTCCGCCATTTTGCCTGCCACATGGCTGGAAAACAGAGAACCCACGCAAAGTTACAACAAAGATGAATGAAAATATCAACATATGACGTCCATCTAACGCCCGTGCGTAGAGAAAGGAACCATACATACAGATTGAGATCTTTTACACTCATTGTATCAGTAGGAGAGCAAACTCGAAACGGAACACCACGCACGTCTATTCAACAGAACGACAGCATGAAAAGTGAGGTACGAGGTAGACGGCGAGAGTTACCTGCTCTTGGCTCTGTTGGTCCGGTGGGGCCCTGTAGGGGTGGTCTCACAAGACAAAACGAGTTTTTTGTTTTGTAAATATTTTATTAAAAATATAGTTACAACTGTCGTAGGATTTAAAATGGACATTTTAATGCTTATATGTACCCCAAAGAGGACTTCTTCTGAAAAAGAATCATAACAGCACTCAGTGTGCGACATCACCTTCTCAGTTGCTGTTACATATGGTGTAATATGTCAGGCTCCCAGCCCCCATTGTGTATGGCTGTATGCCAATCGTTTACAAATAATAAAATAATATAGAGCCTTAATGTGAAACATAAAAACCAACATTTTGCGAACATAATGATAAAGGTAATAGTATACTGTTCACTGTTTCATCATGAAATTTCATACATAGGTAGGTCTAGTGGTGAACTGGTGCCTTTTGCTAGTTTTGGATTTCTGAATAAACTGGGTTTTTTTTGCATTTCCATGGCAACAATTTTGGCTTCAATGAAACAAACAAAAACTGTGAACTGTGAAATGGTCACTCAGAGCCAGAGGCTCTACTAATAAGTCCAAATAAAAATTGGTCCATTTGAGGCCACTTACAAAATTAATTCCTCCAAATGAAACTATTCAAACCCACAAAACATAAAGTATTTGGTAGACTATTTGGCAATTTTGGAGCCACTTATAATGACACTTCCACTTGTAAAATGTTACATGCAACCAACAGAAATAAAAGTGTATTCGGCACTTTTACAGCACACTTGTTTGCTGTGGAAATCAAGGGCAGATAATTCAAATGGAGCTAGCTTTGGATGACCCAATATATTGTAGAATCTGAACTATATTGCGATAATCGTATCATGAGATACTATACCGGTATATACCATTTTACCGGTAATATTGCACAGCCCTTAAAAAGACTATATAATTTTCAAATTGCCCACAGTATTTTGGATATTTGATTTTTAGTCTGATGTTTTGCTGACAGAATTTCAAGTTCATATTTATGAATTAGAACGTAGACATGTTTTTTTTAATGTAGATAAATCTACAAGAAGCAAGTTTTCTAGGGCCTTCTCAACAAATATCTCTATTGAATGTTATCAGATCTTACTACAGGACTGCTGACTTACTCATCATAAACCTCCAGGCCACTTGATCGGACACGAGTCTTCAGACGCGCCAATTTCTCTCTGCTGACCTCATTCTCAGTTGCGAAATCAGTAACAAACTCCTTAGGGACATCTCTGTAAGCATAAAGTAATTGTAGATTCCAAATAGCTGTGTATTTGTGTAAAATATGCACTATAACAGAATGAATTTGGGATGCTTGCATACAAACATGCTTGCAATAAACAACAAAACCCTCAATACGACAACTGAATGAATAATCTAAGTAGATAGAAGGCTTTACATGCTTTTATTTACTGATCCTATTTATGAACTCAATATCTGGTACAACGTTTCCACATTTAAAACCAGCATTTAAAAGACCTGAATTTCAAAGACTGCCAACACCAACCTTTCAAACGTGCTGTCTCGGATGTAGAAGAAGCATCTCTCGCGGACTTCGTTGGGTTTGGACAATGCTGCTGAATGCATCTCCAGTTCTGTTACAGATGCTCCAGGCGGGTAGTCACGGACCCAGTCGAACTCAGCAGTGTCAGGAACCTCATACTTGTCGGGAACCCAGCCATATCGGTGCCAAGCATACCGATGAAGAACTGACATTTGGTCAGCTCCTGAAGACAAAGGTCCAAGGTCCTGAAAATACACATTACAGTTATCTTTTAATTAAAACAGAATGGACTGGTTAATCTCATGCTGTGGTCACAACTTCTCAGTATATGTGCCCTCCAACAAGGCTACAGATGCAAGGTTTCAGGCTGCACAGGCCAAACTACAAATTGTACACAAAATAATTACGTGAACATCAGATTTGAGTCTAAAAACAACCACAAATAAAAGAAACTGAAGCATTGTTTAGTTAGACCACACAACAAAGAAACAATGATTGTGAGTATGATCACATGTATATTCTATGGAATTTTAACCAGTATATTTCTCCAGAGTGGAAGATTATCATAACTGAAGCCAGACGGTTTATCATATACACCCCTAACATAAATCAAATCATATGGAAAATATTAAGACAATCATCAATTGCTACGTTGAGCAGGGAAACGTGCCATTACAAATGGTTGACCAACCTGTTGAGTTTGGTCAGCTCCTCTGTGACCCCCCACCTGAGGTCCACCTCGTACACGTTGATGAAGTGTTTTCGTCCCCGCTCCCGCAGCTCGGGGAACACAAATCGAGTCAGAAGGTCGCGTTCCCCATGCATGTCCCTGAACGTTGAAGAGATGAACACCCTGGCTGTTCGCCATCTGAAACATCACATCAGTTTATTAAAGTTTGGCTTCATCATTTTGCTGAAATTTCCTTCCTCAATGCTATGGTTGTGTTCGTTAAGGGAAATACTGACTCATACACCTCTCCTTTTCCCTTATAAGTGTAGGAAGTGTCTGTGGTATTATGGACAAGCATCTGTCCAGTATCTTGTTGTTACTCTGGCTTTCAACGTGAAGTGGATAAAACATGGACTGATCAGACTGGTATTGGTAAGCTGTATCTGAGAGGGGGATCCATGTTAAGGGAAAACGTTTGTAATTTATGGTTGATGATGATTTCTATGGAGAAGCATGTACTATGTGAATGACCCCCCAAACATTTATGTACAAAGTAAGCGACCCCCCTGCATGTCATGTACAAAAAAATCCCTCCCCCTTTTATTTTTATGTACGAAAGTGCTGATCCCCCCCAGAACATGTGTACAAAATTGCTGACCCCTCTCCCTCCCCAGGACAAAATGGGTCACCCCCTCCCTCCCTCCCTTGAAATCATCATCAACCCCTCGCCACAAATTATGAACGGTCCCTAAACTGCATAATATCAGTTGATTAGCACTACAAAGCTGGCACACACAGACACCAGACACACAGACATGTACACCCCACCCCTCACCTACAGGTGTAAAGTCCATTACACATCACCTACCTGGGCATCTGTGCTGAGATTGGCAGCACCCTCTCTGGATTGACCTTGACCTGAGCCTTGTCGACCTTCTCAAGGGCAGTCACCAGAACATTCTTCAAGTTGAATGCCTCATCAATGTTCTCAACATGGAGTAACTGACCTCCATCTCCACGTTCAGCAATAAATCTGTGATAAGATTTGGGAAGATAATTTCATTTCGAAAAACAGAAAAATCAATAGATAAATATGTCGCTAATTTTAAGCCCTTGTAACAAACAAATCCTATTACATGGCTATCAAGAGAGCTCCAAAATAAGTAATTCCAAATTTTGAACTTTTCAGATGATATTATTTCTAGTTTTCATTGCTATGGTTACCTGAGAATTTGGTCACTATAGCCAGTGATGTAGATGTCATTGTCATGCTCTGGTTTGATGTCCTGTGCAAACCTGGAATCAAATTAGAATGATGAATACCAGATGAACCAACCTTTGTTTTGTTCCTAACGACAGGTGTGAAAGAGAGAAAATAGTGTGAAAATACTCAAACGCATTATTGGGGGCGGTGGGGTAGCCTAATGGTTAAAGCGTTGGCTCGTCACGCCGAAGACCCGGGTTCGAATCCCCACATGGGCACAATGTGTGAAGCCCATTTCTGGTATCCCCCGCCGTGATGTTGCTGGAATATTGCTAAAAGCGGCGTAAAACCAAACTCCGTCAGTCAGTCAAACGCATCATCTGACAATACACAAATGATGCATTATTTTTCACATGTTCGTACTGTAAGGTATGGTACAGAGAGCTTTTCCTACTTTTCAACATTACGTTACACCAACAACATATTTCCACAAATCTGCCACACTTCCAGCAAAGTCAATACATTTAGAAACTGATGAAGAACATTTGCATTCTACAGTTGCATCAGACAATTCTGAGTCAACTATTCTCACCCGGTGTTCCTCCCTGCGAATGACACACTGCAGTACAGCAGGTTCTGGTTGACCACCTGGCGATACATCTTCAGGAAATCGGACATCACTTGACCTTTGTCCGAAGTGGGATTAATTCCACCACTCAGGATAATCAGATTGTCCACCTACAAGAGACATATATAACATGATATGGGATTTTGGTGCCATAATATATGGTGAAATGGTCAAGATTCTTGCACTTACATTGTGGTGTATGCTTTAAATGTACAACTTGGACTAGCCCAGACTAATGTTGATTGTATTTTGCTACCCACTGAGTGCATGCTACAGTTTAACATCTATACCCCACATTATACAAACTCCGAGCTGGCCAGCACTTGTTCTATCTGTTTTGAGTCAGGCAGGGTAACAAAAAGTACCATGTTTTAATGTATGACACAACCAGGGATCAAACCACCAACATTTGACACCATAGGCAGGTGCTCTATCCAATAGACAATGGAGGTGGTCGAATATGAGCAAATATAGTACTGACTTGACCACAAGAGTATGAACTGAACAGAGAGAGAGAGACAGAGAGTAGGAAATGTCCATGAACAGCAACCACGATAACCTCCTCTTCTATATTCTCCAAACACGTGTTTTTTATTTATTTTCTGGGGCGGTGGGGTAGCCTAGTGGTTAAAGCGTTCGCTCGTCACACCAAAGACCCGGGTTCGATTCCCCACATGGGTACAATATGTGAAGCCCATTTCTGGTGTCCCCCGCCGTGATATTGCTGGAATATTGCTAAAAGTGGCGTAAAACCATATTCACTCACTATTTTTTTCTGTACTAACAATAAAGCCTGGGTATCTGACTTAGGAATGTTGTCTTCACTATTTTGTCTCCATCACTTTCTGTACTTGAATGTAGTCATAACTCAATCGCATACCTGTATTCTGTCTCGGGAGCACTTCCACAAGCACTTGGAATGGCAGCCCCTTTGTCAGCGGTTGTCGCCCACTCATCTGATGAATACACAACACTCTTACAAGTATAGGTCACAGAACCAAAGTATTGTTGAACATATGAAACTTCAACCTATGTATCTTATTAGAGGTATACTACATAGTTCTCACCTGAGAATAATACTCAAATAATCTTAAACATATTTCATAACAGAAGATTATTTTTATTCTTAATATTTCTATGCATTTGTAGAATATATGAAGGTATGGCAACTTACTATGTATCAAGAAATTGATTTATTGTGACAATATTTGAGAAAAGTGTCCAGAGCAATGTTCATCTGCATATACTTCACAAGCTAAGTGATGTTGATTCCAGTCTTATTGTAAGAACAGAAAGCAGCACCCACCTCAGATATGGGAGAATTAAGTACAGTGGCCATGTTGTCCAGGATGGTGCCCTTAGCGATGTCGATGGTTGCATAGTGGGTGTCGTTGTAGGCCACCAACATACACTCCTCACAGGAGTGCTTACACATCAGACCCAGCAGAACAGCGACCTCATCCATCTGCAACCCATCTCAGTGTTGGACTTACCGTGACACAGATGTTATAAACAGCATACAGAAAATGTGGACATTGTTAGATAATGATAAAATAGAACTTTAAAAATAAAAGAAATGCTAGAAACTGGCAAAAGAGTTGCTCCCGTTGTGTTACTAGTGTTTACCATTCTCGGTTTGCCAAGTCCCTTCGCTGCAGTGCATGGTATTTTCATCTCACTGCCAATGTCGCAGAAGATGATTGTCCGCCCTCTGATTGGTTGAACATTGTAGACCGTGGCGATCTTGACCGATGTGTCCAGGGCCTTGCGGTACCGCACTATCAGGTTCTTGTCATATGCAACCTCACTGCAAATACCATGGCAGCCATTACATAACGTTTGCAGGCATTATTGTCTGTTATTTACCATGTATTTACTTATTGTCTGTTATTTACCGTTTCATGTGTTAAATTTATATCCATGCAATACAACAATATTATACACAGGTCGGGGTCAGGGGGTAGGGTAGTAGGGTAGGGTAGGGTAGGGTAGGTTAGGGTAGGGTAGGGTAGGGTAGGGTAGGGTAGGGTAGGGTAGGGTAGGGTAGGGTAGGGTAGGGTAGGGTAGGGTAGGGCAGGGCAGGGCAGGGCAGTTAAGAGTCAACACATTTGGTGCATCATGCATGTTCAGATATTAGCACTCTATCAAGTGGTCATGTACTGATACTTGCATATAGTAGGGTGATACAGAAAATACAATAATTACTGTTTATAAAATAACATTTTGGTACACTGAATATGTACTTAAGATATCACGCCATTGTTTTGTTTGAATTTGGGCGTTTTGTTGGATGCTGGAAATGCTTCCTGATGTGTATAGTGTTAAGTTCTCATGTATGATATTCTGACCTTACTATTGACATATCTAATACAATGTATGAATACATCATTATTTGAGCTGTAATCTATTTACTCCTTTCAGTGAGTGTAGTGAGAAATTTCATTCACAAAGGCACTAAAAAACCTAATGCTAGTCATATTTTCAGATTACCGTCCTCACATCTCTGTATAACGTTTTCATGACCTTCCCTTTGAGTCTAATATATTTTTGGGTGAACCTCCCAATTCCCTCAGATTCTCGCATCCTTATGTTAAATGACTGACGCCTAAACAATATTGGTTTCCTTGGCACTGACCTTGTGCCTTGCTGCTTTTTTTTTATCCTTCCTGTTCATCCACCATTTGTCCTTTCCTGCGGCCCCACGACCTCTGCTTCCACGACCTCGACCACGGCCTCGGATACCTCCGCGAGTTACCCCTGATGCCATAGCATTGTTCTCAGCATCGTGAATAATGTCTTTTTCTGAAAAAAATAAAAATAAAATAATAACATGTCTGGCCAGTCTGGTAAAGTGGTTGGTGGGAGTGTCAGATCAATATGTGGAACATCAGCATCATCAACATTATCTGAGCACATCAGCACTGCAGGCATGTGTGGGCTGGGGTTAACACCGCTTTAAACAGTTATCCACTTACATCACAGCCGTCAGCTTAAGAAGGAAGAGGAAGGACTGATCAGGTCTTATAGGTTTATCACTACGGTGAAGCCCATGACCACCAGCACTGGTGCTGACAACTTAGAGTGAGTGCGTGAGTTAGTTTAGTCTTAGGCCGCTTTTAGCAATATTCCAGCAATATCACGGCAGGGGACACATTGTGCCCATGAGGGGAATCGAACACGGGTCCTGGGCGTGACGAGCGACCGCTCTAACCGCAAGGCTATCCTACTGACCCTGACAACTTAGGAAACTTGACTGTATCAAACCAGGCTTCAAACCCACAACCACTGGTTTCTGTCATACATGGCAGTGACTAGTCTGCAATTATCTAGGATTCAAAACTGAGTGCCTTTAGCTTTGGCTGGCAAGTTGGGAAAAACATGTAATACTGTTCTAAATTAGATTATCTTAATGTTCGCATTTTCATAAATTCAGAGGAACTGGGAAATATTTAATTCAATTTGCCAAGTTTACTGCTCCAGGCTTGTGGCCAAATGTCAACCTCTGAGCAAGTCTAGATAAATATTTGCCAGTACAGAATCTATTCCATGGATTGTGCATAGCAGTACTTGCAATGGCTACAGCAAATACTCTCCATTAAAAACCTTGAAGACTGTGACTGCCTGGGTGAACTGGCTGATTGTAAAATTACACTTGGAGGAAATATTTGTTTGTAATAGCACAAGATCAGCATGTGTTAGAGACACTGTTTGGAGGGCTGATGAAAGACTTACGGTTTTTCTCATAGTCATTCTCCAACTGTGTGAGCACTTCGTATGCTGAGAAGAATCGGAACGGGAACTGTTTGCTGTTGATGACTTGACGCTGTAACGCAGCAATGGTGAGAATGTATTGTACACAATCTTATCTGGTCAATTACATACGAGAACTAAAGAAATAGATTTAGTTGTGCTGTTAAAGTAACAGTGAGCACACAAAATGTTTTGCTATAAAGGTGAAAATGCAGACTGGCTTTTTCAAAGTTGCGAGTTAATAAAAAAACATGCAATTTTATGGATAAAAACATCTATTTCATTTCTACGCAGATTCTTATACTGTCAACAAGCGGCAGTAACTCAGCGATGGCTGAGCAGGTTAGACGGCTGACTTTTTGTGCTGGCAATTAGGTGCCTGACTCTGAGGGTGTGGGTTCGAATCCCAGATAGGACTCAACCCCAAAAAGTACTAGAATCTGTACTTTACTAAGAAAGTGTAATCCCAAATATAACATATGTTACATTTGACCACTTTCTAAATGGCATTGTGTATTCAAAGCTGCAGTGAATCTACATGAAAACATACTAGGGCTCTCACGAGTCCAAAATTTGGGACTCGAGTACTCGAGGTGTCAGACCCGACTCGGACCCGAGTACCCGACAATTTGGATGCTTATCTGAAACCAACATTCAAGCATACACGTAGCTGTTCCAACTTCCAATCTACGAATAATGCAACATGTATATGTGAATCCAAACGTTCCTGAATAAAGCAATTGATATTCAATGTCAATGGAAGTATCTATTACCTTTTTTATTATTGCAAACAGAATGTGAAGGCAACGTAAGTGTCACTGTGACCCAGTTCTACGCGATCAATTATGTGATTAATATTCATGAGCTGGGCCGGTGATACCTTATTACTTCGTAAATGCTGTAATATGATTGGATGTGTCCGGGAAAAGAAACCAATCAATGTACTTCTCTATTCTTTTGGTTTTAAGTTTGACTGCGCTTTCAAGATTATCTAATATTAATATGTCGTTGCAGTTATGACATATTAGCAACTTTTAAACATTCACCTAGACGATAAGTCACATAATCAATTAACCTTAATCAAGGTTAAAATGCGGCAAAACACGCTCCAAAGCTGGAAGATACATAGATAAAGCATTCATTGATTGGTGCTGCATTAGAAACTAGTATCTTGTAAAGATGGATCGACTATGGAACTTAAAGAATATGTAAAACAGGATTGATGTTTATTTGAGACTTCTTATAGTGAAAACGTTTTGGTTTCAAACTAAAGACTAACCATTTATTGAGTAACACTACATTGTATTTCTTCTTCCGAAACTCTGCTGAACGGAGATCACGTCAATGGTATTCATTGTGATTAAAACTTTCACTATTAAGGATATAGGTCTCCAAGTGTGAATGTTATTTTGAATGCGTATGTATGTGTTGATTGTTGAATATGTAACACTGAAATACGCTGGATAAGAACGACTAAATATCTATGTAGAAAACAAGTTGTTCAAACATAGGTATAGTGGGCAGTGACAGTGATACAGCCGCGAGTGGCTACGCTTGTCCACGCGTCCGTAGTTAGGGCAACGGCGCGGGTACTGTTTTGGGTACTGATATTTTGTTCTCCTTGCAAACTTCATAATGACTTTATGAGGTAGTTGTGAATTGTCGCAGTACATGGGACCTGGTAATTTGGGTTCAATGGTTCACAGAAAGCCCGAAACCCTCCCCTTTAACAAGACTTAATGGTCGATATCCTTAACGCGCATAAGCATTGCTTTTTGCGAAATACCTTCATACCATTTCCTGTCAACAGGCTTGCGACTTTTGCTATCAAACTTACCAAACTGCCCAAGCGTTGCTTGTTGAGCTGGTTTTCTGTCTACAGTGCTTATTGTGGGTGCTTACAGGACAAATGCTTGCGTAACTAAGGGAAACGCCACAAAGACGGCATTTTGTATTTTGGCCACTAAATCAAGATAAAAATGCACCCAGACATTGGATTTTTTCTCACGATCATCCATCTTGATTGCATGAGATGTTTAGAGGTATCTCCCCTGCGAGTCCTCGAGTCCATTCAATTGGACTCGAGTCCTGCTTTACCCGACTCGGCCCCGAGTACCCAAGTACTCGTGAGAGCCCTAAAACATACACAGGTTGTTAGTGATGATACTAAAATTATAAATCAAACTTTGTTTCATGATGTGACTATGACTACGTTTACACTTCTTATATTTAGTTATAAACAGGTAAAGACGCAGAGAGTTACTGTGAACAAAGAACATAATGCACGGTTTGGGTCTTTATAATCAGTATTCCAAATTGGTGCCTGTGGTTTTTGAGGTTTTCTGCCTTAGAATGTGAACCTAGGGAACCCTAGAAGTCCTCAATCTGTGCCATTAGGGTCTGACAAGATCTCCTTGCCTTCACACTTAAAGCATATATATGCTTAAATAGAATCATTATCAACTATGATCAAAAAAGAATTCAAAGAAAACACACCCTTGTAAACAGAATCTGAAAAAGTAACTTCAAGTGAGTGAACGAGTCTAGTTTTACGCCGCTCTCAACAATATTCCAACTTTATGGCGGCAGTCTGTAAATAATCAAATCTTGACCAGACAATCCAGTGATCAACAGCATGAGCATCAATCTACGCAATTGGGATACGATGACATGTGTCAACTACGTCAGTGAGCCTGACCACCAGATTCCGTTAGTTGCCTTTTACGACAAGCATGGGTTACTGAAGATCATTTCTAACCCGGATCTTCACGGGTCTGAACTTTAAGAGAACCCACCAAACCACTTAGACGGTAAAACATGTGTCTGTGTGACCCTCACCTCATTGGTCAGCCTAAACAGGATGCTGTTGTGGTGTTTAGGCGAGATGCCTGCTTTGATCAGGTTCCTCAAGTTCCGTAACATAGCCATGAATGGCAGCTTCTTGTGATCTAGGGAAAATGAAAAACATAGTAAATAATTAAATTCTCAAACTATCAAAACCATATCAAAATAAAAATCCCTTCAACAGTTTATACAGAATAAACATTGACAAGTATTTGTCAGCCATAAGGGGTGGTGGGGTGGCCTAATGGTTAAAGCGTTGGCTCGTCACGCCGAAGACCCGGGTTCGAATCCCCACATGGGTACAAAGTGTGAAGCCCATTTCTGGTGTCCCCAGCCGTGATGTTGCTGGAATATTGCTAAAAGCGGCGTAAAACCAAACTCAGTCAGTCAGCCATAAGCAATTTACACACACAGACACACACATGCACAATCGCATGTACACAGATTGGACACATAATGCATTAGAAAAGTTACATTTAATACAGTTCAAACAGGTTATACAATGTTATAAAGTATTTATCGGAAGATGACTTGAGATTCAATTAAGTGACTCTTTTAAACAGTCCTATATACACCACTTTTCTGATACTGTCAATCAAGTATAAACCAACCAATCAGGTCCTCCCAGACAGCTGCCTTGTTGCCCTTCATGGACACCTGTGTTTCCCAGGTCTCGGGCACAGGGAGCTTCATCCTCTTGCCAGATCTCTCCTCCTCCCAAGTCCCAGGTAGACGACTTGCATAAAACTCTTCCAGTGTGGATGGGTACCTAGACACAGAAGATATATTCTTAGCCTAAATGGTTACATATTGCAAAAAAACTGGGACCTCTGCGAAAAGATTTACACAATAGTTTCCCTTAGGGATCTTACTTTCCCTTGGGTTTGACAATCTGTCGGGATGACAAACAATCAGTCAAGTCACTAAGCCTGACCAGCCACTGTAGACAAACAGCATGTTTACACTGTCATCAACCCTTACAGTAACCTGCTCTCAACACGTACAACACGTATTACCACTTACAGTACCCTGTTATCAACACTTACTATACTAACACTTACAAAATCCCCACTATCTACACTTATAGTATCCTGCTGTCAATACTGCAAATATTCCACTATCAATGCTAAAAATATACTTACAGTACCCCACAATCAATGTCAAAAATATTTTGCTACCAATACTTACACTACCCCACTATCAATAATTACAATACCCCACTATCAATACTTACAATACTCCCACTATCAATACTTACACTACCCCCACTATCAATACTTACAATACTCCCACTGTCAATACTTACAATGCCCCCACTATCAATACTTACAATACGCCCACTATCAATACTTACATTACCCCACTATTAATACTTACAATACCCCCCACTATCAATACTTACAATGCCCCCACTATTAATACTTACAATACCCTCCACTATCAATACTTACAATACCCCACTATCAATACTTACAATGCCCCCACTATCAATACTTACAATACCCCTCTATCAATACTTACAATACCCCTAATTTCAATACTATACCCACACTATCAATACTTACAATACCCCCAATATCAATACTTACAATACCCCCCACTATCAATACTCACAATTCCCCCACTATCAATACTTACAATACCCCACACACCAACACCTAATGTCCCTGCTATCAACACTCACTTCTTGCCGATGAGACACATGACATGCTCTACGGGCTCCTTTATGTGCAACTTTCTGATCAGCTGTTTCAGGGAAAACGTCTTCTGTTCCAAGGCTTCCTCAGTGTCGCTGTCCTCATCGTAATTCACATCACTCAGCTGAAATAAAACAACAGCCACTGGTTTGTTTCACTCTTCTTCCACTAACCTGATCATCAAGTACAAAATATATCTCAGAAAATGATGATTTTTATGGAGAAGCATGTACAATGTGAATGACAAACCGCTAAAATTTATGTAGAAAGTAAGTGAAACCCTTCCCCCAAGCATGTCATGTACAAAATCAATGACACCCACCCCCCAACCTTCCAATAATTTTTAAGCATAGCATCTTAATATAAAATTACATGTACAAAATTGGGGATCCCTCTAGTACATGTGAACAAAACTGCTGACCCCACTACCTCCCCAAATCAAAATGGGTGACCCCACCTTAAAATCATCAATATTAGGTAGGTTACATACAAATGCAGTCCTGAGTGTAAATTAGTCTCACATTCTCTATTGGCCTTGCCAATGGAAGCAACATTGCATGAGTGAGTGAGTTTAGTTTTACTAAGCACCCAGCAATATTCCAGCTATATGGCGGCGGTCTGTAAATAATCAAGTCTGGACCAGACAATCCAGTGATCAACAGCATGAGCATCAATCTACACAACTGGGATAGAATGACATGTGTCAACCAAGTCGGAGAGCCTTACTTCCCGATCATGTTAGTCGCCTCTTACGACAAGCATTTGTTACTGAAGATCAATTCTAACCCAGATCTTCATGGGTCCAACACTGCATGATGTATTGTAGCATTGTAGGGCAATGGAAACAACCCATACACTATGCAAGGCCATGAACTCCAATCTCTACATGAAGCTGATTCTCTAGGAAACTGTCTGCCCAAGACAATTTCATTGTAGAATTGCTTGGATTAATGAGTATATTTTATGAGTAACCATAGTTACATCATATGTTCATCCAATCAACTCACTTGTCTCCGTGGCTTCTTGCTTTCATCCTCACTGTCACCTTCATCGCTGTCACTGTCAAACAAGGTGCTCTTCTGACCCACCATCCCCACTCCCATCACACCACCCCTTCCTCTTCCTCTGCCTCTTCCCCTTCCTCTGCCCCGGAAACCTTGGTCTCCTCCCTTCTTCTTCTTCTTCTTGGATGAATCTTTGTTGTATTTCGCTGCAAAATCATCACAGTGATAGTTTGAGGAAACTGAGAAAACTCAATTCTAAGTCAGCATTTTATGAATTCTTAAATTACAGTACACACTTATGGATAACACTTATGGAAAATGTTTCGGTACAGAATCTTGTACCATTCCTGCAAGACAGAAGAACAAGAATCTGCACAGAAATGTTGCACTCACAATATGGAAACTAAAGTTGTTATCTATACTGAGAGAAACAAATAAAGGAACACAGGAAAATTCAAGCGTTCCTTTAATACTTTAAAGTTTTCATCACCAGCTTTGCATAGTGCTGTGGGAGGAAATCTGAGAATAAATAAAAGAACACTGCCATGAAGTGGTGTTTCCTTATTTGGTTCCTTCAGTATATAAATGTGCCATTATTGTACTTCCCAACTTCTAAAATGCCATTTAATCCACAAAAGACAGACATTTAAACATGAGTGCAAAATACGTATTGTCAGGAAGCACATGTTGAATTTCCAAGTCATCATCAACATAATAAATTTGATATGGTTGTGCCTTTCGTTGTTGTTTCAGCCTACACTAAGCAATATACATGCTCCTTTGGCACAGCCTCAAAAGACACAGTCAGGAGCAAGACTGGGGCATTAGATATGTACAACACCAACTAGTAGATGTGAGGTGAGGTGAATTTGGGTTTAACGTCATGCTTGAGAATATTTCGCTCATATGATGACGTGGATGCGTGTGTATGTGTAAGTGCGGCTGCTTGTACTAGCCCAGACTAGAAGCTGGTTTTATAGTGCTAGCCCATTGAGATACCATGCCACAGTGAAGCATGAATACCCCACCCAGACACATTATACTGACTCCGAGCCGACCAGTCCTTGATGTACCCATTAATGCCGAGCGCAAGGCAGGGATCAATAAGTACCATATTTTAACGTCTTTTGGTATGACGCGGTCAGGGATCGAACCCACGACCTTCCGCTCTCCCGGCTGGACGCTCTAACCACTACACCACGGCGGTCACTAGTAGATGTAGTTCCCTCAAACAACAAGGGAAGCTTGCTGCAGAAGCCCCACGATGAAGCCATTTAGTGTTAGATTGAGTCAGTGAGTTTAATCAGTCAGCAGTATTCCAGCTATATGACGGCGGTCTGAAAGGAATCAAGTCTGGACGAGACAATCCAGTGATCAACAGCATGAGCATCGATGTACGCAACTGGGATACGATGACATGTGTCAACCAAGTCAGCAAGCCTGACCACCCGACCCATTAGTCGCCTTTTACGACAAGCATGGGTTACTGAAGATCAATTCTAACCTGGATCTTCATGGGTTCGTATTAGACTGAAAGAGGGGTGATTTTGACAGAACAACCTGAGGGGATTGTTAGGGTTGCATATTTAATTTTTGAAAGAATTTGGTTTTGGAAATTTGGCTGAAGTGATGGTGGGTGGGGAGTGGAAGTATGGGTGGTTTGGTAAGTTATATGTCCACATAGAAATGACAGCGAGCATGGATGACTGATGGTGACATAAACTATAACCTACCAAGCTGGTATTTGTCAAAATCTGGAAACTTTGCCACCATAACTCGTCTCAAGGCTGCAGGGAGTGCCCCGAATGTCAGGCCATCATCATGGAATGCCTGAAGTTAATGACAGAACAGTTAGATATATAAAATAACTTCTGCAGTCAAAAATTATCAAACATGACAAATTACCATTTGAAAATAAAAAGAGAACAGATTGCTGCCTGTAATAATTGTTCCTGAGGTCATTGTATATTTTGTACGGAAGCGTGATATATATAATACACTATATACCATAGTCTCTTCTCATAAATTTGGACATGTTTCAACAGTTTAGGATTTAACTGTTATACATTGATATCAGTTTTCCTACATCAAGTTAACCACAGATGAAAGCAAAAACCTCTTGAACCTGTAATCTTGTACCTTTCATAACAGACAGATGAACAGAAAATCATCCTCACCTGGTAGATTTCTGCCACTTCAATCCAGTCGGAGGGCAGGTTGATGGCAGCAGAGAAATATTTTCTCATGTATGGGCGACACAACTTTACATTTGCAGCCAGTGCCAGCAAAAAGTTGGCTGTAGTTCGGATGTTCAAACCTTTTCTTGTGTGTAAGGCAACCTGACCAAAAATTAACAAAAAGCATTTATAAATAAGTTAAATTTACTAATAATTGGCTGAACTGAGAAGGCCAACATTGTGGGTGCATCATTGTGATCATAGTTGTTTTTAGTTAACAGATGTTAAATTTGTCCAACTTTTAACACCTTAAGCTTACCTTCAGAAGAAACTCTGGGTCATAGGTCGTGACCTTCTCTGACATGGCAATGAGGTCAATTCTGGCCTTGTCCTTGGAATCCTTGAAGTTCGGTGCGCAGATAAGGGATGAACTTACAGCATTGATAAATGCATGCTGGAAAGAATATGTAAGAAAGATAACTATTGTTATTATAATTACCATCAAACATACTGACATACATGAAAGAGAGCAGGTTATACATGATAAATATAAACAGCTTCGGCAAGGTTAGATGTCATTTGTGTTTCATTACTTAGCATGCCTTTTTGAACATGGACTAAAAAAATATTCAAAACAGTCGGGTGTCGTACAATTGAGTTATCATAAGCAGGCTGATGATAATGTTCATCACACAACTTGAACTGTAATTGATCATTAACTGTTCTTGACGGAAAGAAATTTTAAAGGCTGTAGGCTCTGGAACAGTAGCTTTAGTCATAGGCAGCGAAATTCTTGGTGCATCCCATTCTCAATATAATTATGTCCTTCAGGACAAGTACAATGTATCATTGCATAAAAATACAATTGTTGAAAGCAATTGTTCAAATATAACCTAGTTGGACTACTAAAACCTGTATGCCTGATAAATTCCTAACCCTGTATCAATGTTATAACAGCTATATGTCATACTTTCTACATCAATGGGCTAATCTAATGATGCTAACCAATCACTCACCTTCAAGCCGTTCACATCACAGAGTGGCGCTGCCACAAGGTGTTTGCTGACTCTAACATCCTTGTCTGGCGGCATGAAGCTCGGCACTTCAAAACTCTCCCCAGCATACATCCCAGCAAAGTTGTAATCTGGGTAGCTGGTCTCGTACGCCTTGTAGTTGAATCCTGGTTCCTTGGACTTCTCTTTGGGCAGTTTGGCGGCCTTGGACAACTTGGACACCTTCCTTCCTTTGTCCTTGACCTCAATTGACTGTCTCTTTGAAGGTCCATCAGCCCTTGTAGATTTCACTTTCTTTGGGTTTTTTTCCAACGAGCTTTCGCTCGATTTTTCATTATGGTCATCTTTAGTTCTTGTAGATTTAACAAACAGTGTTTTTGTTAAAGAACTTGTTAACAGTCCACCAGACAGTAGGCTACTGCCGGACAGTAAACTGCTGCCAGTCAAGCTGGACGATAGTGTTAATTTCTGGGTCAGCTCTGTGCTGAGAAGAGAACTCTGGGTAGCAAACGATGTGTCTTTTGTCTTCTTTTTATCAACATCAGAGGAATCATTTCCTTTCCGCTTACGACCTGCATCAGCAGTTTTGGATGTCGAGAGTAGACTTGACCCGCCAAGTCCTCCTTTTAAACCTTGAACAAACAATCTATGATTACAACACATGCTGTAATAGGAATGTTGTGGACAACTAACTGCAGGTGAGAAAGATGTGAGGGTGACTGTAGAAGAGAATAGTGGAGTCATCTCCCTTGGCTGGTAAGGAATGGTGAAGCCACGAGGCCTGTGTTTTCATGAAAATAAGGAATACAGTTAAGAATGTATGTGGTTCGATAGGCTCCATTCATCTCTTGGGTATCAGAATATACGGTTCAAAGACAGGCATCAAAACACATGCCTCGTGGCTTCACCATTCCTTACTGGCATAGGGAGATAACTCCACTAATCAAACCACATTTCTTACCGACCAAGGGAGATAACTCCACAATTCTCTTCTACAGATCCAGCCACACAAAAAATACTTACTTCTCAACAGTTACAATAATGTTTGCCTAGCAGAAACAGTGGTTAAGCTTCCAAAATAGTGCAAGTCTGAATACCCAGGGTGAGGAGAGATCCTCACACTAGTAATACTATAATGAATGTAATGAGAGATGATAGAGGCATGCACTTGGCCATTCACATAATCTAAATACCTTTTAGATTTTCCATTCTATGCCAGATTAATCTATTGCATTCTAGAAGATTCCTGATTAACTTGAGACCTAAAGCCTCTGAATATAATAACTTCCACACCACTGCTTACATTAGATAGTAACATTCCTGACAACCAGTCGTTGTTAATACACAATTTGATGACCTTCTAATGAATTTTAACAGACACAATGTAATATAAGTACAACATAGCATAACCATATATTACACTGTCATATAACAATACCTCATAACTTTTAAAACATTTTTTTAAAGATTTGCTAAATTTTTTAATAATGCAGATCATATGGGCCAAAAAGTACACATATTCCACATTGTACAATGTTTTGTTATATTCCGTGATAACTAAGATCTTGAACTTATAGAAAGACCACCTTAGGTTTCAAATGATTTATGCCGTCCCCTCAAGATCACACAGTGTATAGTTAAATTCTATAGATAAGTTTTTAAGTTAAAGCATTTTTCATGCCTTATGAATCCTAAATGGCCAGGACCTTTAGCACCATTCAATTACATGCGAGAAGTGAGAATATATGTTGCTGCAAACATTGGTGGTGTTACAAGTATGCAAAATAATATTGAACCTGTAGGGACATCCAGCTTCCACTTGGTCAGAAGAGGATTCTGGGTAGAAAGTTTGTCACGTTCTCGCGACATTGTGTCGGCAATATAGCCTTCCGCTGAAACTAAAAAAGTTTCAAATAACATGGAAGTCTGTTGGGTGATTGACTAACTGCAGGTCTGCCATTTCGGCAGTAGATAATGTTGAATCACATGGCATTTTTCTTTCTGATGCAACTCGCCTGACATGGAGAGCAAACAAAATCAGGGTGTGTCTGGACCAGACGATCCTATGACTGATATCTTTTAGAAACATTTCATGCCAATGGGGTAGATGACACAATCAGTGTATATATATACATACCGGTACCTATTATAAGTTGTTCACTATTCACGAGGGGGACATGGCTTGATGTACCCTCTACGTTTGCTAATGTTCTCTGAGCCCGAGGATACATCAACCCATGGACCCCGGACCCACGTATTTATCTTACCGAACACTTCAATGTTAATTTTGAACTGTTTGAAGCAATACATATCGCAATATATCGCAATATGAAAATTCCCTGCAATACCCACCCCCAGCCACAGTTCAGCATTTCCAGCAGGTAACATAGAAAATGTTACTCGCTTGTAAGCGGGGTACATTGATTGGCTGAGCCAATCAGAAAACGACATTTATGTGAGAGGTAAGGTAAATATTAATATACATACATATATATTATTAACATAAAAGGCATCATTACAAAATAACATAATCAATTTAATTAATCTTTGCTTGTAAAAATGTCGCATGTAAGAATATGCAGGACCACATTGATCATCCAGACAATATATATAATGGCTTGTATCTAAAAATTGAAAACAACCTGAAACTAGTACAAGCACATAACGATAAGAAGACAATAGAACAAGGAAATGAATTAATATTGGTTTGCATAGATCCCACCGCTGAGAAGATCACAACTGCAAATATCAATGATATCTGAATGAAACTTACTTATATTATCCATTGCCAGTTTCTGCGCTCAACACCTCTTATGGTCAAATAACGGGATTTGTTATTCAACTCGTTGTCAGGAAGCCGACAAGAATGTCGTCCCTTGTCAGATCATGCACTGTTGATTAATGATTTTCATACAAAAACTGTTTTATCAAACCTTATTTCGGATGTATTTCGTCTGACAGCATGCACTTACTGCTTACCCTGATATAAAAACTGTTCCGCTGTATTCGTGCAATCCAGTGAAATATCCTGACGCAGCAAAACATGTAAATACTCGCGATTAACCGCGACTGCTGAAATGTTTTGCAATAGGTACCAAGATGATCAGAGTTACTTCCCTTTGTTTATACTCGCCAACGTATGAACAATCACAAGTGTGAGGAAGTGTTCGAAGGGGGCTTGGATCTACATTTAGACTTGCACAGTCTTCATGGAAATGATTTTAATCATAATACCAAGATTATGTAAATAATAAGAACAATTTCAGTTTTCCTCACAAGAAACTAGCGACCCTGTACTGTCGGGTATGTTATCGAGACTTCCCGATTTGAGCAAAGCCACTGGATCATTACTCATTTTACTGTCGTCTGTATTCGTTGGTTTCATATTAATTTTCGACTCGCTGTGCGCATGCGTAGAACGTGTAAAAACATCTACTGGTCAACTTCCGGTTTGGTCGCCGATAGTGTAAACACACTCTAAATAAAAGCTCTACGAAGATTAATTACGTGTGACAACTTTTCATAGTTGAGTACATACATCCATTTGCCTATGCTTTTCAATAATTGATGTTCTATTTGGTGGCAACTGCATCAGAGATGTGTTTTTTTTAGTTGTGAGAAGGGGATGTGCAGGAAGGACGGTGGACGGGTGGTGGTGAGATGCGTTTATACAAGATATGCTTGTTAACAAACGTAAAGCTATTTATTTAACTAACCCCGGTCCTTTCCATTCATAAATGAATTAAGATCAGTTAAATTCGACATAAACCATATATCTGTTTTGATTTTTGATTTTTTTAGAGTGTGTTTACACGCACAGCGAGTCGAAAAATAATGTGAAACCAGGGATACTCTACAACATATATAGTCTCCCTGGTGAAACCAACGAATGGAAGAATGGCGTTCTTTGATATACTGCAGTACTACCCACGTGTCCAGACTTGATTATTATAAGGATAATATTACAATACATTCATGGGCTCATTGTCACCATTGTTGAATGGAGTCCCGTTAAAAAGTACTATATAAGGGGGTTATAGAAATTGCAGATTTAATGTCACTCTGAATTTTAAAAAATCATGAGCAGTACAGATGATTTGTCATGAGGAAAAGGTCATACCCTAACAACAACAAAAAACTTAACGCTTTTTTCATGTACGTGTTTCCTCTAATAAGCTTGGCTCTATTATTTACCATTGCGTCAAATACCTAGTTGTATAAACTACCAATACATGCAGTCATTAATAATTTAAACTGACTTACAATACAATTTTATGTTCCTGATACGCAAATTGTTTCAAGATCTAGTGAGCCAACGCGAATATATTCCACGGAAATGCAACCAAAATGCTGTGTGGAAGTGTTAAACTACAAAATGGTTATAATCACACATGATCCGGGTTAGTTAATTGGTCTTCATGCACTAACCAATGCTTGTGGTAAGAGGCCACTAACGGGATCGGGTGGTCAGACTCGCTGACTCGGATGACACATGTCATCGTATTCCAGATGCGTAGATCGATGCTCATGTTATTGACCAATGAATTGTCTGGTCCAAACTCAATTATTTACAGACCATATAGCTGGAATATTACTGAGTGCGGCGAAAACAAAACTCACTCTACATCCACAGTGCTAACAGGAGGCCGGCGTCTGTTAGAGACACTAGATTGTTTCAACACCCCTAGTTTAGAAGCCGTTTTGGTTTGGTTGTTGTTTAAAGTCGCACTCAGCAATATTCCAGTAATCAACAACATGAACATCAATGGCAAGTGTCAACCAATATACATTGTTATCATGAGAGCAATAGAACCCGGGTCTCCGGCATAGCCAGCGACAAGTCCTCCGAACTTTCAGTTTCTGAAAATGAATACATTGTCTGGTCTCTTTTATAGCATTAAAACACAATTACGCCCACTTTTACAAAAACATTAAAGGTATTTTCAAGCCATTCATGTCCCTTCAGCCTGTATATTTCACTCTCGGCAGTGTACGTATGTTTCATTCACTCAGGGGCGGTGGGGTAGCCTAGTGGTTAAAGCGTCCGCTCGTCACGCTGAAGACCCAGGTTTGATTCCCCACATGGGTACCATGTGTGAAGCCCATTTGTGGTGATCCCCGCCGTGATATTGCTGGAATATTGCTAAAAGCGGCGTAAAACAATACTCACTCACTCACTTCATTCACGCACGTATTTACTCCGTTGTAACTTGCTAGTTTTCTCGCTTAAGGCGGCGTAAAACAAAACACATACATTCAGTTTCAAAACAAACTTCTGCAAAAACGTTTAACACAAATCCTTCAGATGGAAATGTTGAATTAAGTGGAGTGATGCTCTTCACCAGAGTAACTGTGGCTAATATGGAGAAGTCGCTGTATGCAATAAACCATAAACTGTTATCCATAACGTTGTAGGCTTTCTTATAGCTTCGCCAACTTCTAAAATCAACCAGTCAAACAAATATCTAAGGTATACCGCCGATATCTGCTGACAGTTTGGTACAGATGGTGGAAATATGCGTCTCCTCTTATTCAGACCTCAAAATAACATTGTTTCTGTCACATCTTTTTCAAATAGCAATATCTGTTATTGCACCCTGCCTCTTTGGCTGATCAAGTACCCCAATCTCTTCTTTTTGTGTTCCTGAGTCACGTCAGGGTGCAGATGACCTTCGTATTATGATGCAAATAGTGAGTGAGTGAGTTGGCTTTTAACGACGCTTTGGACAGTATTCCAATGAGTGAGTGAATATTGTTTTATGCCGCTTTAAGCAATATTCCAGTAATATCACGGTGGAGATACCAGAAATTGGTTTCACACATTATGCCCATGTGGGAATCGAACCCGGTTCTTTCGTGTGACGAGCGAACGCTTTTACCACTAAGCTACCCCGGCCCACCGCTCCTCCAGTGAGTAAGAGTAGGGTCGACATAGTGAAAGTATAGAATGGAGGTTTCGGAATGGAATACTGGATTCGAATTTGGAATGGTGGGTTTGTATACCAAAGATATTATGCCTACCATGTTGACTGGCTACTAAGGTAAAACTACTGGTGGTGTACATAGCGTGTTTCTGATCCCAGAGGTCGGCTTGTTTCTGATCCCAGAGGTAGGCTTGTATCTGATCCCAGAGGTCGGCTTGGCCGTCGGCTTTTTGGTAACTAGCTGGGAGTGGGAGAGAGAGCGGCATCCTAGCTGTTTACAAACCGTCAATTCAAATTAACAATTGTATCAACAAAGGTCCGCAGAGATCCATTCCATGTCGGGTCTCGACATTTACCAATTTGGTAAAACTCGGGAGTGTCAAGTTGGGCAAAATACTGTGGAAGTAAGCGTGACGTTTGGTTTGTAGTATAGGCCTGAGACAAAATACAAGTATATTGAAAATATAAATAAATGATATTTAACATTACGTATATCTATGGGGGCCGGGTTATAGTTTTGAGTGAATATTCTACGGTTATACATTAAGGCAGTATTTCAGCCATATCATGACTAAACCAGATAGTACGTTAACAGTAGAGTATAAAATCTGTCGAGTTAAGACAGTAAAACGCGACCTGGTGAATTTATGCAGATAGATAAGATAAGATATTTATTGCATATCATTCCATGAAGAAACAGTGGCAATATTCTTTAAACTACAAGCATAAACACAGCAGGTACAAGATACATTTCATACATAAATGATGTACATTATAACATTTTTTTAGAAATCATGTGGTATAATGACATGGAAATAATATATGAGGAGACTATGTTAAGATATAGAATTCATTTAAAGGTGTAAAGATGGTGACATATTTTGGAAATTAATTCAGGACTTCTGTTCGTGAAAATGATTAGGAATCGTTCTTTTTTTTGAGAGTATAGTAAATTCTTGGTCATAATAAAGCATTGTGTGTATAAGATATATACTGTGTATTTGTACATACTTATGAAACCAATGAACGAATAAGCTCCAATGTATCTGAAGGTAATTGATCTTCATCCACTCTTCACCTGTTTATTTACATTCTGGGCTAACTCCATTCATCCGTGTCGGGACCACTGTAAACAATGGGATAATACTTTACTAATTACAGAGGCACTGATGTAATCTCAGCCAACTAGCCCTAAACCTCCTCACACGTGTGATGCCCAGATTCCAAGAGGCTCGGTTGGAGGGGGACTTGGGGGGAAGGGGGGAGGGGTGCGGTATGTGGTGACACGAATCAACAGATAGCTAATGAGGTACAGAGGCTGAGTGACAATAAACGACGAGTATCTTTCATCTCCAATTACCGTTGAAGATCCAAACAGTTTACAGATCCCGCTATTTAACACCCCCTCCATATCCCCACCCCCTCCCTACGTCCATCCCCGTCCAACCTCCCCCACTCTAACTGTTTCTGTAACCATCGTTTCTGAATATAGAAGAAGAAGAAAAATATTTTATTATTGTGTCACATGCTAATAAACGAAATTCTGTAAACGTACTCTGGGAGTTTCTCCGCAAACGCAAAACTGGGCATGCAGAGCAGGGCTTGGTTTGTTTCCCCTATTATTCAGAGTAATTAAATCCATTGTTCAATTCTACAGTCATATTTTACAATCTCCAAATACCATTTTAAAACATGCTTTTAATGAATCAATAAAGACACACATTGGATTGTACTATAAACTCAGTTGCCTCTTAGATAAGTTTAAAATCAAGGAAAGTAATCTTACTTCCTCTTCTGTACTGAAGGACCTTCAATTGAAATTTTCATCTGTTCAAGATAATCCAAACACATTAAATTCAAGGAACAAACCTAGAACATATAGAAAATTTATATCTGAAATCAACTTTGAACCATACCTGCAACACTGCAAGATAACAAAACACCGTATCCACTTCACAAAACTAAGACTGAGTGATCACAGGCTAAAAATTGAACTGGGTAGGAGAACAAGACCACCTACACCTTTGGAGGACCGTCTCTGTGATCAGTGCTCTGTCCTTGAGCATGAGGAACACCATTTCATGTGTTGCACTAAATATTCAGATGCAAGAAAGTCCTTATTTAACTCCCTTTCCTCTAAAATTAATAACTTTCTCAGACTTACTATCACTGAAAAAATTAACCTCTTTTTTTTTGCGTATGAACGCACGTGTGTAATAATGTTGTTGACAGAAATAATGATCCAAATAGTATAGAAATTATTTGCTACCACATGTACAACTTTAAACAAATATAGAAGATCTGATTGTCCTAGGCCATTATTATTATACACATTTATATTATTATGTTTTGTTGTTCATCATATATATGTGATTCATTATATATCTTGTTTATGTAGCTTATAGAAAATTGTCACTGTTTCTGTATGGAATGTTTGCACAATAAACATTTTATCTTTATCTTTAATAACACATTTTAAACGTTTACATTGCATCCGGCCATTTTGCCTATGAGACACATGTATGTATCACAGTAATACATTTAAGATAAATAAAAATGTATATTGCACATACATCACAATTCTTGCACCCATAAGTACATTCATGCATGCTTTACATACATACTTTTGACAGAAAAAATGAGTAATATATAAATTTGAAAAGGAAAGAAAGTCCCATTGTCTCAGAATCTAGGCTTGCTTCAGTGAGTGAGTGAGTTTAATTTTACGCTGTGTTTAGCAATATTCCAGCAATATCACGACGGGGGACACCAGAAATGGGCTTCACATATTGTACCCATGTGAAATCGAACCCGGATCTTCGGCGTGACGAGTGAACGCTTTAATCACTGGGCTATCCCATCGCTCCAACTTGCCTCAGTAAGTGCTGAGCAGAACAATGCTTGTATGAATAGCCATTAACTCCTTTGCTGTTAATGTGCAAGGGAAAGAATCAACATATGCAACTCGACAATTGCCTGTGTGGGGAATTGTCCGAGTGGGGAACCCGTTTTCACGAGAGTTTCAATGGTCACTTAAACTTTCAGGACAAAATGGGCGGTGCGCACACACCCCCCACACACACACACACACACACACCCAACACACACACCCACGATCCGCCTATGTAAAGCTTTGCAGCCTGTCGCCTGCCTAGCCCTTCCTGCAATGCCAAAGTCTAGGCTAACAACTAGTCTCTGAAATGAAAATATTTTACAGTAAAAAGCTGATAATAAAAAATAAAATATAATGAAAAGGAGCCCTGAGACTTTCTTCATTTTCTAGACTTGCGTGGGCTTTCTTGGATATGACAGACTATGCCAAAGTCCTAAATAAGGAAAGTCTAGATTTCCCCAGGACTCCCCGGGGCTCCTTTTCAATTTAAATTTGTTTATTTGTTACAATCAAAATAATATATATTCAGAGGCTAAGCATTAGTCTAGGACTGAACTAGGACAGAGCAAGTGGTTGGTTGTATGTCGTGGTAATAAGTGACGCTTGGTGGTCCCCCTTGATTTATCAAACCCTGGTTTCTCTGCTCCAGCCTTTCAGGTGATATACTGCACATTTCCTGCCTTCGGCGTATAACAACATGACCGAACACGTCAGTTGTGACTGGAATTTGTACAATGATTTCAATCCGAAACTTGGGTTATTTCCTCTTGTAATGTTTCATTACTTTAAAAACATTCGTGTCGAGGGTGAGTGTGTATATGTCGCCTCGCACTTCGACACACTCCAATGATGGAATCTTAACCAATCATTCATGCATAAAACTAATAAATAAATTTCGTGGTCGGAAAAAGGAACCAAAATATTCATGGCACTGGCGGATCCAAGGAGGCGCCCCCTTGAAAATGACTAAAGACCACATTGAAGTTAATGTTATGCATTGAGGGGTGGGGTGGGGTTTGTTCCAAACTACCACACATCCGCCCCCCTACCCTTTGACAATTCCTGGACCCGCCCATGCATGGCACAACTAACCTACATTAAAATTGACGTCATGTTGAACAGAGTATCCAGATTTAAGCACATCAAAGCAGAGTTCGGCGCAGGTGTCTGTGTGTGTATCTGTGAGGACATCAAACCTTGACTCATATTCTCGGAACTGAAACTCTGATGCAGATTACTTGATATGCTCTTGAATATACCACTTCACTTGAACGCGTGGGTTTTGAGAAGGTCTGTGTTATTATCTGGGATGTTGTGTGTTAAGTGCACCCATCCACCACTGCCTGGACCCGAATGATATACGTATGTTACTGACAGGGTAGTTACCGTGATGCAGCCGTGACATAGCCCAAACTACGGCGTTGTGCAACATTCGCTCATTCCCCTCATCCACATCAGGCACTACAACCACTACCCTTTCCAGCAAATGCCATCCGTTACAATCCGTGTAAAATCTGATCTTCAGTAACCCATGTCGCAAGAGGCGACTAACAGGATCGGGTGGTCAGGCTTGCTGACTTGGTTGATGCATGTGATCGTATTCGGGTTGCGCAGATCGATGCTCATGATGTCAGTCACGGGATTGTCTGGTTCAGACTCGATTATTTATAGACCGCTACCATATAGCTTGACAAATCAAGCAAAATATTTTGATAGAATCAAAATGATCAACATTTACGTAGAACTGCATTCACCTGGAGTGAGTGAGTGAGTTGAGTTTTACGCCGCACTCAGCAATATTCCAGCTATATGGCGGCGGTCTGTAAATAATCGAGTCTGGACCAGACAATCAAGGAATCAACAGCATGAACATCGATCTACGCAATAGGGATACGATGACATGTGTCAACCAAGTCAGTGAGTCTGACCACCCGATCACCTGGAATATTGCGTTAAACAAAACACTTTCAAACACCCCTTTTCACGGGTTATTTTATATAGCATGACATTGCATTGCGAGTATTGGTTTCCAAGAACTGTCCCTCACTGTGATACTCTTCAAACATAACCGCCGTGTTTGAAACCTCGTAGCAATACTGTTGTTATATCACACATGTTGTGTTACAATGTGTCACTGTTGTCCGTCCTCCCAGGCTGGTCCCACATTCCTTGTGTGGTAGGTCAAGTTGATGCTATGTAATATGTAATTAACTGTATATGTTTGTATACAATTAACAGCATAAGCATTACACATCGATATTGTTTCCAATATTTTTAAAAGTTATTTTTCCATGTCACCCTGAAAACAGTTCTTTGATTGGCATTCTAGAAGTTGGGTAGATGAAGGATGAAGGATGAGGACTATGTTAAAAATAAATTTATTTAATGGATATACAACTTCTTTATTCTGTATAGGCGATGTTTCGACATAGATTCTAATGTCGTTGTCTAATGTCGTTGTCATCACTTGCTTGACAACACCATTAGAATCTATGTCGAAACGTCGCCTATACAGAATAAAAAAGTTGTATATCCATTAAATCTTTTTTTTAGAAAAATAGTCCTCATCCTTCAGCCTGAAAACAATTTACTTTGAGCATTCACGTACCAAAACATCATCAATGTATTTCCTAAATCAAGATCCATGGTTGGAATGCAAGATATTAACTTAATCAACATTTCTGGTAAAAAGTTGCTTCGTTTCCCCAAGTTCTATCGTGTCACGTGATTTATGTTTACAAATAATGTAAGCTCCGCCCCGTTGTTAATTTGACGGGAGAAACCTAAGCCAATGAAAGTCGTTGGCGGCCTGGACGTATGGCAAGTTATAAAACGCACGTGGACTTCGTGCACTGTCACACGCGCCGGGTGCGAGAGTCGTCAGTGCTGCCAATTTGTATCATCCAAGGCGGCGCACCATAGACCGAGGCTACCATCTTCAACTCGGAGGCGACCTGTGGCTGATTTCACAATGCTACTACACCCTGTGCTTGAACCTGACTCCGGGGATTGTCGTACAACTGACGACTTCGAACTACTGGCTGGGGATGAAGTTCCATACAGTCAAAGCTTACTTCTCCCTCAGATCCCCAAATTCACGCCACAGCTCGCCAAGAAGAAAATCTTATCTACCAAAGAAGACTTCACAGGTAGGAATGACTCCGCGTTTAGCGACGTGTTATGTCTGGGCAACGACCACATCTACGACCCCTACCAGGACTACTTTGGATTGTGTCAGGAGTTCGCCGGGGGCCGGGGCGAGCTGAGCCCCAGTTCCGATATTTCCCTGTCATCGGATGAAAGTAGCGACAGCTTCAAGTATGTAACTTTCCAAGCTTCAAATCCACCGCTTGTGAATTCGAATTTCAGCAAGTTAGACCAGGAAAGACTTCGTGCTTTAACAACTGCGGAATTCGAAAGGAACGGAACTACATACGAATTGGACGAGTATGACATCATACAGCAGAAAGTGCGCGGACACGAACCCCCCACCCGGGAGATCCCGGTCGTTCCAAATGATCGGATCAAGGAATACCTGTGGCTGAAACAGTGCAAGACCGCCCGTGGCGATGTTACACAACTACAGGTGCAGGGGAAGAAAAAATCCAAGTTGATCTGTGTATTTTGCAAGAACAACAAGGAACCACCACATGTGTACACCGGGCATGTTTTGAAGGATTCTCGTGGCTATACGGCGTGCCCAGTGTTGCGGAAGTACCCGTGTCCAATTTGCCAAGCCATCGGGGACCACGCCCACACCATCAAATACTGCCCCTTCAACAACGACTCCGAGTTTCGAACCAGCCCCTCTCCTCTCCGCACAACGCGCATGGCCACAGGTAAAAAGCGGCGTACATAGAGAGTTTACCTGCGTTGTGTATACTGTTACATTCCACATTTCAAGTGTATGTTGTTGTGACGGGGACTCGTCATGAATCCAGTTTTCCAGATGAGGAGCTGTTTTTATTCGCAACTGATTTTAATATTGACTCATTGAGGAATTGATGAACTCACCGTGTTGTGTATGATATATACTATCTAGTTCTGTTTATTGTTTAGTCTAGGAACACGTGAATGTGTTAACAAGAGTGCTGTGCTCGAAACGAATTTACCGTTTTGACAGAAAGCTTGCAGTGCTATGTGTTAAAATGCGGGGACATTTTAGCAACGTGTTTTGGTGCAATGACTGTCAAACTTAATAGACATTTTAGTTTAAAATAGTACGTTTCAAGAAATAGCCTGAAATTTTACATCATTTTAAGATTTCAGATTTTTTGTTGAGTATCTAGTAGATCTTATTGTGCATTTAAATGCTTTTATTTATGATGCTTTAGCATGTAGGATTATACGTCATTGTAAATTTGAAATTTTAGAAGTTTCCGACAGTTTTATTGATGTTATTTTATGACCGTCAGTATGTAATATTGATGGAATATGACTCCTGTAAATAGGTCGACTTTGTAAAGACACTTCTGTATTGAAAAGTAGTTTTAGTACCATAGAATATAGATGTAATTCCTACCCGAGTGTTATGTTTTGCTTTGTCAACTGACTTTACCGTGATAGTAACGGTTATGTTGCATGTCGGAAGAGACGACTAAAAGGGTGGGTGATAACTGTACCCAATGCGGTCGGCTAGCCTAGTGGTTAAAGCGTTGGCTCGTCACGCCGAAGACCTGAGTTCGATTCCCCACATGGTTACAATGTTGGAAGCCAGTTTCTGGTGTACTGTCGCGATAATCCTGGTATATCGCTAAAAGCGGCATTAAATATACTCACTCGCTGTACCCTGCACTCGATAGCTGTCTGAGCAGCTGTTGAGTTGAGTTGGGTTTTATGTAACATCGGCATTATTCCAGCCATGTAGTGACGAGATCAAGTTTGAATTAATACACCTTTTAAGTACAAAGCTCAAATGAGTTCTATTTTAAAAGCATATATATTCATTACATTATTATTAAAAAACAGAAAATGACAATGCACTAAATTCAAAAGCACGCAATTCGTTATTCACAATACATAGTTACAATGTATGATAGTTCACAATGGGATGCCCGCTCAAGCGGGAAAAGAGATCTTTCAGATTTGTCGCATAATGTGAATCCCTTGCAGTCGACTCAGTCTACACAGTCAAGCAATATTGGCATGCAGATGCCAACGGGATCGTCCAGTCACTGACAAATGGATCCGGTGGGGTAATACTTCCGATCGTTCCACTATATATTATGTTTATTTAATTTAAGAAAATAAATGTAAAAGCCACTAAGTTCGGATTTGAATAAATTAATTTAACCCAGACCACCCCATAAGGCAGGAACGATCGTACATATTTCCCTTGATCACTGGATCGAATTGTCCAGACTGGGTTAATTACAGTCCGTCATAAGTAATAACGCTGGAACATTGCTCACTGCGGCGCTAAATAGCATTCACTCAACCCCGTCCAGCCCTGCCTGAGGATGTTTATTGCAGCATACCACCATAATACGGACGGTTGCATTCCCACGGAGACATTTCAAGATTAATGAAATATAGCTACTGAGTGAAATGTCTGACAATTCATACAGGTGGTTGGGTAGCCTAATGGTTAAAGCGTCCGCTCGTCACGCCGAAGGCCCGGGTTCGATTCCCCACATGGGCACAATGTGTAAAGCCCATTTCTGGCGTCCCCCCCGCCGTGATGTTACTGGAATATTGCTAAAAGCGGCGTAAAACCAAACTCACTCCCTCATACAGGTGGGTGTGTCCAGGAGATCTGTCTTGAAAGGATTTCCAGATTAGCGGGGTCAGTGCTTAACAAGTGTATTCACCATCGTGGAGGTGCTGTTCAAGCTTGGCAGATTTTTATAATTAATTTACAAGCATGTCTGTAACAGTATAGAGTTTGGCGGCGTTAAACATGCATTTACAGTTTGGGACGAGTCAAAAACATTTGGAATATATACCGCAATGTCTATACTACACGTTTATACAATACATTGCGTCGCACGGACTTGTGGGGTAGCCTAGTGGTTAAAGCGTTCGCTCGTCACGCCGAAGACCCGGGTTCCATTCCCCACACGGGTACAATGTGTGAAGCCCATTCCTGGTGTCCCCCGCCGTGATTTTGCTGGAATATTGGAAAAAGCGGCGTAAACCTAAACTTATTCACTCACGTCAGACTGCGAGATGATATTTCAATCGGCATGCATTATAAAACCAGCCTCAGTAGCGGAGAGATATTCTACGATTTCAGTTTTCGATACTTCTAGTATATTTTAATACAGTAACTCTGCACCTGTTCATGTTTGAAAGACCGCCTCCGTGGTGTAGTTGTTAGAGCGTCCGTCCAGAGAAAATATGTAAGCTAAACATTAAAAATCTAAACAATGTCTTGAAACCAAACAGACATTCCTTTAGTTGGAACGAGGTGCTTTGCTAAATGAGTCTCGTGATTAACAAAATTTGCCAACAGCAATATCTCAAGATAGTGAAGACTTCAGTGAAGGGATGACAGATTCCACAATGTGGTTTTGTATTTTGATACAAATTGTCCCCCCCCTCTCCCAGATTTTATAGTTAAAAGCAGATGACCGAGAAACTTCTTCTATACTGCACCAATATTTATACTGATATAATCATGTGAACCTCCAGATTCCCGCCCCGACCAAGAAGTTTCTGTCATTTACAGTCCGTGCAAGGTCGCGCAGCCGCTTTGAGCGTCGCGTGACAGACAAAACACAGACAGCTCTGCACAACCTGCACGTGATTATTGCCGAGAAGTGGGCGGGGCTTAAAAGCGAGACAGGTTGTGTGGTGTCGAATTTACGATAGTCAGCACGTGCTTACACACACGTACTTTCAGCAAGCCGGTCCTTAAAGTCGTTTACAATGAATAGAGAATTACTGGTAGAATGACCAGTATATTACCTTATATATATATTTCGTTACATTAACTTATTATTACGTTTGTATACTTCTTTACGTATCTAATGCCGTTAATAAAATAGCATTACCTATTTTGGACGAGCTCCGTCTGTTCAAGGATTAAGATGTTTAAGTGATTGAGTGAGCTTAGTTTTACGCCGTACTCAGCAATATTCCAGCTATATGTCGGCGGTCTGTAAATGATCGAGTCTGGACCAGACAATCCAGTGATCAATAACATGAGCATCGATCTGTGCAATTGGGAACCGATGACATGTGTCAACCCAGTCAGCGAGCCTGACCACCTGAACCCGTTAGTCGCCTCTTACAAGAAGCATGGGTAAGATGTTTAAAAACATGGAAAACAAATATTTCAGGTTATTTTTGTTTTTGAGTATGCCTCAGAGAGCAGCCTGAAGTTAGCAGCGGGTTCGTTATTCGTTATTCATTTTTCGAATAACGAATACCGTGCTAGCAACAGGTTCGTTAATCTTTATTCGTTTTTCAAATCACGAATAACGTGCTAGCAGCGGGTTCGTTATTCAAAGGCTATACATGAAAAATCTACAGCGGTGGGGTCATATACACTGATACCTATGTAATGGAATACAGCAGGTTCATTTTACAGGTGTACTACTATGCAAGAGCTGTGTAGTTATTCAACATTCATGAATAACGAAAAGCTAACAAGCACCTGTTTCGTTATTCAGTTTATGCCCATCAATTCTATCAAATATATGATAACAAATTCAACATACCGAATTTCCAGCAGGTCCGTGTTTCGCTATTCAAAACCGAATAACGAAACCCGCTGCTAGCACGTTATTCGTTATTCGGAAGACGAATAACGATACACGAACCCTCTGGAAATACGGTATTTTATATATATCTTACATTTGATAGAATTAATGGGCATACACTGAAAAACGAACCCGGCGCTGGTTAGTTTTTCGTTATTCGGAAGTGCTGAATAACTAAACAGCTCTTGCACAGTCCTACACTTGTAAAAGAAACGTGCAGTGTATATGGCCACACTACTATAGATATTCCGGCGCTGTTTAGTTATTCTATCAGAACTTCTTAACAACTCAACATCTCTTTCACATTAATACACCTGCTGTCTTTTGTTACATGCGTTTCAATGGCGACATTACTATAGATATTCCATGTAGAGCGTTTGAATAACGAACCCGCTGCTAGCACGCTATTCGTTATTCAACACTAGTCCGAGTCTGAATAACAAACCCGGTGCTGGTTAGTTTTTCGTTGTTCAGAGGTGCTGAATAACTAAACAGTTGCTGGGATTTACACTATCTTATATTAGATAGATCTGATGAGACATATAGTGAATAACGAACTCGTTGCTAACTTCAGGTTGCCGCCTCAGAGTATGCCAACATTTCCTGTCTTTAATCCCGAAGACCATCTTTTTTCACATTCTGATACTTATTTCCTCGTCCCTGAATCCCGACAACCTCTTGACATAAACAGGCGGTGGGGTAGCCTTGTGGTAAACGTTTGCTCGTCAACCCGAAGACCCGAGTTCGATTCCCCACATGGGACAATGTGTGAGGCCCATTTGTAGTGTCGCTCCGCCGTGCTGGATTATTCCTTATAATATATAACCATATGCACTCACTCATAAACCTGAAAGTTACATCAGATATCACTCAACACGCAAAGGCAGAACAAGTGTCTTCTGAACACGATGCTTAAAACACGTGGTAAGTATGAAGCTAAATTGCTGAAATAAAATGAATTCAAATTACTATAACAAAATATACATTTTTATATTCACCATTATTGTTTTTAATCTAGACCAGCGTACCTAATATGGATATGTTTTGTTCCCTTTGGCGAGCCGACCGCCTCCATGCTGTAGTGGTAAGAGCGTCCGCCCGGAGAGCGGAAGGTCGCGGGTTCGATCCCCGACCGCGTCATACCAAAAGACGTTAAAATATGGTACTTGTTGGTCCCTGCCTGGCGCTCGGCATTAATGGGTACAACAAGGACTGGTCGGCTCGGAGTCAGTATAATGTGTCTGAGAGGGGTATTCATGCTTTCTCTGCGGCATGGTATCTCAATGGGCTTGCACTCTAAAACCAGCTAGTACAAGCAGCCGCACATACACATACACACGCATACACTTCGTCATATGAGCGAAATATTCTCAAGCACGACGTTAAACCCAATTTCACCTCACCTCACCCCCTTTGGCGAGCCTTTTCGACAATACAAATGAAGCAAGTCTAGATATTTCTCAGTAACAGCAGGGACTCCTCTTTAATTCAAATCGAGTTAACTGTTTTCAACACTTGTTTCAGAAACAAACTATATATATATTCAGAAACTTTACCCCAACGATTATTAATGAACAAGCATCAGCAGGCACACCGGAAGGACTAGTCTGTTTCACAGTCCCTCAACCACATTATTTTCCCATGCAATGCCAAAGCCATAAATGAACCAAGTCTAGATTTTCTCAGGTTCAATTTCCCATCTCACTGGGGCGCCTTTTCAATTTAAATGTGTTTATTTGTTGCTGTCAAAATCATATATATTCAGAGATTAAGCGTTAGCTAGTCTATGGAAGCACCAATATTTGTTTTACGTCGCTTTAAGGATATGTCACAATGGCGGACTCTAGAAAAGGCTCAACACATTGTGCCATGGTAGGGAATCAAACCCGGGTCCTCGGCATGACAAGACCTAACTTCTAACCGAAAGTCAATGAGATTCGACTGTGCATTATGACAGCGTGTTGCTGAAAGTCAATTTACGTTTTGATAATAATCGTAAACAATTTGTTGCATCTCCGCGACCTACTACATTGTGTTGCTGGATTGAGTGGCGTTACTGAATTCACCTATTCTAGAGTGAGACATGAATGAATGAATGAATTAAAGACAACATGCACCCGTCTTATATATCGTTTCATTTTCAGCCCTGCTACACCTGCAGGCTCACGTTTTCCTCAGCATTTGTCCTCAACACCTTGACATTGTGATTGTTTAACGTCACAACATAGATAGGACTATTCACCCATAGCATGTAAGTAATAGGTTCCTTTATGGCTAACTCTCTGTGACGTCACCATTGTGGCGTCATCGTGGGCACCTTGTGACGCTGACCATAAAGTGGCACCAATGTTGTGATCGGATTTTCGCAGACAAGTCTGATCCAGTTAGAATATTACCAAGTGAAGCGTGAAACAATAAACCGAGTATAATTGTCCGCCACTCCAGTCGATGACCTCATAAACAAGAGCATAGTAACTGGAGTTGTCGTATTTTGGGGAGACAGGGCAAGTAAAAGAATATTATCACTCTATCATGCTGATAAAGATATCTTGATGCTAAATAGTTATGTATGAAGTTACATAGGGCTAAAACAATTATATCTAGTATAAAGTCTTTGGTAGAAAATGCAACAGAAGCCACGTAAAGACGAAATGCCGATTTACAGTTTGCCTGTATATTTGTACCATTAGTGTTATGATGGTATCAAATTGAATTTATGGTTCAGCAGAAATATGTGTGTAAGATAATACAAAGATAATTGAACATCAAAATCCACATCAAATGACATGACCAGAATGCGCTGTATGTCAAAATTTATCTAAGTACATGAATTGTCATAAGTACATTTTTATGAAACTCACAAATATTGTTTTTACTATGCTAGTAATAACCCTTATGCAGTCATTTGTTTGAATGAGACTAGAGGTTCATTATCTTTTCAGACGCAAAGCTCTTCACTTACATAATATATTACGCATCCCCATCAAAACCATTCCTGCTCAAATTGATCCACATTTATGAAGCTATTTTCAACAACAACAACAACACAAAGTTAGATACAACAACACAAAGTAAGATACAACACAAAGTAAGATACAACAACACAAAGTAAGATACAACAACAACACAAAGTAAGATACAACAACAACATAAAGTAAGATACAACAACAACACAAAGTTAGAATCTGAAACGCTCATCCAAATTAACTGAACTGTTTAACTTGACCATCCGTTCATGAAAACACGAATGCTCCAATCGGTCCTTTGTGACAACACATGTAGTTTATTAGGGAAAGAAATCAATGTATCAATGATTACACATGTACAAAAGTTAATGGAAATCACAAATATTCTTTTATCGACACCACGGCTCCACACTTCATTTGGCACCGTCAACTTATCGCAGTATCCTTTCTAATCGTACCAGAAAATATATACTTATAATACAGTATCATTACGTTAAATTGATTTTACCTATACTGAACAAAGTAAGTTTGGGAACAAGATAATCTGGGGGTATCTTCTCCAAATGATGAGAGAGCATACAATTCTTGAAAACGTCTCCCAAGATATTTTTTTCTATAAAAACTATTTGTTCACAGTTTGCTGTGAGATTTCACCGGATGTATCAATCAAGAAGCGAGTGGGAGACATTCATCATAAATTAGACGAAAGCATCAAATGGTGCCATAACCTTCAAGAAATTGGTCTTGGGCGGATCGTTATATCAGATTGGAATGGTTTATTCACAGAGTCTGGGTGAAGTTAAATGCGAATGCTATCTGGCTGACTGGGCCCTGGGCTGTTGCGACTAAAAGCGGTGAGGTACTATTCACCCATGGAACTTCCAACACGGCAATCTGACCTTGAACTTCATAATCATAGGGAACTGGAAATGTCCACATAATGTTTGCCTCTCCGTCACCAAAGGATGTATCCAAGGCAACTAGGTAATTCGTGGCATTGAATGAAGAGTGGGGCTCAGTTTTATTCACCCGTCTTACGGCGAACAGAAGGAGGTCAGCGTGCGTTTTTGGATCTAAGGCTACCATCACCCTTGACGTCACTTGTACTGTGGTGTTCAGCATTTGGGAAACGTTAGCGATTTGTTGGACCTGGCTTGAGATTTGATCGAATCCGTTAATGGTGTCCCCAAACTGAGTGACAGCCCACACCAGACTTCCCTCGCCAAGCCTGGTCCGTTGCTGTGTGTGCGTAGCTTGTGTTTTGTCGTGTTTGGGATCCGCGTCTTCTTGCTTAATAGAAGTGTTCCAGGACGAGTGCAGCCCCATTCTGCCGTACGATGAGTCATAGACTGACATGTGAGATAGAGAGAAGTTGTTGCTGTATAACAGACTCATGTTGGTTCCTAGATCTTGAATGCCTACCAGTCTGGAAAATGAGCTTTCCAGGCAACTCTGACGATGTTCCTCCAATGTCAGCATGTCACAGATCCCGATAGGGGGAGCCACGCTGGCCATCACTGTTCCAAAGAAGTAGCTCAAACTTGACTGTTCACTTGTCTGCTGAGACCATTGGTGGCGAATGTTGCTGGGGGGATGGCGGTCCTTTTGGTAACCGCCCGTACCGGAAGTACCAGACTTTGTGTTTCCTGTACGGGAAGTACCAGAGTTTTGATACTTGTTTGTGTTTCCTGTACCGATGAATTGTATAGACTCGTGCTGAACCATTTCAAGTACGTCGGAAGACACGTCATGTCGATGTGCTGGATTACGCAAACTGTTGGTAGGTTCCCTAAAGCTTTTGCCACCCTTTGCTATAGATCGTTTTAGCATGTCTAGCACGAAGGAGTTACGTTCTGCCCGATCAGCCGTCTTATACTTTAATCTCGTGTCGTGCTCTAGTGTGGCATGTTTGTTTCTGGATAGACGAGACTGATTCATTTTGTCCGGGTTCCTCGGGTGTACTGCTTCACGCGAGATCCTGGCTATTGGCCTCTGTTTACTACCATCTATGTCCTTACTGGTTTGTTTCGGTTCATACTGGGGCGATTTCTTGGATTTCACTGGTTCCCGGTAGTTGACCTTGACCTCTAGTTCCAGGTTCAAGTACCAGACGATATCGATAGGCTTCACCATGCGATCCAAGATGTCCATGGCGTACAGACGTTGCATAGCTAGAGTGCCCAACTGTGGAAAATATGGAAGAACCTGATATAATCAGTGATACAATATGTCATTCATTAAAAGCCAGTGTTTTACCTTGCCTTTGCGATGCAAGGATAGCCGATAGGCTCAGTAAAGTCTCTCTATACAAACAATCGAAGGGAAATGCTCAACTACAGAGTTGGGGTGATGTTGTGCTACTAGGACAGGGATGAATACGGCTGTCAGCGCCCGCCCGGTACCCTGCAGTGAGGTCAGACAATATCGGTCTCTCAGTATTCTGCAGTACAAAATCTGCCAGCAAAGGCTTTATTGTGGATTGTTCAAATACGTCACAGTGACAGCAGGTGCGCATGTCACAGGACAGAGACGATGGCAGATGAAGGGGTACTTCAGAGATAGGGTGGGGAGAGACAGGTAAGCTGTAAGTACAGTGGGTGTTGCATGACAAGGGGTGGGGTAGGGAGGGACAGGTCAGTTGTACAGCGTGTGAGGGGTTGTGGAGTAGAAGGACAAGCTCATCTGTAGGTACAGTGAATGCTGTGAGAAGGGAAGGGAAAGCTGAGATGTTGCTGAATGTAGGTCACAGTAGGAAGCAGTCAAATAAGATCAACGCTTTTACGACAGATAACATACATTCGCAATCAACATTTGAATGAAAACATGACCGCTTCTATTGAAAACATGTTTTATTTAGGGGAAAACACTAATGAATCACTCGTAATATGGCAAAACTAATCATTTTAAATTTTATTCAATCGACATTTAATGGACGCCAAAAGCATACACACCGGTCATATTCCTAGCAGTTGCGACGAATGTCTCATAGGATCCGCTAACAAGACTGATTTGGCCTCTAACCTGAAACGAATCGGGTAAGGGAGTACTCCACATCACGGTAGGCGCTTTCTTAGAAGACAGAACACCTTGCAGCGTCACGAGGTGTTGAGAGTACCTTTCGGCAGTGGTGTTTGCAACGCTCAATGCGAACATGAGTACAAACCTATCAGCAGTATCTTTATGTACCATTAGTTTTGAGGATAACCTGACGTGCTTCACATTCAGTAAGGTATTTAAAGTAATGTTCATAAACATTACTTTAGTTTTAGAGTCAAGAGCTGAAATAACAGAACCCCGTTGCTGAGCAACCCAGACTACGGGCATCTGAACAGTGCCGTCATGACAAAACGTGACGTCATCGTAAATAGCGAAATCTGACGGGGGATAACTGGTTGTATACACTACGGTTCCCTTCGAGCCGTCTTCTCTAACGGCTAGCAACGTCGACACTGCGTCACCATCAACCCCCGAAAGACTGATGTAGATGGTGCCGAGGTAATACAACAACACAGAACCACCATCTATGTCGTCGTTGTCAGAGGCGAAAGTAGTCCTTCCTGTTCCAATGTTTACGCTCCATATTACGCGCATGCGCTCTAACTCACTGACCCGGATGTCGACAGAATATAAGCGCTGCATTCTCACAATCTGAAAACGGACAAAGGAAGCGGTAGAAGCAAAGCTTTGTGAGATAGAATGTTTTCAACAAACAAGACAAAGCGGGTGGAGGAGTGGTCGACCTTCACTAATATAACGGGAATAAAGATATGAAATAACGAAACGGCGATACACTAACCTAACGCTATGTATTTAAACTAGATAATTCATAGATGAAGCGGTTGTGAGTATAGGCTGCTGCAGTTAAGCAGTTGTGAGTATAAGCTGTTGTGGTTGAGATGGGGTGAGTATAAGATGTGTAGTTGAGATGGGGTGAGTATAAGCTCTTGTAGTTGAGATGGGGTGAGTAAATAAGCTGCTGTAGTTGCGATGGGGGTGAGTATAAGCTGTTGTAGTTGAGATGGGGTGAGTATATAAGCTGCTGTAGTTGAGATGGGGGTGAGTATTAGCTGTTGTAGTTGAGATGGGGTGAGTATAAGCTGTGTAGTTGAGATGGGGTGAGTATAAGCTGTTGTAGTTGAGTATAAGCTGTTGTAGTTGAGATGGGGTGAGTATAAGCTGTTGTAGTTTGAGATGGGGTGAGTATAAGCTGTTGTAGCTGAGGATGGTGATGAGATGGGGTGAGTATAGCTGTTGTAGTTGAGATGGGGTGAGTGTTGTAGTTGAGATGGGGGTGAGTATAAGCTGTTGTAGTTGAGATGGGGTGAGTATAAGCTGTTGTAGTTGAGATGAGGAGGGGGGTGAGTATAAGCTGTTGTAGAGTTGAGATGGGGTGAGTATAAGCTGTTGTAGTTGAGATGGGGTGAGTATAAGCTGTTGTAGTTGAGATGGGGTGAGTATAAGCTGTTGTATAAGCTGGGGTGTATGTAGTTGAGATGGGGGTGAGTATAAGCTGTTGTAGTTGAGATGGGGTGAGTATAAGCTGTTGTAGTTGAGATGGGGTGAGTATAAGCTGTTGTAGTTGAGATGGGGGTGAGTATAAGCTGTTGTAGTTGAGATGGGGTGAGTATAAGCTGTTGTAGTTGAGATGGGGTGATGTGAGTATAATGTGGTGAGTATAACCTGTTGTAGTTGAGATGGGGTGAGTATAATTAAGCTGTGTAGTTGAGATGGGGTGATTATAAGCTGTTGTAGTTGAGATGGGGTGAGTATAAGCTGTTGTAGTTGAGATGGGGGTGAGTATAAGCTGTTGTAGTTGAGATGGGGTGAGTATAAGCTGTTGTAGTTGAGATGGGGTGAGTATAAGCTGTTGTAGTTGAGATGGGGTGAGTACAAGCTGTTAGTAGGAGATGGGGTGAGTATATAATTAAGCTGTGTAGTTGAGATGGGGGTGAGTATTGAAGTAGTAGATAGGGTGTATAAAGTGTTAGTATTAGCTGTTGTAGTTGAGATGGGGTGAGTATAAGCTGTTGTAGTTGAGATGGGGTTGAGTATAAGCTGTTGTAGTTAAGATGGGGGTGAGTATAAGCTGTTGTAGTTGAGATGGGGGCTATGAGTATAAGCTGTTGTAGTTGAGATGGGGTGAGTATTAGCTGTTGTAGTTGAGATGGGGTGAGTATAAGCTGTTGTAGTTGAGATGGGGGTGAGTATAAGCTGTTGTAGTTGAGATGGGGTGAGTATAAGCTGTTGTAGTTGAGATGGGGTGAGTATAAGCTGTTGTAGTTGAGATGGGGTGAGTATAAGCTGTTGTAGTTGAGATGGGGTGAGTATAAGCTGTTGTCGTTGAGACGGGGTGGGTATAATGTGTTGTAGTTTAGATGGGGTGAGTATAAGCTGTTGTAGTAGTTGAGATGGGGATGAGTATAAGCTGTTGTAGTTGAGATGGGGTGAGTATAAGCTGTTGTAGTTGAGATGGGGGTGAGTATAAGCTGTTGTAGTTGAGATGGGGTGAGTATAAGCTGTTGTAGTTGAGATGGGGTGAGTATAAGCTGTTGTAGTTGAGATGGGGGTGAGTATAAGCTGTAATAGTTGAGATGGGGATGAATGTAGGCTGTTGTACTTGAGATGGGGGTGGGTATAAGCTGTAGTAGTTGAGAAGGGGATGAGTATAGGCTGTTGCAGTTATACACTGTATTTGTTTCCCTTACCCCAGCCCTAACCTTAGTGTATTTTATACCATTAGGCTATGCGCTTGGGATACAGGTGTTTTTTACTTGAATGCATCTTTTACAATGTACATAACTTTATCCCGGATTCTGTAAATTGGTATTCCCGATTATCAGTATCATGAGGTGAGGTGAGGTGAAATTGGGTTTAACGTCGTGCTTGAGAATATTTCGCTCATATGACGAAAGTATCATGAGACATACATCATGTAGCTATCATATGTTGGATAACAGAGGCTAGTTCAAGGCTTGAATGGAGCTGGGTTTGGGAAGTGCAATTTCCAATATCGTTTTGCTAAAGTGTAAATACAAACAACTTGACTGTGATAGATTAAATCATTTAAATTTTATACTATCATTCGGTGATGCAGATAAATTGCCTACGTTCAAAACATTCATCGTCTTAAACATTCTAAAACATTTTAGTCTTCATGAAATGTATCGTAAGGTCAAAGTGTCTTGATACACTATCCCACACGCGGAGACCACTAGATCCCCATCATCCGACTGACCGGACTGGGAGATCCTACTCAGCGATTGGTTGATTGTGTCTCTGTAATGTGGTTGGATGCTCAAAATATATCATTGATTGCCTGGTCCTGTCTCGTGTTTTACAGATCACTAAGCCTTAAACAAGTTTCTAATCAATAGTTATTTGTTGAAATTGTAATTCATTATATAAATGATTATATAAATAATTATATAAATAACAAGAAAAAGTTATCATGTGTACTTTCGGCTTATCTAGACGTTCCTATTATATATAAGGATAGAATTACATTGACTTATTATGTAGTAGAGGCTATACAGTCTGGGGGCAGTTCTAGAGACCACACAGTCTGGCGCCATTTTGCTGCTGGAACATAGTTGTGTGTGGCGTTAAACAGCATGCGAACAAGTGACAAAAGTGCCTCCCTACCTTTTCTTGGGGTATGGTGGCGTCTTGGGGGTCGGGCTGGAACTGAGTGAGGATGTAAGCGCGGCTACCTTTCATAATGGGCTGGGCGATGGGGTGAAAAGTCCCGTTATACCTCTCCACGTTTCCCCGTAGCACCAGGGACGCCAAGGGGATCCCGTCTGGCAAAATTCGGAAAACATTTTAGCATGTTTTAGCTTAAGAAGCACTTTGAGCATATCCCTGTGACGTGGAAAGGCGCTATATAAATGGCCTATTATTATTATTATTATTATTATTATTATTATATGTTCTATATGTTACGTGAGTTCCAACACTTGCAAAATCTGTGTGAAAATACAACAAAAATACAAAAATAACATGTTGTCATGTTGACAGGTTTTGTAATTTCCTTTACAGTCAAATACCGTTGTGTCAAAGTCGACGGGACCTTCACAAATATTTCGAGTTATCAAAGGCTCGACATAACCGCATAATGGCGACTAAAGAAGGACAGGGCTATAACTTCAAGTCAAGTGTAAGTTAGGAGTTCGACACACCAGTGTTTAACTGTATATACATATCACGTACAAAAGGTCCAGCCCAGTACGAATACCTGTTCTTGTTCTTGCGCTGTTGATTTCATACAGATTGTGTCAGCGTCCGTAAACAACTTAACCAAAATAGTCCTGTCCCTCCGGTGAAGTATATCCCATTGGTAATGCCATTATGAAAAAGAACCTTGAAACAATGCAAGTAGAAAGATAGATAAATCCGTGTGTGCGTGTTTTCAGATTAACGCTTAGTCTCTGAATATATTAATTTTATAGTAAACCCAGCAACAAATTGAAAAGGAGCCCCAGTGAACCTGGGGGGTGGGGGTGGGGTGGGGGAGATTTAGACTTGCTTTATATTTAGGGCTTGAACATAACAGGGAGGGCTAGGCAGTAGGGGAAATAAAGTATTTCAGGGGACTGTTAAACAGACTATAGTGTTCTTTCAAACTAGATCCTCTACCAAAACCTTGAAGGTTTTTTCCAATAGGTAGGATTCATTCAAATAAACCACACACCAAAACATCTAACTGATTGCAGGCAGATTATCATGTTTTGTTAGGGGCCAGCTAGTCGGCCTGATGGACGATGTGACAAGGCAAAGCTCTGATGAGGATATCAAGTAACATAATCAGGCAGTTCACATTACATTCGGTGACAACAACTTTACAAGCGAGGAGAGATACGGGATGGGGCTGGGGGTGATGTTCACGGGCTACTTCGTAAAATATAATCTGCATGGGTTGGTTGTGGCAGGTCGGGAGGGGAGCAGCGAGGGGAGGCGGGAGAAGAGGGTTTTCGTTGAGGTCAGGAAATGGTCGTAGATGTCAGGCCCTGGAATGGCGATGTTTATCTTGATAATCAGTCATTTAGATTCCGAGTGTTGGGTGGTGGATTTACAACACCTCGCGGTGACGGGGGACAACAACGTGATGGATATACTGCAAATACACACACGGCTTCAAACTGTCTCATTCGTTCAACATTCAGAACACAGTTCGGGGTCTGTATGATTGTCTAAAAGGTTCGCGAACGTCTACTTTTCAGTCTCTGTCTGAGATGTAAGAATTTCTCTGGGTTCCTTTCTATTTTTCAGATTTGAAAACAGTATAATAAAAATGTATCTCATATTAGATGATTAATGTCGGTCAGAATGATAGAAAATACTGAGATTACAGTAATTCGCAACACTGATCCCGCGATCATAGGGGCGTGTCTAGCTTAGAAACAGCGTTAGAAAGACTTATAGGTGTATAGACCGAACCCTATTACTAAATAAAAGGATAATACTAGTGAGTGAGTGCGTTTAGTTTTACGCCGCACTCAATATTCCAGCTGATTTGCGGCGGTCTGTAAATCATCGAGTCTGGACCAGACAATCCAGTGATCAACAGCATGAGCATCGAGGATAGTAACAGTGTTGGGTCTATACGCCTATATGTCTTTCCAACGCTGTTTCTAAGCGAGACACGCCCCTATGCCAGCGAAGACGTGTTAACGGGACCCCTCAATATATTACATATAGATAGATAGAGTGAGTGAGCGTTTACGCTGATAGTACGGCTGGGGAAAAGATGAATTACATCAACAAATGGTACCCATGAACTGAAATCGGACCCGGGCCTTCTACGTGACGAGCGAACAATGCAGTTTGACCACTACTGTCGCACAGTCACTGAAAACATTATTTTCCTACTGACTACCCCTCCCTGCAATGCTAAAGCCCTAAATGAAGCAAGTCTACATTTCCTCGGTTTATGAATCTCCAATCTCACTGGGGCTTCTTTTGTTAATTTAAATGTGATTATTTGTTACTATTAAAATTATATATATTCAGAGACTAACCTTAGCACTGACTGATTATAAGAACGTATCTCAGGGGTTGAAATGGAATAACCACATAATCCACTGTGCAGGATTATACATACTCACATATAAGTTAAGTCACATGCTCGCTTTCATAAACGCGATGTCGATGATTATAGAATGTAAACCCACGTGGATTTATGCGATTTAATAAATATCTTTACAAAATGTTTTTTAACATAATTCTTTATAGGATATGCAGCAATGTTACCATTTGTTCGATGTAGAAACAGTGACAATATTGTACAAACTACATGAACAAACTTATACATAGTGTAAACTTGTCGGTCGTAGAGATCGACAGCAGGTTAACTCACTTGCAAGGTAGGCGACCAGCTCCCCCGTCTGAGACACAATGAACAAGATGTTCCCTTCTCCGAACACAATGCTGGAACAGAGCAACAGGGGTAGTGAGTGGATTGGGTTTGGCGCCTGTTGAATGGTGTTTCATCTAAATCACACCTGAATAAGGCGGTGAGGAGGAAGGGTGAATATGTTTTTACGCCGCTTTTAGCAATATTCCAGCAATAGCACAAGCAGCAGGGGCTTCACACAATGTACCTATGTGGAGAATCGAGCCCGGGTCTTCGGCGAGACCAGCGAACTCTTAAACCACAAGCCTACCCCATCGCCACGGACGGTGGGAGGAAGAAAGGGGAGCCCGAAGGTATGTCAATCCAATGCGTGAAACTCTAGTCTGTCTTACAGTCACTGAACCATATTAGTTTCGCTTCCCTTTCCATGTCCAGTCTTTATTGTAATTCTGCATCTGTAAATTAAGCAAGTCTAAATTTTTAACAGGTGGGATCACCATCAGAAACAATAACCCACTTGTTTATCCGGATGCACTGATTCCAAGCACGCGTAAGGGACACAACACAACTACAGAACGCTGCGGCGACGGCAGTCAGGAAAGCTATGCCAGTACTTCGCGTCAGTTAACGTAGATTAACATCCTAAGTAATTCACATGAGTTACTATGCATGCCACTGATTCATCATGTATGCAATAGCAGAGCCTCATCACCCGATTAGACAAAAGCATATCCTGAAAAACATAGCATGAAATGTCATGAACTATACCGTGGTAATTATTACATTGCTAATTATTGTAAATACATTATCAACTAGCTGTCTGCGAATTATTTTTGTACGTATAAGTCATCTTGGGAAATCGTACAATAATACACCCGAAAACCATGAATTCTGAACGTCACTAAGGGGCTAGTTGGTACTGTGGTTTGGGGACACGTAGCCCAGAGTTCAGTAAGCCATAGAGCAACTGTTGGTCTGTCTGATTGTGGGTGGAACCAATGCCGTTCCAAGTGACTGAGCGTCTATGGTATTATAAGGTACTATTTTATGAACTTAAGATATATTCAAATTTGAGATTTTATATCGAGATTTGAAGTGTGCCTGAGACCGAATATTGTCCTAATCTGAAAGTGCTAAACAAATCTTTCCTCGGTTAGAGGCCGGTAGCCAAGCTCACTCCAATACCTGTAGACTGGTGTCATTAGAGGATCCAGTGGAATAACGGGCTTCTCCACATTGCCATTACCGTCCACCTTCGTGAGGTATCTGCCGTCGCTGCCGATGATGTCACCACTGATGTCCATTATAGGAAGAGAGGGGTTGATCAAGCTGGAGTCCTTCCACAACACCCTCCCGGTGTCTGCGTCAATTCCCACGTACCCACTGCAAGACACAGAGTGGAAATAGAATTATGCTCGGTTTAGAACCTTTAACGACGGAACACTTTAACGACGGAACAAACAACCCATTCTTAACGTTGTTTGTAGTCTAACACCACGTTCAGGAATATTCCTGCTGTATGATGGTTATCTGTTAAACGTGAGTCTGGACCAGACAATCCAGTGACTGCCATTGCGAACAACGGTCTCCGCCGTGAAGGTAGGACAACACAATCAACCATAAGTCATCGTGCGTGTCCACCCTAACAATTATGGTGCCTCTTACGTTTGTTCAGTGTTTGTTTGTTGTTTAACGCCGCACTTTGCAATGTTCCAGCTATATGGCGGCAGTCTGTAAATAAACGAGTCTGGACCAGACAATCCAGTGATCAACAGTATTCATGAGCATTGATCTACGCAATTGAATTGGGATACGATGACATGTGTGAACCGAGGCAGTAAGCCTGATTATCCAATCCAATCCCGAAAGTCGCCTCTTACAACAAGCATGAGTTACTGAAGACAAATTCTAATGCGGGTCTTCACCTCTTACGACTCGCTTAGGCTGCCGGGGGCCTCTACACGGTAACCCCAGGCAACGCGGGGCCTGCTGAGCAGCAAAGAGAATTGAGACGCAGACTACAACGAGCTGCGACGTAAATCTAAACTCACTCACTCACTCTACAAGAGCTATCGTAACTCTATGGTTTATCGTACGTTTACGAATGACGAGGCGCAAAGATAGCTTCATGGATCAGGATTAGGATCCACAAGCGTTCGGAACGTTACGACCTGTCGTAACGCCATGGTTTATCAAAGGCTACGAATGTCGTAGAGCAACGAACGTTTTGGGGATCGGAACCCAGAACTCTGACGTCTATTATTGATGAAACAAAACTTTGGTAGCCAAAAAAGACCAGCCTTTTTTATAAGCCATGGAGACATAACACACACTTTGGACGAAAACAACACCAAAGATGGATTTACCGTGGTAATTTGATCAATTCATCCAAAGGTGACACTGATGATTAGATTATAGTCAGACTTCAGCTCTGTATGAGCAGTTTCCAAAACACCGCCATGTTTGATCACTCAGCACTCCAACAGCGCTTCCCCGAGGTGTCAGGCTGACAAGTTGACCTGTGACCTCACCAGGGAACAGATCCAACTGGTGGTGAAATATACGTCCCTAACTACCACCGATTTGTTTTAATGTTTAACTGTCTACATACTTGTTTTTAATAAGGCATCACTGGAGCAATCCATTCATTACATGCTGTGTTAAAACAACAGATGAACGCACCATTGAGAACACCAGTAACTGAATATGGCTTAACGGCGCGTTTAATTGTACTCAGAAATATGGAAGACACTAGCAATGCTGTACATTCCATATCCCGATATAGGGAATAGAACCTCATGCGTCACCAGCGAACGCTTCACCCACAATGCTACATCGCCACGCAAGTTGTATCATAAGAGCAAGCATGGGTAAATGTCAAAGGCGATAATTGACATCAGTATCAATATTACATTATAACATACAAATCATCATTATCTAAATAAGATTTTGCTCCATAGTCAGCTGCGGCGGTCTGGAAATAATCAAACCATACAAGACAAGCAATGTTCGACACCAGTGACCTGATGGTCTCAAAACAATCAGCTTCCATTGACGTCACATGTGTACAACCAGGGTATGAAACCAGACCACAGGGCTGTTTAGATGTAAAACTTGCCAGCCCTGACCAAAACTTGCCTGCCCCACAAAAAATACTAATTTACTTAGAAGAATTAAATTAAAACTTCTAAAATATTGAAAAAGACTAATACTAACTTCATATACATGTCTAAATTTTAACCCAACCGTCGGGCAGGTGCATTCGAGAATCTGGCAGTCTGTGTTGAAAATTACCCGTCCCGGTTGGTCGGGCAGGCAGGTATTTCGAGCGCTGGTACAACTCGTCAGTTTGGACGACAAGTATTAGTCAGTCTCACAGTCATGTCCCTGAACAGCATGACTTTCTCTTCCATCCTAAAGCCCCAAATGAAGCAAATGATTTCCTCCCAAAGCGCTGAGGTTAAATTTCAATTTGAATGGAATTACTGTTTCTATCAAAATTGTATCTATTCAGAGACTAAGCATTAGTATCTATAGAGGTATTGGGGTATAACACAAGTGTAGCAACATTCTAGCAATATTGAAATGGACTTCGCCCATTGTATCCTTGTGGGGAGTCGAACCCGGGTCTGCGGCGTGACGAGCGAACGCTTTAACCTCTAGGCTACCCCACCGCCCCGGATACAGCACGGAAGTCAGACGAGGAAAGACTCAGTGACAGTGAGCCATGTCATAGACGTGTAACACTTTGATAAAACTGGCATCCATAGGTGTGTTTCTCAGGTTCATGAGTGAAGCATGACCCTTACATGACGTAGCATTCAACAACGCTCGCTTTGGGCTAAGTACTAATTTAACTTAAGCCCCCGTGCTCCACGAGCCTCAGTTGTTTTCTTGAACTTCTTTAATTAAGAATTGACTTCCACATTTATGAACGTGGAAACAGATGTGCACACTATGTAAATCCGAGGGTATATTGAAGCCAGTTCGCATATATACCGCGAAAGAAAGTTGGGGATATTTAATGTTGGGGCGATATTATTGGTACAAGACGTGGCATTGTAACATGAGCTCACAACATGTTATAATATAGAACGACAAAAAAACAGGCGCACAAGACCATTTCATCAGAACGACTGTGATACGAAACCCTGGTCTTCACAGAGCTGCACTACACAGATGGAACCTGCTTGCCCGACGTCCACGTGTTACCCACAATTGACGGACCGTCACCCATTGAGCATGTCTGGGATATCCTTGGCCGGCGCATCAACAACCATCGGCCACTCTCAGCGAAATCATTTTACACTGCTACGAGTGTGTTTGTTTGTTGGTTGGTTGTTTAACGCCGCACTGAGCAATACTCCAGCTATATGGCGGCGGTCTGTAAATGATCGAGTCTGGGCCAGACAATCCAGTGATCAACAGCACTGATCTACGCAATTAGGATACGATGACATTAAGGATGGGACGGGATACCCGGGACGGGTGGGTAATGAGTTGGACCCGGGTACCCGTCTCAATACCCGGACCCGTTATGATCATGTGACTAATAGACTAAACAATGTAATATCATGTTATTCTTTCATGATTAAAAGGTTGCATTGTCTTTGACGACTTAGACATTATTTACAGTCACTTCTTTTGAATATAATACTTGGTTAAGATAATTGAAAAACCCAAAATTTTAGCCCCCGAGCTTAAGAATAATTTGCCATTTCTTGCAAATTTGATGTCAGGAATTAACATAACGGGTATCCGGGTAGGTAGGGTAATAAGGGGTCGGGGTACCCGGGTAGAAAATTTGGACCCGTCCCAGCCCTAGATGACATGTGTCAACGAAGTCAGCGAGCCTGACAACCCGATCCCGTTAGTCGCCTCTTACGACAAGCATGGGTTACTGAAGATCAATTCTAACCAGGATCTTCACGGGTTCAAGTGTGTTAGTGATATAACAGAACTGCTGGCCAGTTGGGACAGACGGACAGACCTGTGTTCAAAGATATTGGAATCGGCCCACGTTGGCGCCATACCTGGATTAACGTGGTGACTAGTACGGAGCTACGCATACAATCGCACATGTATAGGTTTGCATGCTTCAAACATGAGTCAAAACAATTTTTGTTACCCACTATTGTGACGGGCAGACGACATGTCTGTCGTTACTGACGCAGCCGAGAAGACGACTTCCGGTCCCAGATGAATTTGACAGCTGTGTTGTCCAGACGACCTTGAACCCTGACCTTGGAATTCCTGATGGCGTCAGAAGGGAGAAGGACCCTGTGGGTGTGCAGCCGTAAGAAGGACAACCTGACACAGGCTGCGAGACCACGAACTGGACACACGTACAGGCGGTGACCACAGCGACCCACAGGAGAAACATGGCCCAACTTTCCTCACCGAGACAGACGAATATTTCGTTCAACTAAATATTATCTATCACTCCCTTCTCATTCGACTCATCTGATACGTACCAAGTGCGGTCACGTGAAAGTGATATCAATTACGAACAATGAAACAATCTCAACAACAATGTCAGTGATAACAGGTGTTGTACTAGTCTGTCAATCAGACCCTGAAAACAAAATTAATATACCCAATGGCAATGCAGCCCAGTTTCTGAAAATGAAGAATGCGTCTGGGCTATTATTGTATCATATTAACGCAATTTAAAAACCTTTTTTCTGCAAAATATGTTAATTTCAGAGACTAGATTTTAGGGACCGTGCATAATTTATGGCTGCGGGGTGGAGGTTGGGGGTGATGATTCTTATGGTGAACTATGTACAATGTGAATGACTCCCACCTAAATTTTATGTACCTAATAGTACGTGACACTCCTTCCCCTCCCACCTGTATATCATGTGGAAAATCAATGACACCCTCTCCCCCATTCCCTTAATTCGTAAGTATAATTTTAAATTATTTTTATGTACAAAATTGCCGACCCCCCTCAACTGCATGTGTATTCCCCAGAACAAAATGGGTAACTGTACACCTACTACTGCTGTGTGGGTCAGACTGTACACCTACTACCACTGTGTGGGTCAGACTGTACACCTACTACCGCTGTGGTGGTCAGACTGTACACCTACTACCGCTGTGTGGGTCAGACTGTACACCAACTACTGTTGTGTGGGTCAGACTGTACACCTACTACCGCTGTGTGGGTCAGACTGTACACCTACTACCGCTGTGTGGGTCAGACTGTACACCTACTACCGCTGTGTTGGTCAGACTGTACACCTACTACCGATGTGTGGGTCAGACTGTACACCTACTACCACTGTGTTGGTCAGACTGTACACCTACTACCGCTGTGTTGGTCAGACTGTACACCTACTACCTCTGTGTGGGTCAGATTGTACACCTACTACCTCTGTGTGGGTCAGCTTGTACACCTACTACCGCTGTGTGGGTCAGACTGTACACCAACTACCGCTGTGTGGGTCAGACTGTACACCTACCACTGTATGGGTCAGACTGTACACCTACTACCTCTGTGTGGGTCAGACTGTACACCTACTACCTCTGTGTAGGTCAGACTGTACACCAACTACCTCTGTGTGGGTCAGACTGTACACCAACTACCTCTATGTGGGTCTCACTGTACACCTACTACCGCTGTGTGGGTCAGACTATACGCTGTGTGGGTCAGACTGTACTACTACACCTACTACCTCTGTGTTGGTCAGACTGTACACCTACTACCTCTGTGTTGGTCAGACTGTACACCTACTACCTCTGTGTTGGTCAGACTGTACACCTACTACCTCTGTGTGTGGTCAGACTGTACACCTACTACCTCTGTGTGGGTCAGACTGTACACCTACTACCTCTGTGTGGGTCAGACTGTACACCTACTACCGCTGTGTGGGTCAGGTACACCTACTACACCTACTACCTCTGTGTGGGTCAGACTGTACACCTACTAGACAGTACACCGCTACCGCTGTGTGGGTCAGACTGTACACCTACTACCGCTGTGTGGGTCAGACTGTACACCTACTACCGATGTGTGGGTCAGACTGTACACCTACTACCGATGTGTGGGTCAGACTGTACACCAACTACCGCTGTGTGGGTCAGACTGTACACCTTCTACCGCTGTGTGGGTCAGACTGTACACCAACTGCTGCATGCTGTGTGGGTCAGACTGTACACCTACTACCGCTGTGAGGGTCAGAATTAGACTAACAACTAGTCTCTGAAATGAACATAATTTACTGAAAAATGTTCATAGTAAAGAAAAATATAATATAATGAAAAGGAGCCCTGAAGCTGAGGAAATCTAGACTTGCCACATTTTCTAGACTTGCGTGGGCTTTCTTGGATATAATTGCTTCAGGGTCTGTACGAGAGACTAGGTCAGAATGTGCAGCTACTACCGCTGTGTGGGTCAGACTGTACACCTACTACCGCTGTGTGGGTCAGACTACACCTCCTACTGCTGTATGGGTCAGACTGTACACAAACTACTGCTGTGTTTGTCAGACTGTACACCTCCAACTGCTGATGTGTGGGTCAGACTGTACACCTCCTACTGCTGTGTGGGTCAGACTGTACACCTACTGCTGTGTGGGTCAGACTGTACACCTCCTGCTGTGTGGGTCAGACTACACCTACTGCTGTGTAGGTCAGACTACACCTTCTACCACTGTGTGGGTCAGAATGTGCAGCTACTACCGCTGTGTGGGTCAGACTGTACACCAACTACCGCAGTGTGGGTCAGACTACACTTACTACCGCTGTGAGGGTCATAATGTACAGCTACTACAGCTGTGTGGGTCAGACTGTACACCAACTACCGCTGTGTAGGTCAGACTACACCTACTACCACTGTGTGGGTCAGACTACACCTACTACCGCAGTGTGGGTCAGACTGTACACCTACTACCACTGTGTGGGTCAGACTGTACACCTACTACCGCTGTGTGAGTCAGACTGTACACCAACTACCACTGTGTGGGTCAGACTGTACACCTACTACCGCAGTGTGGGTCAGACTGTACACCTACTACCACTGTGTGGGTCAGACTGTACACCTACTACCGCAGTGTGGGTCAGGCTACACCTACTACCGCTGTGTGGGTCAGACTACACCTACTACCACTGTATGGGTCAGACTGTACACCTACTACCGCTGTGTGGGTCAGACTGTACACCTCTTACTGCTGTGTTGGTCAGACTACACCTACTACCGCTGTGAGGGTCAGACTGTACACCTACTACCGCTGTGTGGGTCAGACTGTACACCAACTACCGCTGTGTGGGTCAGACTACACCTACTACCGCTGTGTGGGTCAGACTGTACACCTCTTACTGCTGTGTGGGTCAGACTGTACACCTACTACCGCTGTGTGGGTCAGACTGTACACCTACTGCTGCATACTGTGTGGGTCAGACTGTACACCTACCGCTGTGTGGGTCAGACTGTACACCTACTGCTGTGTGGGTCAGACTGTACACCTCTTACTGCTGTGTGGGTCAGACTGTACACCTACTGCTGCATGCTGTGTGGGTCAGACTGTACACCTCTTACTGCTGTGTTGGTCAGACTGTACGCCTACTGCTGTGTGGGTCAGACTGTACACCTCTTACTGCTGTGTGGGTCAGACTACACCTACTGCTGTGTGGGTCAGGCTGTACACCTCACCTACTACCGCTGTGAGGGTCAGAATGTACAGCTTCTACCGCTGTGTGGGTCAGACTGTACACCTACTACCGCAGTGTGGGTCAGACTGTACACCAACTGCTGCATGTTGTGTGGGTCAGACTGTACACCTCACCAACTACCGCTGTAAGGGTCAGACTGTACACCTACTACCGCTGTGTGGGTCAGACTGTACACCTACTACCGCTGTGTGGGTCAGACTGTACATCAACTACTGCTGTGTGGGTCAGACTGTACACCAACAACCGCTGTGTGGGTCAGACTGTACACCAACTACCGCTGTGTTGGTCAGACTACACCAACTACCGCTGTGTGGCTCAGACTGTACACCTACTACCACTGTGTGGGTCAGACGGTACACCTACTACCGCTGTGTGGGTCAGACTGTACACCTACATCCGCTGTGTGGGTCAGACTGTACACCAACCACTGCTATATGGGTCAGACTGTACACCAACTACTGCTGTATGAGTCATACTGTACACCTTCTGCCGCTGTGTGGGTCAGACTGTACACCCACTACTGCTGTATGGGTCAGACTGTACACCAACTACCGCTTATGGGTCAGACTGTACACCTACTACCGCTGTGTAGGTCAGACTGTACACCTACTACCGCTGTGTGGGTCAGCCGGTACACCAACTACCGCTGTGTTGGTCAGACTGTACACCAACTACCGCTGTGTGGGTCAGACGGTACACCTACTACCGCTGTGTGGGTCAGACTGTACACTAACTACCGCTGTGTGGGTCAGACTGTACACCTACTACCGCTGTGTGGGTCAGACTGTACACCAACTACCGCTGTGTGGGTCAGACTGTACACCTACTACCGCTGTGTGGGTCAGACGGTACACCTACTACCGCTGTGTGGGTCAGACGGTACAGCTACTACCGCTGTGTAGGTCAGACTGTACACCTACTACCGCTGTGTGGGTCAGACTGTACACCTACTACCGCTGTGTGGGTCAGACAGTACACCAACTACTGCTGTGTGGGTCAGACTGTACACCTACTACCGCTGTGTGGGTCAGACTGTACACCAACTACCGCTGTGTGGGTCAGACTGTACACCTACTACCGCTGTGTTGGTCAGACTGTACACCAACTACCGCTGTGTGGGTCAGACTACACCTACTGCTGTATGGGTCTCACTGTGCACCAACTACTGCTGTATGGGTCAGACTGTACACCTACTACCGCTGTGTGGGTCAGACTGTACACCTACTACCGCTGTGTGAGTCAGACAGTACACCAACTACTGCTGTGTGGGTCAGAGTGTACACGTTACTCAAAGAGAAATTTGTGAAATCAGTGTTTCCTTGTATAAAAGCATCGCGTATATACCTGTGAATCATTTTCACAACCTTCACGGGAAAAACGGTTTTCGTGAATTTAAAAAGAAATTAATAATATATACAAAGAACTTAGTTAAGCACCCCCTGACATATCGCACAATTGAATGAATCCCGATCTTAACCTGTTTGAGCATATCTGGAATATGATTGGTCGTTGTGTGCAACAATGGGACCCTCGTGTACAGAACCTGGCCCGTTGGAAGCTGATTTACACGAGGAATGGCGCAGTCTGGCCCTTCTGAGGATCAGGAGGCTGACAGGAGGTATGAAGAGGAGAGTGCTGGCTGCCATACAGTCACATTGAGGTTACACTCGGCATTGACCTTGAATCGTTTAAGACACGCAAAATGACATTTTGAATGTTCACATTCACTCATAAATTCAGCGTCAGACATTCCAGAGCCATACTTGACATGGTTTTGTATCAAAATC